TAAATGACTTAAATAAACTATGTACAACAATAACTAAATGGTAACTTTGTACAAATTTCAACATCTAATCTAGTTCATGTTACAAATCAGTTCATTAATAAGACGTCTCTTAAAAACTTTAGTATTTATGATTTCCTTTAAGTCTTTACTTAAATTATTCCATATTTTCACACCACGGTAATAAAAAGCACGTTGGCCAGCATTAATTCTACAAGATGGAATATTGAGGCTATCTCTATATCTTGTCTGTCTATCATGGACAATAGGTCGAGTTGAAAATTTATCTGACAAGTAGCTAGGTGTCAGACCTTTGAGACATTTATGCATCATAACTGCATCATTGACCATAAGTCTTTGTTTGACACTTAGCCACAAGTGATCTTAGACCTGCAGAGATATGGTCATATTTGCGAAAGCCCAAGATAATCCTGGCTACAAAATTTTGAACAAGCTGAAGCTTTGGAGCTGAATGCCGAGGTATTGCTCCAACCTAGGAGCAATAAAACAGCTCGCTAAAAACAAAGCTATTAATGATTAACAAAAGTGTTTCCTTATTGATCTGGATCAGTTTGTTCTTACAACTAGCAACAGTTTTACGTATGTGTTCATCATAGGAGAGGCACTGATCTAAAAACACTCCAAGATTCTTTGCTACAGGTGTCGATGATATTGGTTTGCCGCAAAGTGTTATTGTAAAGTCAGGTAACTGTCGTAGCAATTGCGGCACGTCTATGACAAGAAGTGTAGTTTTATCTGGATTCACAAGTAGTGAATTGTGACAGCACCACCTACAGATTTCGTTGAGATCAGAGTTAACTGCGGAGACTGCGTTACATAGCTCATTAGTTTTAAATTTCAAGTAAAGTTTAGAATCATCAACGTAACAAGCAGTTTGACAAAGTTTAGGTACAATTAATAAATCATTTATATAAACAGTAAACAGAGCAGGGCCAAGAATGGACCTCTGTGGAACTCCATAATCAACCGGGAGAGGTTGCGGAACCACATCCCCAATACGAACATACCGGTACCTTCCTTTTAGGTAACTTTTAAACCATTCAAGCGCTGATGGAGACACACCAAGACCACGAAGTTTAAATAACAACAAGTGGTTTATACTGTCAAAGACTTTTGACATGTTCATCAACACCAATATTGAGATCTTCTTTTCATCCATAGCTTTTAATGGGTTATCAGTGACAGACAGAAGAGCCGTTTCAGTGGAATGGTGTTTACGATTGCCACTTTGGAATTGTGATAGCTTGTTGTTATCGTCTAAAACCTTGACAAATTGTCTGTGAGCCAACCTTTCATTTACTTTGGATGATACCGCTAGCAGTGATATGGGTCGATTGTTACATTGGTTTCCAGCATCGCCATCTTTAGGAACACAAGTCACTTCAGTGATCAAATTGCGTTCTGTGCATTCCATTCATTCTTGAGTGGAAGTCCAAACGAAAGCTGGCTACATACATGCGACGCACGCGTAATAACAACCTGGAGATTAGGATTGCAGGCTCCTCTTGTCGTCCGCAACAACACTCTCGTAAGAGCGCAGTAAAGTAGTACTGAGCACAATTTTTTTTTGGTTAATAATTCTAAGTGACAATGGCCTTATTTTTAATGGCCAGTGCCGTTTGGCTAATAGTAAATACTTTTCTAGCCAAACCAATAAGTGTAAAATTCAGTTTGACAGTGACGTTAAAGCCATGAAGATAAAGTTAAATGGCAGAGGTTGGTTTCCGCAGGTCACGTGAGTTTACACTCTTTACCTCTTATTGGCCATATGTTGGCCATTAATTTGGGAATTTAAAAGAACTGAAATCATACGCGTGATTTAGAAATCGAATAAGCGCGCAGCATTTTATTTCACCCATTTTGAAAACGCAGTTTAATCGCCCAAATACAGGATTGGAATCGCTTCCAAATTACATTGATACAGTAATCGGCTTGGTTAAAAGAGGAACCGAAAGGCTTTTACATCTGAAACAAAATGAAGTGATGCGATTTTAGTAGAGGGACATGATGCGATTTAAAACAGCTATGATGAAAGTTAAAGCAAAAAAACAATGCGTTTCTCGAGTAAATCGCATAAGCTGAGAGCCAATCAGATTGCAAGGAGCACCAGTGATTTCAGAATGAACAAGAAATGCAAATGTACTTCGTCGGTAGTAAGCAGAATTTATATTTTTGTATGATTCTACATTTGTGATTTGCTGATATAAAAGCACGAAGAACTGGAAATCCCTGCTGAACTCTTATTCAAACCGAATTAGACAAACTGTAGTACCTGCAAGGAGTTTTAAAAAGATGATTTAATAAAGTCGTAAATAAAAATATTGAGATGAGATTTCAATTTAAGGCCTACCTAACAATCACTTGCAAATGACAAAGTGATTTCGGTTGTTTGATCCACGAAACGTCTCTGTTCCCTTCTTGTCACTGGTTAGCCTCGCGTTTCTGTGGATTTGCTCTATTTTTTTTCTTTGGCGTACCACCTCGCTTTATAACTTTTTTTGAATCTTAACCCGGAAGTAGCAAAACTTTTTTTTTTGCTAAGTCATTAAAGACACGCACGGTTAGCAGTAAGTTTGACGTACCCATCGATAATTTTAGTCAATCAACTATTTTTGAAAAAAAGCTCGGTCATAGTTATTCATTCACAATCATGAACTATATTCTGGGACGCCCGTGCTTCATTGCTAGGAAAGTATGGAACTAAGCAGCAGAACTATTTAAGTCAGATACTGGTTTGATTCTTTATGTGTGTTTGTCCCACGCTTTGCATCGGTTTCGTGCAGAGAAGACAGCTGACCATTGCAACGCTGGCTTGCTTGAGGCAGCAATGGTTTGTGTTTGTTTTTGACTGTTTTATTGTAACATTTTTCTCACTATTTAGCGTTTTTAAGGTTTAAACAGTTTTATTTTTAAGTTTTCTTTTTCATTATCTGTGCGCACTGGGTAATAGGCGAATCCTTGCTGACGTCATTTTTGCTCATTCGCATACGCGTTAACAGTCCGGAATACTAATATCCCTAAAATTTAAGGACAGTTGCGACGTCATGGAGCTATTGTTCTCGGGGAAAATGGCGGATAGATTACCTAAACTACCAAAGTCACCGTTTCGAGGCTCTCAGGCATATTTTAAAACTTTTCATGAGGCATCCACAATATTTTTAAGTGGACAGCGTATCGGAAGCAATATTGGAAGTGTCTCGTGAAGTATTCAGCACAGGCTTATGTCCGTCTTTTAAACAACGCGATGTAGGCGAGATTTTGGTCGGTTTTCAAGGTAGGTGAAGAAGTATCTATTATTTTTTCGATTCACAGATTTTTTATGAAGTTTTCGATTAACTTTCATCATGTTGAACGTGGGGATGGTAGACAACCTAGAATTTTGGACAATTTTTGAATTCCGAGGTCCAAAACACGTACGTGTTCCGCTCCCGGGTTTCACCCAGACATGGCAGAGCCGTGGTATTACTTTTTTTTTGCATTAATACGAGCCTTTGCCTTTTTTCTTTTCAAGGCCAAAACAACTTTATTATAGTCTTATGGATATTCACGTCTAACATCTCGCATCACTTTGCCGAATTTGCGGGGATAAAATTAAAGATCTTAAGTGCAAGGTTGATACTATAAACAGCTTGTTTCTGAATATTATTGTTGGATTCTCCAAATGTTCATTCACCGTTAAAAAAATTCAAAGAATGAAAGAAGGCAAATTTTAGCTGTAAATGACGTTATTTCGCTACTCCTTGAACATGCACTGATTATCTGGGATAAAATTAAAACATTACAAGTGATCCACGGTCTTAGTACATTCTAAAAATTGAAAAAAAAAATGATTCTGTACTATAATTCATCGGATGAAAACTGAAAAGCAAAGTCTTTATAGTTAAAGGATTTTACACGAGACGACTGGCTGACAGACGACTGGAGATATCCGGAGTTTGAGCACGTCTGAGTACAGGTAGCCCAAGCTCGAAATAAAAGCATTGGCGAACATCGGCATTGTTGCGTAAAATTCGAAATATACGGATTCGTATGGGAAAAAACCTATCGTTTCCGTAACCTACGAAAATGAAAGGATTTCAAAAAAAAAAAAAAACAGCTTACCTTACATAAAATGTGCGTTACGTCTCTCCTGTGTGGTCCATGGACCGATTTTAGGCCATTCTATGGGTTGTATGGTATGGGTTTTCTCTCTCATAAAAAGGCCATAAATCGGCCCATGGACCACACAGGAGAGACGTAACACACATTTTATGTAAGGTAAGCTGTTTACAAATGAAATTAGTTCTTGTGTTACGCACTTTATTTAGCTGACATGTTCATAAATAAGCTTAAAACTAAATTTAATAGTTTTTTACAGAATGGTTTCAAATAAAAATGGAACTCATAACTCCCGTTTGAAGAAATTTCCCCACAGAAGCTAAACAAATGCATTCGAAAGTTTTATTTGTCGGCAAGAAAACGCGACGGCCGTTAGGTCATTTGTGCGCTAAAATTGAAATCGTTGGCAGCAGTAAATGAGTTAAAAACCATGATTTTTGTGCTCAATTATCTCACTGTTTTAGTATATACTAAAACAATTATTCACCTCAGTGGAGGTAAATCCACCACCACTAGCCACCTCCACTTCAGTGAATAATTTCGAATAACTGTTATTTATCATAATATTGTTGTAGTAATTTCGTAATGCCCTTCGCAAGCGTGATGTTTCTAAAAATAAGCTCTGTTATTATTATCATTGTTGTTATTATTATTAACTTATAAAACTGCTACAATTACTAGTATTACTTGATTATCATATTCGTGTAATTTTCACAGAATGTCCAGTTGTTGTCGACCGAAAAACACTGAATTATTCATGACTATTTAATGCGGTAAACGAAACATTACGCCGCTTAAATGACTACAAATTTCCTGATAAAGGGCCATTTAGCTTACAAGCAGTTGTTTGAAAGTTGACAAAAAAGGCCTTCTTCAATTAGAATTTAGACCTCACTCTGGCTAGCACAAGCTACTCCCATGCCTATTAAACACATAATTCCTAACACGAAACCAAACAAGATATAATACGAATTAGTAACCCAGAAGGCAAATAGATACAGCGTTTTGTTGCAGAAATCAGGGCTACTGGGGTCGGTGTAGTTAGGCTCGTAGTTACTGTATATCCACACATTTCCAGCAATGAACCAAGCGAACAGAAAGAGTTGGATGAGACCGCTGAGCGGGTTCACGGTTTGCTGATCATCTTCCTGACTTGTGCATCTTACTCCCCCGGCGCAACAAATACTGAACAGACCAGCTGATCCGGCCACTATTAAGTAAATTGGGATCATGTTTTCCGCAGGACAGTCATCCTTGTATTTTGCACCTAAGACAAAAGAAAAAATGTACTTTATTTGATTGTCATTGTATTAAGCACGAAAGTACTATATGAGGAAACCATTCTTGCATCTTGTACAAGAGATCGGACCGCCATCTTACGTGGCCATTCGATCTCCACATGTAACAGAAATCGAATTCCGGAATCCGCGAAATTTTTGCTTGTGGAATCCTGAATCCTGAGCTTTGAAATCGGGAATACATCTCAAGGAATCCAGAATCCCACTAACGTTTGGAATCCAAAATTCAAGTTCTACTGACAAAGGCTAGAATCCAGTACATGCAGTCCCGAATCCACGGCGTGGAATCCAGAATCCAGATGGAAAAGATTCCCTCAGTTACGTGGGGCGAGTTCGAGCCACACGAGTGTTTGAAAGACAAAGGCAGTACATTTATATCTCAGTTCTTTTAACATTGTCATTTCTGTTATTACTCAGTAGGAAATGATTATCAAGGTCATGATTGTAATGATTCAGGTTTTGACAACCAAGGCAGTAGTCAGCATCATAGCCAGTAGAAAAGAATTTGATTGACAGAATAATAGTGAGCAATGGTACTGGACTATTCTAAGGTGGAACTATTACAAATTAATTGACTGGAAAAACTTACCCATGACTATCATGGCTATCTGAAGAGGAAATGTCACGAGGCATAAAATCACAATGGCAGTTATCACTATAAAAGAAAACAAGGCAATTCATTAACGTAAAATTAAAAGACTGTGGCTGTAGGATTCATTTAATCGTTTTTCTGAAATTACCGATAAGATACATGAAACATTAAACAGCACCTTAAAACATGCTTTAAAGATCCCTACCGAAAAGATGGAAGAGAGGAAAAGTCATTCTCGACTCAGGCTAGTGCTCGATAAAAAGACTAGGAATAAAATCTTATAATATTCAAAGGGTGAAGTAAAACAAATTATTCACGTGTTACTCAGTTACTCACGTGACCCCAAGAGAACCATCCAAGAAACCCCCATATCTGCTGATTAGTTTGATTTGGATATATTATACTGCGGTAAGCCAACGAGAATCTGGTTAACAATCTGCTAAAGAAATGATGTAAATGATTATTAAAAACCGCCAAAACAGATTGATGATTTTGCATTTTCTGCAAGGAATGATCGCGTGAAGGTCAACTGATTTATTCTCTCCCGCAGGAAAAATTGTCAATAAGGGAAGAACCTTGTATATGGGCCACCTCGTCACGAATCCTTCGTAGCTCAGTGGTTAGAGCATCCGATTTGTGCACAGAAGGTCATGAGCACAGGTTCAGTTCCTGTCAGGTACTTAGATTTTTTTTTTGTCCCGTGTTTGTGACATGCTGAACACATCATTTCTCTACAGCCATAATTTGGTAAAACTTCACTAACTAGAAAGCCGAACTCTTTTTCAAAGTGAACATATTTAATGACAGCAGTAGCAAATAAATAAAAGGAAAAGTTTGCTTGCAAATAGGAGTTTTTTGTATCCGTGGAGGCCTGGGACTTGGGTTATGCAATGTGGAAGGCGCATGCGCAACCCGCTAAGCAGATGCGAAGAGGTACCAGAACTCTTTTCCACGTTTCACTAGGCTTTATTCGTCGCTGCCATTACGACTTATTTTCCTTTACCAAACACTACTTTTACTCTCAAGCAATATCTCACGAAACATGATAGATAGAAATTTTCTAAGTTAGTTAAAGGGGCTGTGTCACGGCAGTCCAGTTCATTTTGTTGTATTAGTTGCCAATCACTCGCCCTCAATCGCTACGGAACTTAAAGTAAACAAAGAAATTACATGTAAATGACAAATCAGAGATCCGAGACAAATAAATATGTCTACTGAGCATTATTTTTGAAGTTGCAAGCGCAGGGATCGCCTTTGAAAAACTGTTTGGCTGAACAGTTTTCACTAACCCTAATTTCAGTCCGTTTCAATCTTCTTCAGTTTTGCCCATGGCATCTGTTATTTCTGTTATGTTATTTTAACCTTCCTTTAAAGTTTTAAGCGGCTATTTTTGTGTTTCTCTTAATTTAACAGGCATTTTGTAATTTCCTAATTTGGCTGAATTTCGTGACACAGCTCCTTTAAGATGTTTACGGAAGATTAGCGTAGGTGAGGTTCAAGAGGGCAACTTAGACCCCTATTCCGGCTCAACTCTGAAATCTTTCTAGCAACAAAGCATGCTTTTCTGCACGTATAATTTGGTCACTTATACGTGCAACTTGTTCTCGTCACAATAAACAGTAATTTTCCAAGTAAGTGGTGGAAGTTTTAATATTCGAAGTAATTCGTGTGGATCCGCACGAATGCCTTTTCAAGCGACAAACTAAATTAATCAAGGCTAATACAACATTATTTTCATACTTTTAGACATCTTTAGAAGACGTTAATCACAAATTATAGGCAAGTGACTCGGTTTCAGCTAGCGGCCGTGGTTTGTACCTACCCCTTGGAATTTAAGAGCCCGTGATGCTTTTCTTTCTTTTGTCCAGCCTGATGCTTACCAATATAAGTTGTTATGAACAGTTGAGCCTGCCCTTGAAAGACTTGAAAAAGTCCTTAAATTGCTGAATTACGTTCTTATCGAAGTCTGTTGTTACTAAAGAAACAAATTGAACCACACTGTTCACTTAAAACAACATGACAGGAGGGGCACCCAACGACCTAATAATTCCAAATACGCCAGAAGTGTCTCAAATGGTTTTCTCTGTTCTTTAGAAGCCTGTTTGGTTAATTTGGAGTTGCCCTAAAAACTATTTGTCTGTTCGGATGTCTTAGGGGAACTTTGGTCGCCACGAAAGTTTTACGTGGCTTTTCCGTCTAGTCCGTGAAAGTGTTAGCTACACTTATGGGTCCGGTTGAAAGTACGAAGACATGAAGTAGCCTTGCTTTCATTAAGAAAATTTTAGGGGACGTTTCGTCTGTACACCGAAAGCGATTCCAGAAACGAAAATTCCAGGATTCTGGATTCCACGAGCAGAATTTTCCTGGATTCAGGAAACCCGATACTCTTACATGAAGTGATTTTATGGAGTTAAAGACATGCTTTAAACTTCTCTTCCGCGAAACAAAGAAAAAAAAGGAGAACCCAGTCTCGGCCTAAGTTGTTAAAATTTTGTTAAGATTAAAGTAGACTATAATCACCGCGACCACGAGATGAAAACTCACGTGTCATCGTAAAAACAATCCAAGAGTTTTCCATATCTGCTGATCGATCGTTACTGAGATTTAGATATGTCTTCCTTTCCTAACAGCACTGTGGCAATCGTACGTGAATCTCACCTGGTCAACGACCTGCCAAGTAAATGATGTAAATAGTATAATTATCAAGGCTCAGGTATTTGATATTGATATTTTTAGCCGTTCGTCTTTAAAGGACTAACTCAAGAATTTTAGGCATGTTACTTGGTTCTAGCTAGCGGCCGTCATTCTTCTAACACCTAAACCTTGAACTGATCTGAGAGCCCGGTATACTTTCTCAGTTTCTTTCATGTTCAGCGTCTCAGGTTGACAATATAAAATGTTGTGAATTGTTGCAACTCCCATGAAGACATTGTTTTAAAAGATTTCAACATAAAATCGTATTATTTTATTGATGACTTGGTTATGACAACGTTATCCAATTTTCTTATCAAAGTCCATTTTCTAGTGACGGCTGTTACTGACGAAACAAATTGTAATACACAGTTCACTGCCTTCAACGCGAAGACGATATTTGTTGCTCATAATTACTTACACTTCTAAAACGTAAGAATTCTGTTCACACGCTGTGTATATTAGTGCTCTGACCATTTAACCACCAACGAGAGAATTTGTAATGAATGTATCAGTTCTTGCTGATCTGACTTTCTTTCTTACGCAGGTGAAGCGATTTTTTTCATGACCTTACCGAGGAAGACACTTTGCAGTTATAGCAACTGCTAACGCGTACACTTAAAAGGGAAACAAAGTAAAATCAGCTTCATAGTAAATGATCGATCAACTCTACAATTACACTCTTTACATCCCAAGAGACACAACTCACTCTGACTAAGATCAGTAACAATTTCCAGGGACTCGCTTTTTTTGGCTTGGCGTGTCAGCTTTCGCCGCTTTATACGCGTTTCTTATACTCTCAACACGGAAGTTAAACCAGTCCAAAGCTTTTAACCCGCCATGCTGTGACGTCACGCTATTGTCAAAGTACGGTCAAATATACAAAATTACAGCTGCTGAAACGTTGACGTATTTAACGTTATTCTTCTGATTTAACAATCGTTTCGCACGTGTGCTCTATCTAGCTGGCGATCTTTTTACCTTCATAAGTTGTATTTGAGACACTGGTATACTAGGTGCCTTTCTCAACCTCCGACTGCTTGCCAATGTCAAATTTCGTGAACATACAGTTAAAGCTTAAACAAACTATACTGAACTTTTCATTTTTTTTTTTGGCGATTTTGACTGTATCAATTAGTCATTTTAAAAATATCTTTATTATGAAAAGTAATCTTAGTCATGGACATATATAATCTCAGCACATATTTAGAGTGGACGTACTTGTTCCCGTCACAAAAATTCAACAGTAATTTTCCAAGCTAGTGGCTAGCGGAAGGTTTGCTGATCGGACTAATGCGTGTGTATCCGCACGGATGCCTAATGAAGGCAAAATTGTATAATAAGTGTATATCATTGCAAGGCGAGTAAAACATTTGATTTTTTAAGTTCATCATTAGAAGACGAAACTTGAAGTTTGTTTTTGCACTCGGGACAGGTTCAAGGGGGTGTGTTCTATACCTACACCTTGAATTTGAGATCCAGTACACTTTTCTGTATTTTTTTTTCAACCTCTGCTTGGCAATATTAATTGCTGTGAACATTTGAAGTTACCATGAGAAAGAAACCGTTTTAAAAGATGAAAAGGTCCTTCAGTTTACAGGCGAGGAATGTCACTAAAGAAAGAAGTCGAAACAGACACTACTTACCCTGTCTCAGAAATCGATAACAATTTCCTGGGACTCGCCCTGTTATTTGTCACTGGCCTGTTTGCTTTCGACGTGTTATACGCGTTTGTTTGCTCTCAACACGGATGTTGACCAAACAGGTGGCTAGTTAAGCAAGACATGTACGGTCAAATATTCAACAATAATTAGATGAGGTTTTTGTGATATCTGGAATATTCAAAGTCGAGGTAAGTACGGTTATCAGTCGAGCCGAAGGCCGCTGTTGATAACACTTACCGAGAAGAATATAAGGACAAACACAGAATCGCATGCAACACAGTTTGACATTACTCTTCTGGAAATCATGCATAGTGCGCGCAACCTACAAATAAGTCACCAATCTGCTAGCCCATAACTGTCGGCTAATCTGTAGGTTGCGCCGATTTCCATAATTAACTGTAAACTCAGCTATAAGCTAAATGAGTTCGAGTCACGACTTTACCACTCGTTTCGCCAACTAGGGCGCATGCGCATGACCAGTCTGACAAAACCGGATGTTGCAAAATAGTTTCTTTTATATCCTTCTAATTCAGCGATGGGTCTTCAGTGCATAGTTTGTAAACTATAATTCAATTGTATCAAAATGTTTATTGTATTGTCAAGTTTTTCTATCTAAATTTTTACAATTTTTTTTAAAATTTTACCTTTATTACAAAAAATTCATCGGGTCCAGCCCCATACCATAACATTGTAGCCTAAGCTAAGCTGTCATAAGTTTTTTTTATTGCAATCTGAAACGTAAAGATGCGTGTCATGAACCACACAGGAGGACGCACAGCGTAGATGAGGTGGCCAAGTGAGTTACAGTTGCCCGCTTGAGACAACATGCTATGTTGAGCGACAGCGAGATTGTGGCTTTTTGCATTCTTCGCAAACGAGTCAAAATTATTGCTAGTATCATTATTATTATCGTGGTGAAGTTTTCATAGAAAGTCCAGCTCTCATCCACCAAAAAACAATGAGTTGTTTACCACATCATTTATGAATCTAAGACTAACTTTTTTGGTATCAAATTAACTTCTGGCCGACGAGGACCACGCATGGGATAAAAGGATATGAAAATGTGGGAAATGACTGGGTGGTTCATATCTGCAAGCTTCAGTGAGTTTCACACTTGCGCAAAACAATGTCATGTACGTAGGATTGCCTAGCACTGACAAACGCGCCCGCGCTACGCAAGCATGCAGTGGTTATTGAGTTTAAGGCGTTCTTTTATAAGCTAAACGGAAGTACGAAATTTGAAATCAATGGTAACTATTTTTACTGGGGTTGAAATGGCTGTTTTTGGTCAGTCTTTGTTGAAATGCCGAAAAAAATTGGCATTCAGACAACTGCAAAGTTTCGAGGATTGCATTTGCAGCAAGTTTCTGCGAAATGCAGTTTGATGAGCAATATACCAAGGCTGGAAGTTGAGAATTACTTCTAGCACGTTGCAAAGCTGACTTTGGGGGGAATGGTTTGGATAAAAAATGTTTTCGATTGGTCAGTCAGAGATATACGATTTTCCCTAGTTAGTACATATGGCTAAATACTAGTTGTCATAAAGTTAAAAAAAAAAAATAAAAACATGGAAATATCTATTCGTTTGTATTTTACGCCAGACTCTGGCTACAAGGTGTTACCGTCAAACCCATACAACATGTAAATATACAACATGTACAACATGTACAACATTTCACGATTCCAAGTACGACGCCAAACAAGATATAATACGAATTAGTAACCCAGAATGCGAATAGATACAGCGTTTTGTTGCAGAAATCTGGGCTGCTAGGGTCAGTGTAGTTAGGCTCGTAGATACTATAAATCCACACATTTCCAGCAATGAACCAAGCAAAATGGAAGAGTTGCATGAGAGCGGTGAAGGGATTCAGGGTCTGCTTGTCATCTCCACTTTGGTATATCAATGCGCCAGCTGAGCAGCAAGTATTGAAGAGTCCAGCCGATGCAGCCACTATTAAGTAAATTGGGATCATGTCTTCCACAGGGCACTCATCTATGTATCTTGCACCTGAAAAGAAAGAACACGATCGTTTGGCAAATTTCAAAGGGATTTTGTTGCTGTCTTATCAAAGTATGAACTTCAATGTAAGAACATTTCTTTTCATCTTTCATTCGGATACAAAATGTTTAACTTTCCCTAAGACGAGACACATACTGAGGCTCTTGGGAAAGAAACAAAAAAAGTAACGGTTGCGTGGCATTTTTCTCCCTTCCTTTCCTTGATGCATTTGGACTCACTAAATCCTTCCCATTAATCACAGCACGAATACAGGAAAGCGACTGGAGACTGGATACGAATCTGTTCAAATGACTTCTTCTTCATCCTAATCCACATAAAATCTAACTATAGTAAACTGCTGCTGTAACTAAACTCAGTGTTGAAAGTATGATCGTGCGGTCCCAGTTTAAACGGGAACAGTGTTCAAATTATGGATAGCGCTATCCGTGGATAAATCTCTATCATGATCCAGCAGAGAAGTGTTGGGAAAACCAATTGCGTTGTCCACTGGATAGAAATTTTTCCCGTGAATAACATTATCCACCTTTTTAACAACTGGGACCTGAAAGAAACGTGTGCAGTATTCATCATAGGAGTTTATCTTTTAGATTGTGGGCGATGACAATAGCAAACAATGATAATGGACTATTCTTTCCTTGGGCGAGAGGGGGAAGACTCCGCAAATGAAAGGGGTGGGGTTGCTCGTCGGAAATTTTGAGTTAAACCCCTAAGGGAGACCGATCTGGGCGTGGCCCAAGCTTTTTTTGACCCCTAAAAGAGACCATGTTAAAACACAGACAATATATATATTTTATATTTTTTGGCGTGCAACCCTAAACGAGACCTTCACAGCTAAATATGATGGCGTTTTGCCCAGAACACCCTAAGTGAGACCAAAATCCGAAATTTATACCCCTAAGCAAGACGACGAGCATCCCCACCACTTTCATACGTGGAGTCCCCCCCCCGGTATTCTTTACACGTAGTTGGAAGTGGATGAACTTACCCATAACTATCATGGCTATCTGAAGCGGAAATGTGGCCAGACAGAAGAGTAAATAAGCAGTCACCACTATAAAAAGAAAAGAACCATGCATTTCTTTGACATGAAACTAAAAGGCTCGGGCAGTAGGATTCTATGGAACTTTGTGGGAAATTACCATGCCCGTTACACTTGAAGAGATTTCTGGGCCAAATCATGAAAATTAGAACATCCAATGTATTAAAACTTACGTGACATCAAAAAACCCCAAGGTGCTTTAGCAAAGTCCATCTCTGACTATTAGTTTATTTAGATATAGTCTTTTCTTGAATATTCTTCGACAATTGTATCCGGAACTGGTCAGGTCTATCAAGTAAACGATGTAAGTGAATTTTAAAAGTAATATTTAACAACATAAGAAGCTTTAAAAAGTTTTATTAAAACAGATTGAACAATAGAGACGTAAACATTTTGTTATACTTGTGGTTTGTTTCTTAATATCTACATTCTTATTAAAAGCTGCCATTAGACAACTTGCTTCCTAACAGGAATTATTTTCCCAAACTACGAGGGCTCTTATTGGTCACTTTGAGCTCACATGACATCTAACAAGATAGCTGTTTCCCGCCAAATGTTTCCTCGCGGACAACATTACAAAGTCTCTCAGGTTAGAGAGTAAAAGTGCAATGTTTAATGCAAATATTGATCGCTTGGTATTAAGATTTTCTTTCATAAAATGGTACACGTCACTTCAAGACTGGTTCCTTGGGAAACTAGATAGTTATTTTTCCTTCTGCTCTGCCTCGGGAAACATCGAGGTCCTCGGTGAAACAAAATTAGTTATCTCCTCTGTGCCAGTCAATAGGTGTTTAAAAACATTTTGCTGGTTATACGAAAAAAAAAAACATAATAAAAGCTAGCAACATACTAAATGACCTTTTATGAATGCAATACATCACTTCACACCACTTACCCTGCCCGATCAGCAAATGTTTCCCGTTGTCTTTGGCTTGTTACCTCTATTTGCTATACTGTATTTTTGTTTTTAAATAACGCAGTATTTTTATTTTAAGTAAAATATAAATATACCTGAAAGTGAAAACCTGAAAGAAAATGAACCTCGTGTCTTTCGTTTTTACTGCGGATGAGGTCAACTTGTATTCACGGGTGCAATGCAGACGTCAGGTGTGACTAAAGAGGCGCGGTGACTCAGCTGATTTGGCATCGCAGAGTTCGAGAATATCAGACGACTTCACACGTAATGCGGGCATGAACTGATAAAAATACCAGTAAACGAATGATAACTTCTCAGTAATGAACAATTTTATCTCAGTGCTAGAATCTACCTTCCTTCATATCCTGAATGAGGCAAATGTTTTAAGGACAGCCACGGATGGGCATGTTTTGAGCTTGGAAATAAATGAAATGATTAACAAATTAGCCACCCCCTCGCGATCTCACGTAATTCTTCATTGGAATCATACTCGTAATCAGCACCATCCAATAATTCCAGAGTAAGGAAAAAGGGATGTAAGAGGTGTTCTTCGACCCTCAATCGAGAACATGCTTTCTAGGCTCTGAATTTTTTAACAAGACGGCCAAATTTCATCTCATTCATCAATTAATAAACGAAATATTTACTTCAACATCACTCGTTTCGGTTCTAGCTGTGTTTTTACTTCGAAGCATAACCTGCCAGTTCACACAACCCACGCAACCAAAGATCTATCTATACCATTCATGACCAATGTGTCTCGTAAGCTTTAAATTAATTTTAGTCAAAATATCGACTTGAACACAATATGCGGCTATCACAAAAAGTTTAATATGACCGCATAAAACATTTTAAAAATATTTTTTAGAAACATTGATAATTGTGAAGGTACGCTCTAGTTATATTAAGTAATATGCTTAAAATATCGCTTAGTTTTATAGTTTTTTCCCGAAAAAATTCTGATCCTGGAAAACATCGACATTGTCCATTGCAGTTTCGGGTCATAAACGAAAATTGCGGGCAAATTATTAAATGAACGCAGGAAAAAGCTATACCGTCATTCCAATACATAGAGGATATTGCATGAATTTTATTTTCGAGTCAGTGAAAAGAATATTTTATGAACGAGAGCAGAGAGTGAGTAAAAGATTGTTTTTAACCACGAGAGAATAAAATTCATATCTTTAAACCACAGTGTAATTTTCTTTTTATTACATAGACAAGGGTGTTTACCATTTTATTTCCCACTCCCAGCACAAACTTTATTGCGAACTAGGCGCTGTAGTTCCGCGGCAGGAATTTCTCTCCTTTCGTTTTCACTTTTAAGGAACTTCTTGAATAGTTTTAAGTCATATAAAGTTTTCCTCTTCGTATCATTCTCCTGCCGCTTTAAGATTTTATGTCAGCTTCAGATAACATCACGAATTCATCGCTCACCATTTGTCTCATGGCATCTGGCAAAGTGTGTACAAATAACAGTTTGAGCGGGAAATGACGTCATTGATACTGGTGAGGGTATGGAAAATATGCTGCTCAAGTCCCGGATGTAGTTTCGTATGAACTTTATGGTTTTTTTTATTTTCCACTAAAACATTCTTGTCTATATGATAAAAAAAATAATACTAATAATTCGGTTACCCAAGAAAACACGTAAGCCTTTTTTTTCGTATATTTTAGATTGAAAATATTTAAAACCGTAATACCATGAGGAAATAACGTCTCAGAGCCTGAGTAGAGGGCGTCCAGAAAGTGGGGGGATACTGAGGGGCAAGAGAAAATGCTAGGGGGGAGGGAAAGGAACACCTGCGTATGCCGCAAAGTCATCCTTAGGTCCTGTTGTAAGCTCAGCTACTGAGTGTCAAAACGGCTATTGGTTAGAATTTTTTTTATTGTGTCGATCACAGACTTCTTCATAGTAAACAAAATGGTAAAAATGCAAGTTCTAAAAATATCCGTTTGTTCCCCGCTTTCTCTCATGCTCACTCTTCATGATCTTATATGGTCATAAAATTCTCGTGGGTAGAGTTTTTTTTAAAGCAAACTGATGTCACCCAATAATTTGTCTAATTTCTCTACAATGGTCACGAAACAATTTTATTTTCAAATATTATAGCTTATTGATATTATAGCTTATTAATATGTAATAAAAATGTATCAATAACATGGAAACCAACTGTTAAGAACAAATAAATGTTAACAATACAAATCGATATTTCAAGGTGACTGTTCGTAGACGTAAACTTCCAAATTTGGTCAAGATTAGTGCTTTTTCAAAAATTGGTCGCGGGGAAATTTAATGTTCAAGGAAACAAAAAGAATTTTGAAAGATTGACAATAAAAAATATGTTCATGGGAATTTAGGAAAAATTATTTAAGTCAGTAAGAAACAACGTGATGATGTGAATGGACGATAACTCAAAGTAATGCACCATGGCCTGATGGCAATCTATATTTGACCCAACATCCGTTAGGTTTTGTTCTTTCAACTTGACGGTTAAAAATGATTGTTAATAATGCAATTTTGATGTGATTATTGCTGGTCTCAGCTAAGTCTTTACTTGCAGTCCTGGAAAATCTAGTAACACACACAATACTGTTAGCGGGCTATTAGTCAACAGTCTGGCAACTACTCCATGCCAATATACTTCGGTTCGTATGACAACCAGGACTGGACTAATTAACAAAGAGTCGTGCATGCCTCCTTTACAGGTCTTTACAGTGGCAACTTTATGTAAGTATATTTGTTCCCAGTACACTAAACATTTGCGACATCCTTTCTCATAATATAGCCCCAGTTAGTACTTAACTTATAATGGGGCATATCCAGTAGTGTATGACGCACTCCATGTACCTTGAACCAATACCAAACACTCTCGATTTTCCTCTACAAAGACATCTGTATATAGGCATATTTGTTCCTGGCACAGCGTCCCTCATAATGTACTCTGCTCCGTTTACTGTTGAACATGTTGCGGCCATAATTTTCCATCCCTGAAAGAGAGTCAGCACTTAAGAGGCTATGAAAGTAAGCGAAATGCAACAACAACGACAACGACAACGACAACGACAACAACTTTATTAAAAGCGATTAACTGGATATTAAACATTACACACTACGTACATTAAGCTAAAGCTATTCGAGGCAGGCAGTGTGCTCAACAAGACTCCTATGTAAAGTTTTTGAACGAAACAGAGGGGCAGGACATAATGAATGCCTTGTGCAGGGTGACTGTTATGTTGTAGGTTAATTCCATACTTGTACGCAACATAATAATGGGTCGATGGCTTGACCGTACAATGTTTAATCGTTCCTTATATATTTAGTCACGTAAACTTATCTATTGCACAAATCGTTCTCTGCTTTACATAAAGACTGAATTTCAAGTAGCTGACTGAAACCTAATAACATTTGTTCAAAGGAAATAAGAGCATATTATTCATTTAAATTCCAGTTGAGGTTCAAAGTCATGCATACCTAATGTTCATCTTCCCGAACCAGGACCGAATGTTGACCGACGACCGCCGTTACAGCGAGGATTAATGAATTTCAATCTTCAAAATTACCAGTTGTATTAATAACATATCACTTCAAAACAGGTCCCTCGGGAAACAGTTGTTTCCTTGTTTCCCTCGGCGGAATGAGATTCTCGGGAAACAAAATTAGCTGTTTCCGACGAGACCAGTCATTTTAAAAGTGTTTAATATTAAAGTAAATTCTTCGAACCTCATCTGACAAACAAAAGTTTTACATATCTCTTCACGTCAGAAGAACTAATACAGGGTGTCCCAAAGTTCGTTCCTCTAATTTCATGCACTATAATTTCTGGTCAAAAATTTATTTTTACATGAAATTTCCGGAAGATGTATATCTCTCTATCGAGAACATGTATTCAGAATTTCAGTAACTGGCATACCCTTTTTGTTGTTGTTGTTTTTTATCACATTCTGTAGCCGTTGCTGCATGAAGTGGGATACAGCGTGTAGACCCACAGATGACCCACTTTGAGCTTTTTTATCACCTGGTGCGCAGGAGCCAGGTAGCTGAAAAAAATATATTTTGGGCATTCATCGAGAAAAGATAATCATCCCAGCCCCCTTCCACAACAAGGCTAGTAGTAATGCTTCAGCAAAGATAAGCTCCGTTGGTGCGTTCCCTTAATTAATAGGCATATGGTCGAGTCTGACGTCACTCATTGTTATTACCTAGGGAAAAAAATGCGTTCCTTCACATTAATTAAGTGCCTAGTCACTGCCTTCCCGCATATTAATTATGTGGCTAGTCAGTGTCTAGTTAGCTGGGTAAAAATGCGTTCCTCCATATATAATGAAGTGGATAGGTTTACTAATAAGCGTCACTCTACTACAATAGGAACAATAGGCTTTCCTAGACTTCCCCGGGCTCTTTTAACCCTGATTGGATAGTAAACAATCTATTATGTGTTGAACATAAAAGCGCGCTTTCCCTTCAGTATTTTATTCTCGCAATCGCTTTGCTAAGGAAAAAGTCTTACTATCACCAATATTTTTTAAAACACTGCTCCAAACATGCAAGTCGAATCGAGCTGTAAACTTGTCTGACTATTACAGAACTGTTTTCTCCTTTCTATCTCGAGGAAATGTAAAACTATTGAAGTCTTGTCATTTTCACGCACGGTTAATCAGTTAATTATACGAGTTCACAAGCCCAAAGTTGATGATGATGATGAATGATGATGAAACCTTTATTTAAGTGTCATAAAATTCTAGTACATTACAGTACTAATTGGGGACACTAAAACAAAGCTAATTAAAATAAAGTAAAATTATCATAATTAAGACTTAAGAATCTAAAATTCCTAAAAAATATGTACAATTTATATCAAATTAATCATATAAAGTTGAATACAAATTAGCTCTACAGGAAAAACCTCAAGGGAGCACCTTGACGTATTATTTTAAAACAAATAACTTAACAAGCATCAATTAAAACACGCGACTCATAATTACTAGCAATAAAACCACTAGAGAGATACCGTTTTAAAAAACTTTATTAAAAACCAAAAGAGTCAAATGCACAGGAATGGAAATTAATTAATCTTCATCTTCGCCCATGGAGTACTTGTAAGGTTTGAATTTCTTATGCCGACGTTTCTTCAGCTGTTTGCCATGAGATTTATGATCATCCAAATAATTTAGAAATTGAATCCGACGCCTTTTGCGCTTCGGGCCTTGTTGTGATGGGGTTTCTACTGTGGGAGGAGGGGTCAGGAAAGCAGGATTTAAGGGTGGTGGAGGGGTGAGGCTTTCTTCGTCAGGTTTTTGAGAGATAGCCTCTTGTGTTAATTCAGGTGTTACATTAAAGGGGTTGAGGGGAGTGGAGAATGCTGTCGTTGCTGTTGAAGAATCTTGGGTCCTTGATGTTAAGTCTGGAAGAGTGCTGATTACTTCTTCCGGTCGTGTTCTTGTATTTAATTGTTCTTTAAAAGCCAGGTATCTGCTTTGCAACTGAAGGTATCGTTTAGCTTTTTCATCGTCCCGAAGATCGTTTCGAGAAAGCACGTCGTCCATGTTGCCTTGTATTTCTTGCATAGCTGGAAGAAGCGGGACAGGCGAAAGAGTTTGCTGCTTCAGATAGTTTAGAAGCTCTTGAGGAATATTTCCTTGAATCCCTGCTTGGTTAAAACCTTCTTCACTGGGCAGGACGTTTGTTCGCAACCGACAATTATCTTGGGTAGTAGTTTTTAGATCAATCAGAAGATAACCAAAAGGTCTTTTTACAGCCTCTTCGTACTGATTTAAAAAGAGATCAGTCTGCCCGGGATACATTTGCTTCGCCAAAGTCAGGATTTGCAATTTGTCTCGTGGATTCTTGAATAACACCAGATAATGGCTGTTTAGGCTTATGCTGCGGCTACCTTTCCCCTGATGAAATAGATTCTGCACGATATAAATCACGCTCAGATTGCGATGATGAGAACCACGAGTAAAAAGGTTCACAATTCCCTTGTCTTTACTGGCTTCAATCATCTGATCATCAAACACGATCAAATTCCGTTTGTTCACATCAAAATAGGAATCGTGCTCCGAAGCCGTAGGAATTCCCTTGACGAATTCAATGTTTGGCATGACGACTAACATTTGTGTATACGCAGGCTGCCATTGTGAATAACACCAAACGATCCTCTCCGGGGGAGGGTAAATGGTCTCTGAAGCTTCTTGCAATAGCGATCGAACCCAGGCCGTTTTCCGGACCCGGTCATTCCGGCGATCATGGAGGTGAAAGGATGCTCGAAGCGAAACCGCTGACATTTCTGTGAAAATATTGGAGCTGTTTGAAATGGGGTGAGACCAGCATTGCGGTGTTTAGACATCACGTGCCTTTGCTTACTATCTTTTCTACCAAAGGATTTTTCTGCAGACAGAACAGAACCAACTCATGTCAACTCCTCAGGAGCAAAATGTAGACTGAGAAAGAGGTAGAATGTTGCGCATTTATATAGGTTTTCAGGCCACAAAATTCTATTGTTTTCCTCCCCTAAGACCACCACCACCACCACCGCCACCACATTTCTATTGTTTTTCCTACACCACCACCACATTTCTATTGTTTTTCTTTCCACCACCACCACCACCACCGCCACCACATTTCTATTGTTTTCCCTCCGATTACTACAAGATTTGTCCTATATGCAATCACCAGATTCCCGAGGAGAGATATTACATGAAAGAGGGCTTTCTTCGGTGTCAGGATTGCGGAGCAGTTACACACAAAAACGCAAAGACATTGGAAACCAATTTCTATTCCCCTTCTATAGAGGAGAACGAAGATGAAGATTAATTAATTTCCATTCCTGTGTATTTGACACTTTTTGTCATTGTTTTTTAATAAAGTTTTTTAAAACGGTATCTCTCTTGTGTTTTTATTGCTAGCAATTGTGAGTCGCGCCTTTTTATTGATCCTTGTTAAGTTATTTGTTTTATAATAATACGTCAAGATTCTCTCTCTTGGGTCTTTCCTGTAGAGCTAATTTGTATTCAACTTTGGGCTTGCGAACTCGCATAATTAACTGATTCATCGTGCGTGAAAATGACAAGACTTCAATAGTTTTACATTTCCTCGAGATAGAAAGGAGAAAACAGTTTTGTAATAGTCAGACAAGTTTACAGCTCGATTCGACTTGCATGTTTGGAGCAGTGTTTTAAAAAATATTGTTGATAGTAAGACTTTTTCCTTAGCAAAGCGATTGCGAGAATAAAATACTGAAGGGAAAGCGCGCTTTTATGTTCAACACATAATAGAATGTTTACTATCCAATCAGGGTTAAAAGAGCCTGGGCAAGTCTAGGCAAGCCTAATGTTCCTATTGTAGTAGAGTGACGCTTATTAGTAAACCTATCCACTTCATTATATATGGAGGAACGCATTTTTACCCAGCTAGCTAGACACTGACTAGGCACATAATTAATATGCGGGAAGGCAGTGACTAGGCACTTAATTAATATGAAGGAACGCATTTTTTTCCCTAGGTTATAACAATGAGTGACGTCATAGACTCGACCCATATGCCTATTAATTAAGGGAACGCACACGGAACGCAAAGGGAACGCGCGCACCAACGGGGCTTATCTTTGCTGAAGCATTACTACTAAGGCTTTTGTACTTCTTTACAAATTTGAGACGAGCTGGGCGTTACTTGGCAGGCTAAGCAGCGCTTTTTTTTTTCGGCTATCTCAGGGGCCTCTAATTTTAAACATTTTAAACAGCTTTTCATGACCCTTTCTGGACTTGGCTTGCTAACTATGTGAGAGCTTCCTCGTGGAGTCTCCTATTTTGTATCTAGCCTTCTGTAAAACTATTTCACCTGCCTTATTCAGGACTTTTGGTCTTCCCCCTCGTTTCTTGCTTTTAAAACCTTCATTTCTCCATGATCATTTTACCACCCAATTCCAGGTTTTTAGCAGTTTCTATAGTAGCAGATAAGCCAATAAATCGAAGTATACATGCTTATGCTCTCGAGCGTTTTTGCGTTAAGGGGTTTATCTTTTTTGATATTCACAGAAAACAAGGAAGGAGTTCGAGCAATTCGGGCGATAAAATACAAAAAAGGAGGCTGGAAAATATACTCGCGCACACGCACCTTTGGCGTGGAAGTACACAAATCGAATATTCGAGTCAAAAGATGGCACAGCAAGTACGAAAATAGTGAATTAGATTGAAAGACACACCTTTCGTTTAAATGATTTGCTTACCAAGTCCAATCGTACTGAAATACAGACTTATAAAGTAGAGGAACGAACTTTTGGGACACCCTGTAGTCACAATTCTTCCAGTCTATCACACTATACAATTGATATCTAAATTCAAAATCACACATACCGGACGTTCCTGAATTATGACCTCCGAATCTCCCGCGTCTGGAGCATCTGGTGTTATTGAGGCAGGTGTTCCCCTCATGATTTTGTGCTGGCATAGAGTTAAATTGTTAGCAGCATGCCTTCCAGGATGGCCAGGTGGGCCTTGAGAGCCGTTTATACCCATGGACCCTATTGCTCCTTGAAGTCCTTGTTGTCCTTGTGGTCCAGGAGGGCCCATCGGTCCTTGTGTTCCATTGACGCCCCTAGGTCCCGGAGGTCCTGCTGGCCCCTGTGGGCCCGGAGGTCCGGGCTCACCTTTCAATCCGTCGTTGTCTGAGCGCTTGCATGGATCTGTACCATTGCTAATTCCAAACTTAAATTAAAGCAAGATAGGAGTTAATTACCATTGTTAAAAAACAAACAAACAAACAAACAAAGAAACAAAACGAAAATTGTTGTTGTATTTTGCTGATAGAACACGCTTTTTTAGCTTTTCGCGCTGGAACATTTCCGAGATGAATTCCGGTCTTTCTGAAATAGCCTAAAACGACCTTTTAGAAGTGGATAATTCGTCTGGATCCAGGGGGGCGGGTACTCCCATATATGGGCTTTTTAGGTATGTGCCGCTGTGAAGGGTATGGTTTTCAATCTTTCAAGCAGTTTACTCTAGGAAAGGGTATACAAATCAGAGCGTTTGGGTCTAGAGTAGGGTATCATTTTTCAGGAAACTGATCAGTTGGTTGAAGATTTTATCTAGACTAGGTAAACAGCTACTCTAGCATAGGGGGATTTTGGGAGTTTACTCTAGTATAGGGTAGCAAAATTCAGCTGAACTAGCTCTGGTATAGGTTAAGGGTTCCAGAACTCGAAGTTCCTAAAGTACCCCCCTCCCCGGGGTCTGGATACACGGCTGAGCCCTCTGTTTGCTCGTTTTCATACACAGTACTAACTAAAAAGCCGTCAGAAAAGAAAATAAGTTTGTTTCGAACATGTTTAGGATCTAAGGTACTAAACACGTTTGGGGAGTTGAATCAGAAAACACAGACTGGAAAAAAGGTGATAAGATGCAATAGTAAAAATAGACCTGCTCGCCATTTTCTCATTTCACTAGCTACGTTACCTTAGCAATTGTATTGTTCTGTCTCTTGAGTTCACTTCTGACATCGTCAAGCGTGTCTTTCAGTTCTCTAATCTCGCGTGCGTATCTGCTAAATCTAGCATCTGATGGACCTTACATGAAGAGAAAGTCATTTTGAATTAAGATTATTTTCCAGAAGGATTTTTATTTCTCACCGACGCATTAATCTTGTACAGCACCCTTTAACCATAATCCTTCTAACCATTTATTGTTAACTAAATAGTCTATGAATCCTACTAAGAAGAGACTGTAGGCAAGAGATCAAATTGCGTTTTTAACCCAAGGGGCCACGACCTCGACCTTAGGCATTTGTTCAAGGCTAGCCTGCAATTGAGCCAAGCGAGGCGAACGCGGTATTTCGCGCGAAGCGTGACACGCTCGAGACGAGGGGAGGAGAAAAAATAAAGCGGCCTAAAGCGCCTGTTATGCGGGCTAGTTCAAGGCTTACCACAAGCCCGGTGACGTACCACTTTCTGCGTCTCTAGTTCGCTACTTGCACGTTTGTAGAAAAACAGACTGTGCATTCTAATTGTGGTGGTTTGGCTTTTTGAAAACGTGAATGAAATCTCCAAGCGATTAAAACATGTTTTTCTCTAGTGTTACGACATGTTTGATCTTTTGACCTTGCCGAGAGTTAAAATCAGCCCCTTGCGCGTGATGCTTCACTTTCATTTTCTTTTCCTGGCGGAACTCTTTGCTTACTTGAAGGTGCGCTTTGTTAGGGACGGACCATTAGAAAACTTATGGGGGTGGGGGGGGGGGGCGGTCGGGCGAATTACAAAAAAAAAATATTCGCGCAAGGGAAAATTAAATGAAAAAAAATTCATGCACGCCAATTAACCCTAAAAAATATTCATGCTATGGCCTTAAAAAAAATTCATACAAGGAATTTGATAACGAAAAAAAATTCCGGCGACTCGAAAATTACCCACCCTCCCCCCCCACAACTTTTCTAATGGCCCGTTCCTTATTTTTATTAGTCTGATTTAGCAACAGAACGGGAACGTCAGTTGACGACGGCGCGCGCAAATTAAACAACTGGCTTGTCCCATGGCAGAGCGGCAAATTGCGCACCGGAAGTCGTGTTTAGTCCTTTCCGCGACCTTTCCCGTCGCAACCTGACGTTCCCGTCCTGTTGCTAAATCAGCCTATTAAAGAGAAAGGCCCTTTGAAAAGAAAAGTATTAAAGCGATGAGAAATGTGAAATTTAGAAGTGAAAGAGGAAAATCTCGACGTCAGATGGCATACGGCAAAGAAGCAAAGTGGTATTTGCACTAAATAAGACCGAAGATGGCAAGGTTTTTATTCGAGGCGGTCAAGCGATTGTATGTAGAGAAATGGTTGCGACTTCAAGGCTCGATCAGACCATAAAGACACAAGACTGAAAGTAAAAGCAATATAGACACAATGCACAAATCGATTCGATTTTGTTTTATTGACAAATACCGTACAGAGAAAAAAACTTATGAACGGTGATTTTTGCTCAAATACGCTGTGGCTATATGGCTGGTAACCTGTCAAGGTTTTCCTCAAAACACTAAATGTCCGGCAGTCCGGTATTTTCAATAAATTTGACTTATCTAAGAATCCCTTTTCCTCTTTCCTCTTCCTCGTGTTTTGCTTTAATTTTGTACTGCTATTTATAGCAGTTTGAAATTTCACACAAAATTTCATGTCATTTGATAAGTACTGACTCTAGCGAATATTTTATTGTTCCAGTTGCATTTCCTCTCCACCTGTTTTGAAACCGTTTTAACACGAGCAGAAATGTAGACACGGTGGAGGCTTAATCCGAGAAGAGACTGGGTACAGTCAAAACTGTACACGCGGACCGCTTAATAAAGGTATCGTAAAATTCAACATCAGGGTTAGTGGGGATGGCATTTTACTTGATACTTGATTATCTTTTGTATTTCTAAAGTAAAAATACAAACAGAGGAGCTGGTTATGGTTTAGAAGTGCCCTATGAATATCATTTTGAAGGGGACAATTTTTTGTGCAATAGGTCATTTGCACTATGGCGTCATTTTACTACTACGACCATAATACTTCTCGCTTTTTCTTTGATATTTAAATTTGGAAATCCCAGCGAGGTTTAAATATTAAAAGCCCTAATTTGCACAAGAAAGCAAAACTCTGAAGGATTCTGGTCGTTGTAGTAAAATGACGTCGCATCGTGCAAATGGCCTATTCTCTCTAGCCTATTCTTAAAAGAGAAGCTAGTTAACGATCAATTTGATGTTAATGTTGACACTACGGTTAAAAATAACCGAACGTCACTGTTCAGACAGTTGATTTCGAGAAATTTGTGGAAACAAGTTACACTTGTGATTTTAACTTTGCTGTACTTGACTCCTAGAATTAAGTTTTTGTAAACAAATTGACCGTTTAATACAGGTGAAAACAATAAAATCAGCACTTTGGGACCTTAGAAAGGGTGACCGCGTGCGCTTAATAGAGGTGACCGTTTAATGGTAGACTGTTCACCGTCCCCTATTTTTTCGTGAGCTCGTTTAGATAAACCGCAACTTACCGTCACAGGTATCTTGATTTTCAAATGCACCTAGAGCGCGGGCGTCGGGGATTATAGCTCTGGGGGGAGGGGCGTGAAAAATACCAACTCCAGTACTTCTAACCATCCGTTTTTCAGCTGCAATGAAAAAAGGTATTTGTTAATTTATTCACGCTATTAAGACTTCCGATCACGTCCGCACGGGCAATTTGCTGTTGGTGATAATGAGAAGAATAAGACGATTGTCATATTTGTCTTCATCTTTATTCCCAGGTGGTAATTTCCGTGCGAATTTGCTGGCAAAGTCTTACCAAATACAAGGGTCTTCACTGCAGCTGAAAAATGGATGGTTAGAAGTACTGGAGTTGGTGGCGTTATTCCTCTTCAAAACAGGAATTTGCGATGCTAAAAACTCTTGACAGTTTTCCGTAGACGCTATATTTTGCTTTGTTAAGATTTGTTTCGAAAAGAGAGGGACAAATACAACTTAAGTTTGATGAATAAAAGTTCTTTAATATTACCGCACACTCAGCATAAAGTTGTTCTTCTAAAATTGCTAACTATGTTCGCGTAGGTTTCTGATTACTCTGTTTCTTGCAATAAAGCTTTAGGTGGGAATATCCTTTCAGATAGGAGATAGACATGTCGGCACTCTACCTCTATTCGTGCGTCAACTTTCACAAAATTAAATGTGTTAGCGTAGAATTTTAAGGTTAAATTTGACCAGCATTTTGTGCAGCGTGTTCTACGGTCACGATTGCCTTCTAACTTGCAGATGTAAACCTAGAGAGCTCTGAGGCTTATTTGCTCAAGTAAACGAAACATCTGTCGTGGGATATCGAAGTTATTTGCATTTTTAGTAAAAATGCGGTTTTAAATATATGCCGATATCTCAAAGGCTTTTATATCTACAAGAAAACAAATAACATTTTCTTAAAGTTCCATCATTATTAATTTGGTATGCCAGAAATCATAGAAATCGGTTGAATCTTTAATTCTAAAAAACGCAAATCAAAAACATAACCAAAACGCATATAAATAGGTTCGGGCCACCTTTAAGTTAATATTACTAAAGCGACGTTGGAAATTTCCGTGGTCATTTTGAGTGCGTTTGCACATTTTTCGGAATTTATCCTGGATTATTGCTTAATGGCACTGCGTGAAAAAAAAAAAGACAAATTGGAACACATTTTGCCGAAAACGACTGGAAACCTGCACGATCTACATTAAAAAAGGAAGATAACATTTTGAATTTTCATTATAGATAATACCACTTTTTAAGCACTACATCAAATGTGGAGAAAACACTGTTGAAAAGGCTATTTTTTACCAGAAATTGGCCATTTTACAATATCACATTGGGCTTTAGAACGTGTTTATAAATATTAAATAATAAATAAAATAATAAAGAAATAAAAAGGATAGACGTATTTTAAGAGTTTAGATCGATGGTACTCTGTACTACCCTACTGACTTGGAGATAAGGAGGGCTGACTAGGGCATCTCTCAGGCTTCGATGTCTTCACTATGAAGCCCACGCTCACTGCTGCAGTCAAAAGAATTATCACAAGAAGCAAAGCCATCAGATACATCATACGACGAAATTTGAAGTTCATTTGCTGTTGCATTGTCTGCGTTACGACATTTAGTGAGTCAAGCACTGCATCCGATCTTTCAAGTCTCAATGATGCTTGCTCTGCTCCTTGGATAATGACGCTGTTGCTATTTGCTCTAACTTCACTATAGACAGGCCCACCAACATCTTGCACGGGTCTTTCTTTCGAGGCGTTTTCGTTATCGTTTTGTCCTGTGGTCGTTCTCATTAATACTGGTTTTGGGTTTTCGCCTGCACTTCCTTCAGAACCTGCATTCACGAACGCGCCATTTAAGTTGGTCAGCTCGAAATGTTCCTCTTGCGTCTCCCCCGGACGTTGCATTCTGTTCAAGTTTGTCTTTGATAAATTTGAATGTGTTGGTGTACCCTACGAACAGAGTCTCCTTCGATCTTCCTCGATAAGTCAAGAAGAGGAAGGAACCTCTGCCGACATCCTTGACAATTCATATTGAGCATGCTCAAATTTTTCTGTGACGTCAATCAAACCGTTACTGTGGCATCCACTGTGTTTGTTAGCATATGTTAATGTTAGCGGGAACGAACCAGTTCGTTTTCACCCTTCCGTATCTGTGTTTCCTCTGTATTTGGAAGCTCTATAGGAACAATTTCATCTTTGGAATCTAAACTTGCCACGTTTCAGTGTAAAGAAGTTAAAAAAAAAAACTTAGAACTAAGAAAGTTATTTTGGGCAGTGTGCTCAACAAGACTCCTGTGTACTACCTAAATACAATCAAAAGTTTTTGAACGAAACAGAGGGGCAGGATATAATGAAAGCCTTGTGCAGGGTGACTGTTATGTTGTAGGTTAATTCCATACTTGTACGCAACATAATAATGGGTCGTTGACTTGACCGTACAATGTTTAATCGTTCCTTATATATTTACGTAAACTTATCTATTGCACAAATCGTTCTCTGCTTTACATAAAGCCTGAATTTCAAGTAGATGACTGAAACCTAATAATATTTGTTCAAAGGAAAGAAGAGCATATTAGTTATTCATTTAAATTCCAGTTGAGGTTCAAAGTCATGCATACCTGATGTTCATCTTCCCGAACCAGGACCGAGTGTTGACCGACGACCGCCGTTACAGCGAGGATTAACGAATTTCCAACTTCAAAATTACCAGTTGTTTAACAAATCTCTTCAAAACTGGTCCCTCAGGCAGTTGTTTCCCTAGGCGGATTGAGATTCGCTGCTAGCTGTTTCAGTCGGGACCAGTCATTTTAAAAGTGTGTAACATTAAAGTAAATTCTTCGAACCTCATCTGACGAACCGACGGTTTTATATATCTCTTCAGAAGAACTAATAATCACAATTCTTCCAGTCTATTACACTATACAATTGATATCTAAATTCAAAATCACACATACCGGATGTTCATCATCCCGAACCATGACTACAGCATCTGCCGAGTCTCCAGCTGTTTGTGCTGCTTCCTTCTTGTTTTTGTACAGACATAGAGTTAAATTGCCAGCGCCAGTTCTTCCAAGTTGGCCTTGAGAGCCATTTATACCCGTGGACCCTATTGCTCCTTGAAGTCCTTGTTGTCCTTGTGGTCCAGGAGGGTCCATCGGTCCTTGTGTTCCATTGACGCCCCTGGGTCCCGGAGGTCCTGCTTGCCCCTGTGGGCCCGGAGGTCCGGGCTCACCTTTCAATCCGTCGTTGTCTGAGCGCTTGGATGGATCTGTACCATAACTAATTCCAAACTTAAATTAAAGTAAGATAGGAGTTAATTACCATTGTCAAAAAACAAACAAACAAACAAAGAAACAAAACGAAAATTGTTGTATTTTTGTTGATGGAACACGCTTTTTTAGCTTTTCGCGCTGGAACATTTCCGAGATGAATTCCGGTCTTTCTAAAATAGCCTAAAACGACCTTTATCCAAGTGGATAATTCGTCTGGATACACGGGTGAGCCCTTTGTTTGCTCGTTTTCATACACAGTACTAACTAAAAAGCCGATAGAAAAGAAAATAAGTTTGTTTCGAACATGTTTAGGATCTAAGGTACTAAACACGTTTGGGGAGTTGAATCAGTAAACACCGACTGGAAAAAAGGCGCTTAGATGCAGTTTATAGTGTTTTGTCTTTTAAGATAGACTTGCTCGCCATTTTTACATTTTACTCGTGACGTTACCTTAGCAATTGTACTGTTTTGCCTCTTGAGTTCACCTCTGACATCGTCAAGTTGACGACGAGTACTATTAAGCGCGTCTTTTAGTTCTCTAATCTCTCGTCCGTTGATGTACACAGCTCCCAGGCATCTGCTTAATCCAGAATCTGATGGAGCTTACATGAAGAGAAAGTCATTTTGAATTAAGATTATTTTCCAGAAAGATTTTATTTCTTGTACACATTAATTTTGTACCACCCTTTAACTATAATCCGTCTAACCATCTATTGTTAACTAAATAGTGTAAGAAATCTACTAAGAAGAGACTACAGGCATGCAAGAGCTCAAATTGCGTTTTTATCCTAACGGACCACGACTCCCTCGAACTTAGGCATTTGTTCAAGGCTGTTTTTCTCTAGTGTTTCGACATGTTTCATCTTTTGACCTTGCCGAGAGTTATAATCAACCCCTTGCGCGTGATGCTTCACTTTTATTTTATTTTCATGGCGGAACTCTTTGCTTACGCTGAAAATACCGGCACAAGCACATGCACCTATAATTTAGCCTTCGAAATAATTATGTGCAAATGAAATTTTACACCAAGTAAAAATTTCAAAGTTAAGCTGTAAAAGTAATTGAAATCAGATTTTCTATGGTTCTCTTTCGTTTCTGAATCCACCAATTTAAAAAAAAACAATTACGTGAAATGACGTTATATGCTCAGTGAATTATCACACATTCCGCAGTCCAAACTCTAACTGACCAATCTCTTACCGAACACAAAAAAACGTGTGCTGTTAGTTAGGTTCCCTCAGGAGAGAGAAACCTTGACGTTGATTTTCTTTATCAACTGATTCGTCAACCGTCCTGCCTTTCTGCTACTACTTTAGCTATCTTAATCCCTCCCGTTCGTTTAGACAGTTTATTTGGACAGCTAGCCTAGGGTATTTTTTGAAGACCTTGCAATTTTGTTGGTCAGAGACACAGTTGGGTATAGCCCAATTTCGATACATTAAAATTCCTACTTGCATCTCCCAGGTGTGGGGAAATAAATCGAAAGACGTCACCAAGAGGTTCAGAGATAAATAATACATTTCCTTTGCAATTTATATCCCAGGCCTTAGGGCTTAAGTACGAATTTTTATATATCGGAAACGGTCTATTATTAATGCTCTTTATCATTCGTAACTAAAACTTTGACCAACTTCAACTGTGACTATTAGAGGAAAGTCGTATTTTAAGAGTTTAGATCGATGGTACTCTGTACTACCCTACTGACCTGGAGATAAGGAGCGCTGACTCGGGCATCTCTCAGGCTTCGATGTCTTCACTATGAAGCCCACGCTCACTGCTGCAGTCAAAAGAATTATCACAAGAAGCAAAGTCATCAGATACATCATACGACGAAACGTGAAGTTCATTTGCTGTTGCATTGTCTGCGTTACGACATTTAGTGAGTCAAGCACTGCATCCGATCCTTCAAGTCTCCATGATGCTTGCTCTGCTCCTTGGGTAATGACGCTGTTGCTATTTGCTGTGACTTCACTATAGACAGCCCCACCAACATCTTGCACGGGTCTTTCTTTCGAGGCGGTTTCGTTATCGTTTTTCCCTGTGGTCGTTCTCATTAATACTGGTTTTGGGTTTTCGCTTGCACTTCCTTCAGAACCTGCATTCATGTACAGATGAGCTCCATCTACGTTGGTCAGCTCGAAATAATGTTCCTCTTGCGTTTCCTCCGGACGATGCATTCTGTTCAAGTTTGTCTTTGATAAATTTGAATCTGTAGGTTTGGACCCTTGCGTTCACTCAGGAAAACAAATTTATACGTTTTTTAAGCTCTAAAGTTTTTAAATACTTTCAGCTAGCACTTACAAAATGATACGCTACTTATCTTCAACTTTTGACCTATAAAATTGAACCAAATAATTGGAGAAAAAAAATGAAAATAAAAAACTTATTCTCAGACCGAACATTGAGTGAATATATTGTTACCACACACCGTTGTAAACTGCTGAAAGTAGGTGCATGAAATAAAACTCACTACATAGCTATAAGGAAGGGCAAAAGAGGTTTCCAGTCAGACGTATCTGTTGGCTGGTTTTAAAGCAACGTAAGCGACGCCCGACTAGAGTGTTTGTGTAAGAATTTATCGGTATATAATTTCCACTAAAACTTTTCATGTGACGTGATTTTTTTTATTTTTTTTTTCACCTGCAACGGCAAGTCACCGAAAATAAGCCATCTGGCCCCAGTTGTTCAAAAGGTGGATAACTCTATACACTTGATAACTCTCTTAATCTGATAACGCAATCGGCCTCCTATTCCAGTCTTTGTCAGTGGAGTTTGGATTTTGGATTCCAGTCTTTAGTGGCATTCCAGGTTCCTTGAGCTGTACTAAATACTCCAGACAATGTGTTATCTAGATACCTCAAACTCCGACATTCTCAAGATAATCCACTCAGTCTACCCCTGACGAATTTGTTGCGTAACGAAGCGATTTATAGGGTTCATATGGGAATAGTAAAATTCGAAAAAACCTTCTAGTATTGTAAAGAAACGAAATAAAGTACCCTTATTTGTGCTGTATTTTGTGTCCTTGTGTATTTCTGAGGTGATTTGGACTCGCTGGTTTTGCGATACTATCTTAACCTTCATTAAAAGGACCGAACGCTCGTTCTTTCTGGTCCTCTATGGTCATAGAATGGGGTTCTCGTGGGTAGAATTTGACGTAAAGCAACATGATGTCACCCAATGATTTAAGCAAAATAAAACAGTCTAATTTCTCTGCATCACGAAACAATTTTATTTCAAATATTATAGCTTATTTATATATAACATAATGATAATGTATCAATAACACTGTTAACAACAAATAAAAATCTTAACGAAACAAATCGATATCAGTTTCAAGGTGACTGTTCGTAGATGTAAAACTTCCAAATTTGGTCAAGATTAGTGCTTTTAGAAAAATTGGTCGGGTTATGTTAAAGGAAACACAAAGAATTTTGAATGATTGACACTAAAAAATAAGGTCATGAGAATTTATGAAAAATTATTTATAAGCCAATCGAAAACAACGTGATAATGTGAGTGGATAATGCACCGTGGCCTGAAGACAATCTATATTTCTTTGACCCGTTAGGTGCTGCTTTTTCAACCTGACGGAAAGTTATAAATGATTGCTAATTATGCAATTTTGATGTAATTATTTACGGTCTCAGCTAAGTCTTTGCTTTTAGTCGGGGAAAATCTAGTAACGCACACAATACTGTTGGCTGGCCACTAGTCAACAGTCTGGCAACTGAATGCAAGTATACTTCGGTTCCTATGACAACCAGGACTAGACTAATTAACAAAGGGTCGTGCATGCCTCCTTTACAGGTCTTTACAGTGGCAACTTTATGTAAGTATATTTGTTCCCAGTAACATTTGCGACCTCCTTTCTCACAATATAGCCCCAGTTAGTGCTTAACTTATAATGGGCATATCCAGTAGTGTATGACGCACTTCATATACCCTGGACCAAGAACAAAGAGTCTAGCTTGTCCTTTACAATGACAGCTGTATACCGGTATATTTTTTCCTGGCTCAAACACTGCGTCCCTCATAATGTACTCTGCTCCTTTTACAGTTGAACATGTTGCAGCCATAATTTTCCATCCCTGCAAGAAAGAAAACGAATGAATAAGTAATACTCTTCATTAACAAGCAAGCACATCCAAGTAGCCTTCGCCCGCCGCCAAAATACGCCTGCACTGCAGGCCATGATGATAGTTGTCGACCCATTTCGCAATGTAGCACATAATTTTCTATCCTTAACCTAACGATATGGTTTAGGGTTTAATTGTTTGTTATTTTCGTTTAGAAATCGATCACCCCTCGCAGATTGTTGTCTACTTGAACTGCCTGTGTAGGTAGAATAGTCTGACTTATTTTTTTTGGTGAACCTACGTTGGAATTTGAAACTCCCATGGTTCTCTTTCGAACAAGTTCCGGAAGCTTTACGAGCATCGCTCCGTCACTTTGCAAAAGCCAATCGGGGAATATTGCGGACCAGTTCTACAGCAATTCGAGAGATAATATAGCACGATGAAATTAAAACCCGCCTGATAAACCGAAGTTATATATCTCTTCAGAACAACTTATAAACACAATTCCTCCAAAATGTTTCCTTACGTCATTACCAATCAGATGCTTGGGTTTTAAGATACACATACCGGATGTTCATCTTCCCGGATCACGACGACAGAATCAGCTGCGATTCCAAATGTTTGCGCTGTTTCTCTCTTGTTCTTGTACTGGCACAGGGACAAATTCCCAGCAGCGGGCCTTCCAGGTGGGCCTTGAGAGCCGTTTATACCCGTGGACCCTGTTGCTCCTTGAAGTCCTTGTTGTCCTTGTGGTCCAGGAAGGCCCATCGGTCCTTGTGTTCCATTGAAGCCCCTAGGTCCCGGAGGTCCTGCTGGCCCCTGTGGGCCCGGAGGTCCGGGCTCACCTTTCAATCCGTCGTTGTCTGAGCGCTTGGATGGATCTGTACCATTAGTAATTCCAAACTTTAATTAAAGTAAGATAAGAGTTAATTACCATTGTCAAAAAACAAACAAAGAAACAAAATGAAAATTGTTGTTGTATTTTTGTTGATGGAACACGCCTTTCAGTTGCTTTTCGCGCTGGAACATTTCCGAGATGGATTCCGGTCTTTCTAAAATAGCCTAAAAGGACCTTTTAGAAGTGGATGATTCGTATGACCAGACTAACTAAAAAGCCGATGAGGTGCTCCAAAAGTCCCATGCAACGTTACATCTAGTAGATTGTATGTGACTCTCCAGGATACTTACAGTCCAGGCGATTTGTGTTCCCTCATGTCGATCGTTCACGGTTTTTGCAGTGGTTTTTCAAGCCTTAGTTTAAATTATTCGGTGCGGGGTTTTGGAATAGCGAGCTTGTATTTGTTTTTGGTGATTTAATTTATTTTTTCGATCCGGTTTTGTTGTTGTTTTTTTTGCGGCTTAATTCACAGTGAGCGATAAAAATGTATTCGGAGCCATGGGCTCCTGCTTTACTTTGGTTAGCAAGTCCTTGTTTTGGGACATAAACTTAACTTATTTTAGTTGTGACGACAATATTACAGCTTAGTCATGACAGCTTTGGAAGAAACCGAATATATCGCGTTTTCGCAAAACGACGGCGGGAAGGATAATATTTTCTTCCAACTAGAGTCTTCACCGTCATTATCGAGTCAAATAATTTTAAATCATCTCGTTTCCCAAGGTGCGTGCGGCTGTAGCCTGCGTAACAGGCGCTTGGAAATAGTGAGCGCAAGTAGTGGGCGTGTCTCGCTCGCGCGCGCCCGTTCTCTCTTTCGCCCACTACCTCCAAGCGAGCGCCTGCTACGCAGGCTAGTGCTGCTGACAACCAGTTGGCAGTAAATATTAAAACACAAGCGTCATTGTTGTCGCGAAAATTGAAACGCATTTATTACAACTTGATGACAAGTATAGACCGGTAATCGCATCTGTATAAAGGAAAGTAAATATCAAATCCGTGTAAATCCGTGTTTAATATAAGAAAAGGATTATAACGCCTCGGTCGGATACTGCCTGAGGTGCTCCAAAAGTCCCGTGCAACGTTACATCTAGTAGATTGTATGTGACTCTCCAGGATACTTACAGTCCAGGCGATTTGTGTTCCCTCATGTTGATCGTTCACGGTTTTTGCAGTGGTTTTTCAAGCCTTAGTTTAAATTATTCAGATCACAATTATCTGTCAAAATGTCTAGACTCAAGGCAAACATTTGCTTACACAGTCTGGTCTTTGTTTATTCTGGGACAAACATCAACTGACAAGGAATCCGGGATCCAGTATGCCTGGAATATGGAATCCACAGCGTGGAATTCAGAATCTAAGACTCTCTTGGATTACCTTAATTGAGGTCCAGATGAAAACCCTTATTAATGCGCCTTTGATCAGAAGTGTATCGTATGTTATGTTAGGTGTTTTTACATCCGTGGAATGACACTCTCTTATATGTTCATAAATTCGTTGTAGCACCTACCTCTGACGCGATCATGTGTGATATATTTTTCTCTATCCTTTGGAGATGAGCTGCAAAGAAGAAATCTTATATGTTGTTTACGTTACAGTGAGTCGTGCAATTCAAGAAGCCGTATTGCTTCTTGAACCTAAAAAGATATGTTATGTAGACAAATCTCTTTACTTTCGAGAGCAAGATTAATTCAGAGCATTTAGTCCCCAGAGGCAATTATTCGCAACGAGCTTTTGACTTTGTAAATAAGACTTAATCCAACTTCAAAAAGTTTCTATGTGTTAAGAAAGTAGCTTCTTTAAACCTTTAAAGGGAAAATGGAAGAAAATAGAAAGAAAATGGAGCCAACAGGTTTGTGAACTTGAAGTGGTGTTTGTATACATATAGTTAAATCAAAGACGTGCTTGGTTGACGAAGAACCTGGTTTTTAAGAACACTCGTTCGGGCAAAAATTTTCCAGTTAGGGGCCCCCTCTATAGAAGAACCGCGCCTGTTTAGCCTAAAATTTGAAACCTGTTTTTTTTCCTTTCAAAAACTAGAAAAAATTCTGTACACTTGGGCAACTAAGGAAAGTAAACATTCACGATCCTCTCTTCACAAAATAAGAACCTATTAGTGCTAATTACCGTTTATGTAATAACTTGTTTAGGCTAAATTGAGAAAATGCAGGGTCCTTAAGTTGCGTGTTTTTAGTTCCTACCACACCAATCTCCTATTGCTTGACTTATCACTACAAAATAGGAGCGGCCCGCCTTGTGTACCTTGGACGGTAGATTTAACTCAATCTGCAGAGCATCTCAAGGCGGAGTCCGTAGTGTTTTGGGAATTCATCACACTTAATGCTAAAGCCAAAGATGCAGCAGCAGTCAGGAGAGAAATGATCGCCACGGCAGTAACAATATACAACATTCGCTGTAGTTTAAGAAAATTTCCTTGGCAGGACTCACGAACGGCTGGGAGGCATGTGATTCGGGGCATTTTCCCTGATCCAATATTGCGACCGGCGAGAGGGAAAAAAGGAAATGTTGAGTAAATTATATAAAATCTTCAAGTCTCGCTTCGAATTGTGGGATCGCCAGGCCGTGAAAACACACCACGAGCCAACCTCGTCCCCAGGGCTTTTCCCTCAAAAAATGGGTAGGGCGGGAAAAGGCCCTGGCATCAGCTGGTCACGTGTCCCGTCGTACACCCCAAAATCCTGGGTGTAATAAATTAGCTCTATGTGAAAAGCTAAAATTATGCGTAACCTCACAGCCCGCGATCTTGGGCGACCTTTTATATCTCTTGACGATTAACATAAAGTTTTACAAGATTTCCTTTTTGGCTATACTGGCTATGGTAATTTTTTGCTTTCCTCCAATTTCTATGAAGGGGACAGCGAGTAACATTTGTAAAACTTCTGTTTATAGAGCGGTATAAATGACAAACAAGCTATTGTACATGCATAAAGGTTGTACTGGAAAGGTTCGCTTTCACGACTCTTCTGATATTTTATTTCATTTCTTGCGAAGTGGGCCGCCGCACACAGCCTAGTTCTATTCAGCCATATCATAGCGACACGCGTTGGTTTAGACTATCCGGTATGACCCGTATTTTTAAAAAAATCATTGACCTCTGCGATCAAACGACTTGCAACAAAGAAAGACTTTGGTCCATTTAAAATCGACAGAGCTATAGTTGATTTCAATCGATCAGTCAATCTTCCCTTTAATACAAGGAAAATCCTTTGTACTTATCCTTGTAAGAATAAAGATATAAGAGGTCTTCAAATGTTTCAGATCGGCGACCTGTCATCTTTCCTGGTTGGAGCACAGGCAGACCACCCTCTGTTAGTAGGGGCCGTTGTTGACTGAAATCTGAGCAACGAGTTTTTGTTATTTATGGAAGAAATACATATTAACAATACGGCGGCTACAATTTGTTCCAAATTGCAGAATTTAAAGCAAATTCTTTAATAAAGTCATCAAAGAAAACGTGTAATCTAGACCCCATGCCGACTAAACTTGTAGTAGAATCACTTGATCATCTGTTACCTGTTATTACTAAGATGATCAATTCATCGCTACTTGGGGGACACTTTCCGAAGGTATGGAAGGAAGCCCTTATTGATCCTCGCTACAAAAAAGCTGGAATTAATGACTTCACTAATCTTCGTCCAGTTAGTAACCTGCAGTATGTGTCGAAATTGGTAGAGCGTGCAGTATTTGACCAGGTACATGCACACCTTTCTGAACATGACCTCTACCCCTTGTTGCAATCTGCGTATAGACGAGTTACAGCACAGAAACAGCCTTACTCAAGATATATAATGATATATTAATGGCCATGAATCGTCAGGAAGTTGTTCTGCTTGTGTTGTTGGATCTGAGTGCTGCGTTCGATACGGTGGAACATTCTGTGTTACTATCTCGTCTGAGCACAAGTTTTGGGATCCGAGGTACAGCACAGGAGTGGTTTGTGTCATACCTATCGGGACGTTCTCAGTGCGTCTCACAAAGTGGCAAGTGTTCGGAATCTCTTCTTCCATGAGAGAATTAATTCTAGTGATCAACGTACGCCTATCAAACAGGTATTTTAAGCGATTTATTTGACAAAGGCTACCTATACATTTCGAAGTTAATTGAGTTATATGTTCGTCGTACGTTAAATTACAGTCCATTGTAACCCCCAGGTTTTTCGCAGACTTAGATGATGTAATCTCCTTGCTGAGTAGTGTAATGCTTAGATCATCTAGTATCTTCATAGAAGATTCCCCTTATATGAGAAAGTGATGAGTAGGTACATTTCAACAAATAGTGGAATTCATCATCAATTTCGAATCTATTACAAAGGGGGCAAAGCCTCTCAAGTCTGAGTATCTTCTTGTAGCGCCCAGATTCAATAGGTAGCAAGTGGCAAGAAATTCGCATTTTGGTTACTTTCACTCTTGTCTTAACGTTCTTTATTAAATCAAAATCAGATTCAAATCTGACCTCGTTTTTCACTTCACTATACAGACTTAATTTATTGACAACTGAGGAGTCGAATTTATCCTTGTTCAGACTTTTCGACCAATATTCCTGGTATTCCTTAAACAAATTTCTTTTAAACATTTCAGCCAGGAGAGGAAATGTCCTGTAGTCAAGATGTGGCAGATTTGGAGTATAATCACTTAATTTGGTAAAGTGTATTAGGTGTCTAATGAACCCCTAAGGCCATTTTGCATACCTTGTTATGCATATTCTCGGGTGTTATTCGTTCACCAAAAATTCTCGAGACAAATTTGTCATAGTTATTCCCGACTGATTTTCAAAAACACCCCCAAATTTGACAGTTGTACAAAAGGATTGGGTTCACAAGAGAATCAAAAAGTTTAAGAACTGTTGAGACAGATGCACCATTGTAAATATTTACCTTTTTTTTTTTTTGTAAATATTTAGAGACCTGGTGGCTTTATTATATAGCTTTTTCTGGGCCAGTGAAAAAGAACCAGAAGGCGTGAAAGTTATTCCAAGGTAGTCGTAACTATCTGTTACTTGGATTGGCTGGGTTCCTAGCTTGAATTCACTCAGGTTAAATATTTTACCACTTTTATTGAAAATAATAGCTTTTGTCTTCTTTATATTTATCCTCATTTGCCACTTCTTAGTGTAACAGCTTAACTTATCAAAGCATCTCTGCAAACCATGTTCTGATTCGGAAAGCAGGATAAGATCATCTGCACATAGTAAACAATTGATTTTGCATTCTCCCATGATCAAGGGATCACGAGTGGAATCAAATATATCAACAATGTCATTACAAATATATTAAATAATGCTGGGCTCAGCTTACAACCCTGTCGTACCCCTACTAAGGAAGTAAACGTCGCTGTTACCCCAGTGTTACCCTACTTTTTGCTTTTTCCGCTGAAACAACTCTGTCATATATGCTATTCATTAGAAATATATTAATCTTCTGAGAAAGTCCATATTTCATTAGCTTATAGAAAAGGCCGTTTCTCCAAATTGTGTCATAGGCCTTTTGAAAGTCGTCAAAGCAGGCGTATACCTTTTTATCATTTTTCGTAAAAAGATCAGTTAGAGACTTCAGAAAAAAAACGTGGTCAGACGTCTTATAGCGTTTTCGGAAGCCAATTTGGTTGTTGTGTATTATATTGTGTTCGTCAAGATATTTTGTAAGACGGTCATTAATAATTAGGGTAAAGAATTTACCTAAACAACTACATACAGTAATTCCGCGATACTTATTAGGGTCGTCTATATCACCCGCTTTAAAGACGAGTGAAATATAACCCACCGACCACAACTGGGGTAGTATGCCGGAATTCAAAACTTTATTAAAAAGAATTTGCAATACAGGCCCAATGATGGACACGCTTGATTTGATCATCTCATTAGATATACTATCATTTCCCGCCTCTTTAACTTGGTCGATGCTTTACGTATCTCTTCAAACGTGATTGGTTCGTCTAGGATTGGTTCCTTTGATTTTGCGAATTCAGCAATTTTAGATATGCTGAAGTCAACCAACTTCTCAAACCCACTCTTTGCGGAGTTATGAGGGGTAGAGAGTTTTCCAAAATAGGTAAACCATTCTTTTGCATCAATTTTGTCTGATATTTGGTATTTTCGTTTATATTTTTGATATTCGTTTACCATTTCCCAGAAATCCTTGGGATTGTCCGACTCAAAGGAAGTAATTTTTTGAAGTAAGAATTCTTTAAAAGATCTTTTCTTCGTTTTTACTAATTTCTTATAAGCTTTCTTTATTACAAAAAATGTACCTTGCACAATGGGGTCAGGAAAATTTCGAAGTCAGTTTTCCAAAGCGCAGTACTCCTCTTTTAAGTTCGAAACAAGATTTATCAAACCACTTGTTTTTCCTTTTCCAGGAATTTTTGTTTTTTTGTTTTAACACAGGTAAACAGGTCACGTGGCTTCACAAACACTGAAAAGAACATCCGAAAGATCTTTTTATAGTGTCATCGACATCATAGGAGACGTCTTTCAGACATGCATTAGAAAATTTGTTAAGGCGGTCTACCACCTGTTGTGATGATAATTCATCCAAAAATCTTGTTTTTAATATATTGTTCCATTTGAAAGACACAGGTAGAGGGTGTAACTGAGAAGGAGACTTTTTTGGTTTCACACGCACCTCCGATTTCAGTACAAAAGATATTAGACAATGGCATGACCAGTCCGTTAGAGGGGAGACGACAAAACCCATTATTTCAGTTAGTAATTTCTCACTTACTACAGCGTAGTCAATTGAACTTACTCCATTGGGGGTGAAGTAGGTAAAGTCGCCTAGTCTGTAGCCTGCGAAAGCATCCGTTTCTACACGCTCTTCGCCGCTAGGGACGTTTCGTCCCCAGCGGCGAAGAGCGACTGAGGAGAAACGGATGTTTTCGCAGGCTACCTGGTCTGTCACCTTTAGTTTTCCCGTTAAGAATTCTTAATTTAAAGCCATGGCAAAGCTCTATCAATTCTAAGCCAAACTTGTTAACTGTTTTTTTGGCTTTATGAAGGGAGCGGTGACTGTGGACCTCTCCCCTCGCGTGTCTCCTTCTCGCGCGCCCGTTTTTTCCTGTGCCCACTATTTCCAAGCGCCTGCTACGCAGGCTAGCACATTCCACAGGTCAGCAGGTACATGTAAACAAACAGGAGCAAACGTGTCTATGTGACCCGTACTTCAGATCCTCCATTCTATTAAAGAAGTTACCACACTTGACAGAAAATTATAAGGAAAAGTTGCGACAAGTAACATACACGACCAAAAGGTTAGAGTAAAGTTGTAAAAAAAGTCACAGTATTTTGTCCATTGTTTAATGTAGCTAAAGAGACTTCAGAAAGATATTAGTGAGTTAGGCGAGACTGAGCAGGCAGATAGTGGTGGTAAAAGAAAGTTACTGAGCAGAAAGAGGTACCGAACTTGTAGCAAGGAAGGTGATTCACAGAAATATGAGTTCCCTAGAGCCAAAAGGTCGTGTAAAAGGAGGAAAAAGGAAACCATAGATGCATGCAACAGTATCCATCGGGGTGGCAGTGCAGATAAAAGTCCAGATGAAATGTGGCTAACTTTAGTAAATGAGTCAACCCCTGTAAGGTTAGCTAATTATGTTCACACATCAAGTAAAATGATGAAAAAGGTTGTTACAAAGGTTTGTAAGATGCCTATTAAAGATTTTGTAAACAGTTTAATAAACCAGGTCCGTAGTCTAAAGGTTTTGTATGGCAAAGGTCTGCTCAGCAAAGAGCAGTCCAAAGCTATTCGTCTAAACTTAACAATGACACCATGCTTCACTTTCATTTTCTTTTCATGGCGGAACTCTTTGCTTACGCTGCAAATACAGGCACAAGCACATGCACGTAAAATTTTAGCCTTCGAAATAATTATTTGCAAACTGAAATTTTACACCAAGCACAAATTTCAAGGTTACGCTGAAAAACAATTGAAATATTTGCTATGGTTCTCTTTCGTTTCTGAATTCACCTATTAAAAAAACAATTACGTGAAGTAAAATATGCTCGGTGAATTATCACACGTTCCGCAGTCCGAACTCTAACTGACCAATCTCTTACTTAACACAGAAAAACTTGTGTTGTTACTTATACAGGTTCCTTCAGGAGTGAGAATTAAACCTTAACGTTGATCGATTTTCTTTAATTTGTCAAAATTCGTTAACCGTCCTGCCTTTCTGCTACTACTTTAGCTATTTTAGTTTAATCCCTCCCGTTCGTTTAGACAGTTTATTTGTACAGGGCATTTTTTGAAGACCTTGCAATTTTGTTAGTTAGAGGCACAGTTGGGTATAGTCCAATTTCGATAGATTAAAATTCCTACTTGTCTCCCAAGCGTGGGGGAATGAATCGAACGAGATCACCAAGATCAACCAAGAGGTTCAGGGATGAATAATACATTTCCTTTGCAATTTATATCCCAGGCCTTAGGGCTAAGTACGAATTTTTATATATCGGAAACGGTCTATTATTAATTAACAATTAATGAATGAGGCTTGAGTATCTTATGAAGAATTATGGAGATCGAGGAGGCTGTGATCCGTTGAGGCCGTAGGCCGAGGCGGATAACACCCTCCGAGATTTCCATAATTCTTCACATGATACGAAAGCCGAATTCAATAATTGTTTTATTATTCATTCAAAATAATTCCTAGTTTAAAAACATGGCTAAAACATGCTTAACTCGATCGATCCATCGATGTTATGTTTATCTTCGATAGAACACGTTTAGGTTTGTCCTGCTCCCCAAATATTCTCCAAATAGCAGATGTCGCCCTTCGAGTTGTCTTTTTACTGTTCTTGCCATGTTTTTGGTTATTTTTTCGCTTAGTGCTTACTCTTGAAACGAGTAGACTGTTCGATCTGCGTTACGGGCTGCCATCTTGCATGAGTGTCAAAACTACTTAGGGGGCGGGGGGCAGTTTTGGAGGAAGCGAGAAAAATAGAGGGACTGTAATAACATCACTGCAGCTCGCGTTCAGGAGGCATGACAGGAATTTCACGCCTTTTACCATTCATTAATTAAGACACTCCGCTGGTGATGAAAAAACATGCCAGACACATTGAGCATCGATTTCGCATGTTTACAAATATCTCCTTTCGAAACAGTGGTTTTATAATGTTTCTGGGCCATTCCTCGAAATGAAATCGGCAAACATGCACAAAGAAACATTTTCCTAATCAAAATATCAAAAATTCTTCGTGTGTTTGCGCAAGATGTGCCTTATGGTATGAAAGCGTACGTTTTATGGAAACGTCGACTTGTCAGTGTGTCGGCAACTGAAACTAAAGCTGTTGTCAACGCAAATTAACATCTATTGTCTAATGACCTATCAAACGCCTGCGTTGCTGGTACAACGCGCTCCGTGAACGCGAGCTGCAATGATGTTATTACAGTCCCTCTATTTTTCTCGCCCCCTCCCTCCCTCCTCCCTCACCTCACCTAGAGCTATAATCCCCGGTGCCCGCCCCCTCGGTAAATTTGAAAATCAAGATAGCCGTGGCGGTAAGACGCCGTATATCTAAACGATCTCACGAAAAAATAGGTGACTGTGAACAGTCTATGAAACGAGTGAAACGTTCGCCATTTTTTGTTTTCACAACCAAAACAACTCAACCTCGTCTCCAGGTCTTCTCGGTTAACGGTTCCTTAACCTGCACGAACGCTGCATTTTTCACGTCATTTCTTCGTTAAACACAAAATTCTTCCAAATTTGGTCATCAGTAACTGGTTATGGTGAATTATGCGTGTGCCTTTAGCCAATCAGAATCGGGTAAATATTTTGAATGAATAATAATGTTCTTTACCATTCGTAACTAAAACTTTGACTTTCAACTAGGACTTTTAGAGGAAAGACGTATTTTAAGAGTTAGATCGATGGTACGCTGTACTACCCTACTGACCTGGAGATAAGGCGGGCTGACTCGGTCATCTCTCGGCCTCGATGTCTTCACTATCAAGCCCACGCTCACTGCTGCAGTCAAAAGAGTTATCACAAGAAGCAAAGCTATCGGATACATCATACGACGAAACAAATCCATTTGCTGTTGCATTGTCTGCGTTATGACATTTAGTGAGTCAAGCACTGTATCCGATCCTTTAAGTCTCAATGATGCTTGCTCTGCTCCTTGGATAATGACGCTGTTGCTATTTGCTGTAACTTCACTATAGGCAGCCCCTTGCACGGGTCTTTCTTTCGAGGGGTTTTCGTTATCGTTTTTCCCTGTGGTCGTTCTCATTAATACTGGTTTTGGGTATTCCCTTGCACTTCCTTCAGAACCTGTATTCATGTACAGATGAGCTCCATCTACGTTGGTCAGCTCGAAATAATGTTCCCCTTGCGTTTCCTCCGGACGTTGCATTCTGTTCAAGTTTGTCTTTGATAAATTTGAATCTGTAGGTTTGGACCCTTGCGTTGACTCAGGGCAACAATACTTGATACGTTTTTTAAGCTCTAAAGTTTTTAAATACTTTCAACTAGTACTTACAAAATGATACGCTACTTATCTTCAACTTTTGACCTATAAAATTGAACCAAATAATTGGGAAAAAAAAATGAAAATAAAAAACTTATTCTCAGACCGAACATTGAGTGAATATATTGTTACCATACACCGTTGTAAACTGAAAGTAGGTGCATGAAATAAAACTCACTACATAGGAAGGGCAAAAGAGGTTTTCAGTCAGTACGTATCTGTTGGCTGGTTTTAAAGCACCATAAGCGACGCCCGGCTAGTGTGTTTGTGTAAGAATTTATCGGTATATAATCTCCAGTAAAACCTTTCATGTGACGTGATTTTTTTTTCACCTGCAACGGCAAGTCACCGAAAATAAGCCATCTGGCCCCAGTTGTTCAAAAGGTGGATAACTCTATACACTTGATAACTCTCTTAATCTGATAACGCAATCGGCCTCCTATTCCAGTCTTTGTCAGTGGAGTTTGGATTTTGGATTCCAGTCTTTAGTGGCATTCCAGGTTCCTTGAGCTGTACTAAATACTCCAGACAATGTGTTATCTAGATACCTCAAACTCCGACATTCTCAAGATAATCCACTCAGTCTACCCCTGACGAATTTGTTGCGTAACGAAGCGATTTATAGGGTTCATATGGGAATAGTAAAATTCGAAAAAACCTTCTAGTATTGTAAAGAAACGAAATAAAGTACCCTTATTTGTGCTGTATTTTGTGTCCTTGTGTATTTCTGAGGTGATTTGGACTCGCTGGTTTTGCGATACTATCTTAACCTTCATTAAAAGGACCGAACGCTCGTTCTTTCTGGTCCTCTATGGTCATAGAATGGGGTTCTCGTGGGTAGAATTTGACGTAAAGCAACATGATGTCACCCAATGATTTAAGCAAAATAAAACAGTCTAATTTCTCTGCATCACGAAACAATTTTATTTCAAATATTATAGCTTATTTATATATAACATAATGATAATGTATCAATAACATGGAAACCAACAGTTAACAACAAATGAAAATCTTAGCGAAACAAATCGATATCAGTTTCAAGGTGACTGTTCGTAGATGTAAAACTTCCAAATTTGGTCAAGATTAGTGCTTTTAGAAAAATTGGTCGGGTTATGTTAAAGGAAACACAAAGAATTTTGAATGATTGACACTAAAAAATAAGGTCATGAGAATTTATGAAAAGTTATTTATAAGCCAATCGAAAACAACGTGATAATGTGAGTGGATAATGCACCGTGGCCTGAAGACAATCTATATTTCTTTGACCCGTTAGGTGCTGCTTTTTCAACCTGACGGAAAGTTATAAATGATTGCTAATTATGCAATTTTGATGTAATTATTTATGGTCTCAGCTAAGTCTTTGCTTGTAGTCGGGGAAAATCTAGTAACGCACACAATACTGTTGGCTGGCCACTAGTCAACAGTCTGGCAACTGAATGCAAGTATACTGCAGTTCCCAGGACAACCAGGACTGGACTAATTAACAAAGAGTCGTGCATGCCTCCTTTACAGGTCTTGACAGTGGCAACTTTATGTAAGTATAATTATTCCCAGTAACATTTGCGACCTCCTTTCTCATCCTATAGCCCCAGTTAGTACTTAACTTATAATGGGGCATATCCAGTAGTGTATGACGCACTTCATATACCCTGGACCAAGAACAAAGAGTCTCGCTTGTCCTTTACAATGACAGCTGTATACCGGTATATTTGTTCCTGGCTCAAACACTGCGTCCCTCATAATGTACTCTGCTCCTTTTACTGTTGAACATGTTGCGGCCATAATTTTCCATCCCTGCAAGAAAGGAAACGAATGAATAAGCAATACTCTTAATTAACAAGCAAACACATCCAAGTAGCCTTCACCCGCCGCCAAAATCTTGTCGAGCTATTTCGCAATGTAGCACATAATTTTATATCCTTAACCTAACGGTATCGTTTTAGGGTTTAATTGTTTGTTATTTTCGCTTAGAAATCGATCACCCTTCGCAGATTCTTGTCTACTTGAACTGCCTGTGTACCTACGTTGGAATTTGAAACTGCCATGGTTCTCTTTCGAACAAGTTCCGGAAGCTTTACGAGCATCGCTCCATCACTTTGCAAAAGGCAACCGGGGAATATTGCGGACCAGTACTAAAGCAATTCGAGAGATAATACAGCACGATAAAATTAAAACCCGCCTGATAAACCGAAGTTATATATCTCTTCAGAAGAACTTATAAACACAATTCCTCCAAAATGTTTCCTTACGTCATTACCAATCAGATACTTAGGTTTTAAGATACACATACCGGATGGTCATCTTCCCGGAGCAGAACGACAGCATCTGCTGAGATTCCAGCTGTTTGCGCTGCTTCTTTCTTATTCTTGTACTGGCACAGGGACAAATTCCCAGCACCGGGCCTTCCAGGTGGGCCTGGAGAGCCTAATGCCCCTGATCCAACCCCTCCTGACAGAGTTGCATTGTAACCATGTGGTCCTCTTGGCCCCTCGGGGCCTGGGGGTCCTGGTGGTCCTTGAGAGCCATTAATACCCATGGCCCCCGTTGCTCCCTGGAGTCCTTGTGGACCGGGAGGACCCATAAGTCCTTGTGTTCCATTAAAACCCCTGGGTCCTGGTGGTCCTGGAGGTCCGGGAGGTCCTGGTGGTCTTTGAGGGCCCGGTGGACCCGGTGGTCCGCGCTCCCCTTTCAATCCGTCTTTGTTTGAGCCCTTGGATGGATCTGTACCATAACTAATTCCAAACTTAAATTAAAGTAAGATAGGAGTTAATTACCATTGTCAAAAAACAAACAAACAAACAAAGAAACAAAACGAAAATTGCTGTTGTATTTTTGTTGATGGAACACGCTTTTTTAGCTTTTCGCGCTGGAACATTTCCGAGATGAATTTCGGTCTTTCTAAAATAGCCTAAAACGACCTTTTAGAAGTGGATAATTCGTCTGGATACACGGGTGAGCCCTCTGTTTGCTCGTTTTCATACACAGTACTAACTAAAAAGCCGATAGAAAACAAAATAAGTTTGATTCGAACATGTTTAGGATCTAAGGTACTAAACACGTTTGGGGAGTTGAATCAGTAAACACCGACTGGAAAAAAGGCGCTTAGATGCAGTTTATAGTGTTTTGTCTTTTAAAATAGACTTGCTCGCCATTTTTACATTTTACTTGTGACGTTACCTTAGCAATTGTACTGTTTTGCCTCTTGAGTTCACTTCTGACATCGTCAAGTTGACGACGAGTACTATTAAGCGCGTCTTTTAGTTCTCTAATCTCGCGTCCGTTCATGTACACAGCTCCCAGGCATCTGCTAAATCCAGCATCTGATGGAGCTTACATGAAGAGAAAGTCATTTTGAATTAAGATTATTTTTTAGAAAGATTTTATTTCTTGTACACATTAATTTTGTACAACCCTTTAACTATAATCCGTCTAACCATTTATTGTTAACTAAATAGTGTAAGAAATCTACTAAGAAGAGACTACAGGCATGCAAGAGCTCAAATTGCGTTTTTATCCTAACGGACCACGACTCCCTCGAACTTAGGCATTTGTTCAAGGCTGTTTTTCTCTAGTGTTACGACATGTTTCATCTTTTGACCTTGCCGAGAGTTAAAATCAGCTCCTTGCGCGTGATGCTTCAGTTTCATTTTCTTTTCCTGGCGGAACTCTTTGCTTACGCTGCAAATACAGGCACAAGCACATGCACGTATAATTTTAGCCTTCGAAATAATTATGTGCAAATGAAATTTTACATCAAGTAAAAATTTCAAATATCGAAAACGTTCTATTATTAATGCTCTTTACCATTCGCAACTAAAACTTTGACCAACTTCAACTGTGATTATTAGAGGAAAGACGTATTTAAAGAGTTTAGATCGATGGTACGCTGTACTACCCTACTGACCTGGAGATAAGGAGGGCTGACTCGGGCATCTCTCAGGCTTCGATGTCTTCACTACGAAGCCCACGCTCACTGCTGCAGTCAAAAGAATTACCACAAGAAGCAAAGCCATCAGATACATTATACGACGAAACAAATCCATTTGCTGTTGCATTGTCTGCGTTACGACATTTAGTGAGTCAAGCACTGCATCCGATCCTTTAAGTCTCCATGATGCTTGCTCTGCTCCTTGGATAATGACGCTGTTGCTATTTGCTGTAACTTCACTATAGACAGCCCCACCAACATCTTGCACAGGTCTTTCTTTCGAGGCGTTTTCGTTATCGTTTTTTTGTCCTGTGGTCGTTCTCATTAATACTGGTTTTGGGTTTTCGCCTGCACTTCCTTCAGAACCTGCATTCATGTACAGATGAGCTCCATCTACGTTGGTCACCTCGAAATAATGTTCCTCTTGCGTTTTCTCCGGACGTTGCATTCTGTTCAAGTTTGTCTTTGATAAATTTGAATCTGTAGGTTTGGACCCTTGCGTTGACTCAGGGCAACAATACTTGATACGTTTTTTAAGCTCTAAAGTTTTTAAATACTTTCAGCTCGTACTTACAAAATGATACGCTACTTATCTTCAACTTTTGACCTATAAAATTGAACTAAATAATTGAAGAAAAAAAATGAAAATAAAAAAAATTATTCTCAGACCGAACATTGAGTGAATATATTGTTACCATACACCGTTGTAAACTGAAAGTAGGTGCATGAAATAAAACTCACTACATAGGAAGGGCAAAAGAGGTTTCCGGTCAGACGTATCTGTTGGCTGGTTTTAAAGCACCATAAGCGACGCCCGACTAGTTTGTTTGTGTAAGAATTTATCGGTATATAATCTCCAGTAAAACTTTTCATGTGACGTGATTTTTTTTTTTTTCACCTGCAACGGCAAGTCACCGAAAATAAGCCATCTGGCCCCAGTTGTTCAAAAGGTGGATAACTCTATACACTTGATAACTCTCTTAATCTGATAACGCAATCAGCCTCCTATTCCAGTCTTTGTCAGTGGAGTTTGGATTTTGGATTCCAGCCTTTAGTGGCATTCCAGGTTCCTTGAGCTGTACTAAATACTCCAGACAATGTGTTATCTAGATACCTCAAACTCCGACATTCTCAAGATAATTCACTCAGTCTACCCCTGACGAATTTGTTGCGTAACGAAGCGATTTATAGGGTTCATATGGGAATAGTAAAATTCGAAAAAACCTTCTAGTATTGTAAAGAAACGAAATAAAGTACCCTTATTTGTGCTGTATTTTGTGTCCTTGTGTATTTCTGAGGTGATTTGGACTCGCTGGTTTTGCGATACTATCTTAACCTTCATTAAAAGGACCGAACGCTCGTTCTTTCTGGTCCTCTATGGTCATAGAATGGGGTTCTCGTGGGTAGAATTTGACGTAAAGCAACATGATGTCACCCAATGATTTAAGCAAAATAAAACAGTCTAATTTCTCTGCATCACGAAACAATTTTATTTCAAATATTATAGCTTATTTATATATAACATAATGATAATGTATCAATAACATGGAAACCAACAGTTAACAACAAATGAAAATCTTAGCGAAACAAATCGATATCAGTTTCAAGGTGACTGTTCGTAGATGTAAAACTTCCAAATTTGGTCAAGATTAGTGCTTTTAGAAAAATTGGTCGGGTTATGTTAAAGGAAACACAAAGAATTTTGAATGATTGACACTAAAAAATAAGGTCATGAGAATTTATGAAAAGTTATTTATAAGCCAATCGAAAACAACGTGATAATGTGAGTGGATAATGCACCGTGGCCTGAAGACAATCTATATTTCTTTGACCCGTTAGGTGCTGCTTTTTCAACCTGACGGAAAGTTATAAATGATTGCTAATTATGCAATTTTGATGTAATTATTTATGGTCTCAGCTAAGTCTTTGCTTGTAGTCGGGGAAAATCTAGTAACGCACACAATACTGTTGGCTGGCCACTAGTCAACAGTCTGGCAACTGAATGCAAGTATACTGCAGTTCCCAGGACAACCAGGACTGGACTAATTAACAAAGAGTCGTGCATGCCTCCTTTACAGGTCTTGACAGTGGCAACTTTATGTAAGTATAATTATTCCCAGTAACATTTGCGACCTCCTTTCTCATCCTATAGCCCCAGTTAGTACTTAACTTATAATGGGGCATATCCAGTAGTGTATGACGCACTTCATATACCCTGGACCAAGAACAAAGAGTCTCGCTTGTCCTTTACAATGACAGCTGTATACCGGTATATTTGTTCCTGGCTCAAACACTGCGTCCCTCATAATGTACTCTGCTCCTTTTACTGTTGAACATGTTGCGGCCATAATTTTCCATCCCTGCAAGAAAGGAAACGAATGAATAAGCAATACTCTTAATTAACAAGCAAACACATCCAAGTAGCCTTCACCCGCCGCCAAAATCTTGTCGAGCTATTTCGCAATGTAGCACATAATTTTATATCCTTAACCTAACGGTATCGTTTTAGGGTTTAATTGTTTGTTATTTTCGCTTAGAAATCGATCACCCTTCGCAGATTCTTGTCTACTTGAACTGCCTGTGTACCTACGTTGGAATTTGAAACTGCCATGGTTCTCTTTCGAACAAGTTCCGGAAGCTTTACGAGCATCGCTCCATCACTTTGCAAAAGGCAACCGGGGAATATTGCGGACCAGTACTAAAGCAATTCGAGAGATAATACAGCACGATAAAATTAAAACCCGCCTGATAAACCGAAGTTATATATCTCTTCAGAAGAACTTATAAACACAATTCCTCCAAAATGTTTCCTTACGTCATTACCAATCAGATACTTAGGTTTTAAGATACACATACCGGATGGTCATCTTCCCGGAGCAGAACGACAGCATCTGCTGAGATTCCAGCTGTTTGCGCTGCTTCTTTCTTATTCTTGTACTGGCACAGGGACAAATTCCCAGCACCGGGCCTTCCAGGTGGGCCTGGAGAGCCTAATGCCCCTGATCCAACCCCTCCTGACAGAGTTGCATTGTAACCATGTGGTCCTCTTGGCCCCTCGGGGCCTGGGGGTCCTGGTGGTCCTTGAGAGCCATTAATACCCATGGCCCCCGTTGCTCCCTGGAGTCCTTGTGGACCGGGAGGACCCATAAGTCCTTGTGTTCCATTAAAACCCCTGGGTCCGGGTGGTCCTGGAGGTCCGGGAGGTCCTGGTGGTCCTTGAGGGCCCGGTGGACCCGGTGGTCCGCGCTCCCCATTCAATCCGTCCCTGCCCGGTGGCCCTTGAAGACCTGTACCATTATTTACTCCAACCTTTAATGGAAACAACAGATCGTATTGCTTATAATATTTTAAGAAAAATTTTGAAAGCTTTTTGTTAACTGGTGCCACTACACCGTACCTTGAATAATGTTCCATTACCTTAACAGTTTTCTTCAAAAAACTGACACGGCTTCTTATTTCTGTCATGTTCTTCATTATCACCTTGATCTTTTCATTAGAAACATTCCTTACAGAATCTAAAAGAAAAAAAGACAAGGTTTGATTATGTACATGTACCACGGCGGGCTATTAAGCCTGTGCATGCGTAGCAAGTAAGTAAAAGCGAGATACAATAAAAAACTGTGGGTAAGAACCTGGTTTTTAAGAACATGTTAGTTTATAGGCCCACATGAACCTGTTTAGCCTAACTTTTGAAACAGGTTCTTGTTTTCTAGAATCTATGAAAAAAAATTCTGTACTCATGGGCAAATAAGATAAGTCAGCATTCAAGATCCTCTTTGGAGAGATACTTTAGGTGCCTTATCACTCCAACAGTGCAATTCTTGGTAGATGCAGATTAAGCTAAATACTGCTAAATACTCGTAGTTAAAATAATGTATATTTTTCTTCAGAAAATAAGAACCTTATTAAGAACCTAAATAGCCTAAATTTGTGCTAATTAACATTTAAAGTAAGAACCTATTTAGGCTAACATGGGAAGATGCAAGTTCTTACTCGCGGGTTTTTACTGAGCGATGCTCGTGCGAAAGAAGGCCACCCAGGTCGACGAGAGAGGAAACCTGTCTCTTCGCATGCGTTCTCTACCGACTGGCGGGAATCCTTTGTTCCTGAACCGTCTTCGCACGCTAACTAGTTATTGAATTATCAATTACTTCAGATGTTGCACATTTGAAGTGGTTAACAAAATGATGGCATCATTGTACTGGGGAAATAAGTATTGATCATTCAATGAAAGTATTGCGCTAGATGCTCCAAATTCTATCGCCAAAGAGAAAAAAATTCTGCAATCTTAAACCTCTTTTCTGATCTTAAGAACCTTCGTGGTAGACAAGGCAAATTATATAATCTCTTTTCTGCCCTCAGCCTCACTCCATCTTCTAGTAATGGCCGAATCTGCGGTGCCAAAAATTAAAGAGTTCCTCTCTCACTGAAAGTTACTAAGGAAGTTAAGACTGCAGTATGACGAAGTGTGTAAGAACATTCTCATTTTCATAATTCCTCTTGACCTTAAAACTGTTAAGCATGTAGAATCTACCTTCTGGTAGCCTATCAAACCCAGCAATCCTTTAAACAAACATTTACTTATACCAAAGGGAACGCATTATAGCACGAATATACTCGACTGAATCATTTTGCCCCTTTCATTTATAAAAACTAGGCAGGACTCTGTTAGTATAAGGCTATTGAACTAAAACTTGCTATTCAGACTACAACTACAAACAAGCTATTTTTTTCTACTCCGCAGTTTAGTTATTTCCTACATATCACACTGCAGTGTCAACACTTCGCGGGAACAACACTGGTGTCGACGGGTATTAACTAAGCTCAATCCATCGCTATAATTACCGGGCTGAGTTCCAGAAGGGTCTGATAGGCTTTGCGATTCCTCTACTCAGCATTTTCTCTGACTGGTAAAATTTCTTGTCAAAAGCACTGGTTAGTTTGTTCTTTTTTTGCAGAAACGGTAGACTTAGAGATTTCTTTGCATCGTAGTAATTACGCCGGCGGTACACACCAAGAGAGAATGATCTCATTCTCTCTAGATCTTGTACACACTGATATATTTCGTCAATGTTTCTGTTGCATTAAGTAACAGACCGGTACAATGTATAGTGTTGGACTGTTGCAATTTTGATTTAACATAACATTTTCCTTATGGGCCGGGATCTGTCCCAGAAACTAGACCCTCGTACTCCGACTAAGAACCATTCCGAGTCTGTAAATTACAAGGCCAACTTCAAATTTCACGATATGATTTTTTCTAAATCTACTAAGTATGATAAAGACTCTCAATAGCTTCCTCTTGATGCCCATTTTTAATTAAATTTCATCAATTTGAATTCGTTTTGCTAAACACAAGTTGAACTGAAATTTGACAGGCGTCAATTTAGACTTGACCGGCGTCCGCTTAAAATGTAAACTTACGCCCACGTGGATACCACATTTTCTCAGCTTGCTTAACTAGTCCAAACATTTAAAGAACTGAACATAGTTCGTGTTAGTATTGCAGTGACAGAACAAAAAAAGGATCATAAGTAATCAAAATCTTTTCAGCGTTAGTATTCTTTAACGTATTGTAACTAATTGTTAACATGGTTAATATTGCTGAAAGTACAGTTATTCAGTCAAGCCTGTATGGATCTGCTAAATAGTTACATAGTTTGATCTGACATAAAGAAACCTCATCGATTAAGGATAAAACTTGGAAAAACTAAATGCTTCCACCCTGTTGTTAGGGCGTCGACACAATCCCTGCACTCAATGATTGCTTATATGAGATGTACCAAAGAAAAGTGTTAATCTCATATTTTTCCAAATCTGTTTCCATTAAAATAACTGGTCTTTGAAAGAAAACACGGACACTGGCCTAGCTTTGTTGTTCCTCTTTTTGTCTTTTCCCTTTTTGTTAAGGTCAAGTTATTGTAACTGATTGCTACTGAACCCTCTAAGTTCAAAGTACAGTGGGGTATTTGTAAAACGAGTCTATCCCCATTATCACAAAACACGTATCACGTTAGACAAGGGACAACTCAGTGAATCACAAGTAACCATTAAAAGTTTTAAAAAAGCTGCTTATTCTCTAATAAACTATTAGTTCTGCATGGGATTTTACAAGAATCCATTGAACGCTCAGGCTACAAGCTTCATTATTTTTCCTTTCCCAGTTTAACGTGTCACAAAAGCTGTATTCCTTAGAACCGGCGGATTAGATATGATTAGACCACTTCAGGGCCCAAAGTACAATTCACCTTAACTGTTTCGTATTACATTATGTTTAACGCTGCATTTCGTAGATTTGTGATTAAGACATGCTGTCTGATACAGGCCGTCAATGCACCTCTTTGCACAAGCAGCCAAATAGCCCGCGTAGTAAGCGTTTCCGTGTGGGTTCATTGCACTGAGAAAGACCGAGGCGGGATTTTTGCTTCTCGTTCCTCGTTCTTTGCTCCGAAGCCTCACGAGAACGCTTGCTACGCAGGCTAGCAAGCAAACAAGCAAGAAAGCAACTTTATTGACTACGAAAGAAATACGTAATACCCCCTTTCGCACAATGAATACATAGTACTTCCTTAGAGTTTGATTTAAGAAAGAAAAGAAAAAGACCATAAAGATGAGGAGGAAGTAAAGAAAAAGAGGAAGGAAAAGATCTAGAAAAAGAGGAACAAAAGAACATAAGCACGATTCGCCATGTTTAACTTCGTTTTGTCTTAAGTTAAGTATGGTGACGCACGCACTTTAAAAATCGTCTTCGTTTGTCAGTTGTCAACGACTCTTTTATCGTCGTATTTCGTTAGCGAGGTATTATAGTTTTGGTAATTTTATTTTTCTCTTCGGTTGCTATTATTAGTTAAACAATAAATGCAATTTAAGAGGCAAGAACTGACATTTTGCCTCTTTGAAGCAAACTATCCCCGTGAATAAACATGTTGACCACGCACAAGTCAATCAAGCCACGCGGGGTAAAAATATATCGCAACGTCCGTAATCAACGTTTAGTTTTAAACGAAAAATCAGTTTTCTTTCAAAGTGATGTAAAAGTGATAACTAACGTCGAGTTTTATACGCCGGACTAAAAACGCACAGCACGACTGAGTTCGTTCCATTTTCTTTTTATAAATGCTTCTCAGTGGGCGTAGATTTGCGTAAATCTCTATCAATGTATATTTGCAAAGAAAACGGTTTTTTGGCAGTGATCATCAGATGACTTCCATTCGATCACACTTTAGAAATCCATGATTTAAATAATACCTGATAGAGATCGTTGACGTTACTCTATTGATCAACAGAATACCAAAATACAATATATAGATAGAACTTATGCTGTTATTTTTAAATTTTACGATATTTCTTTCTTTTTTTTTACCGATCTCATTCACATCGCCAAAGACGCAAGCCCCTTTACGTGCAAGTCCAAAAAACTTTCAGTTAAGCCCGGAAGAAGGTGGACAGAAGGCACCCAAAATTTTTGACGACAAATCAGATCGTTTAAAAACATCTTTACTTTAAAAATGTATTCTGTTGTTGAAGTGATACCGGGGGGGAAACTTGAGTGAACTTTGGGCAGGGGTGTGCACAGAGTCCTCCAAACTCTGACTCATTTCGCTTGGTACCACACATGTAGACCGCACACCGCTTACGTTAACACCGGGCTCCTGTTAATTAATACCCTTTTCAAGACTCCCGGTCCAGATAGACACCCTGGTCAAGGCGTTAAAAGTGAAATTGTCGGTGGCACATATCCGTTTCGGTCAATAAGGGAGTGTCCCCCCTGTAAATGCGATGCATTACTGACGATCTAAGATGATGATACATACTTACCTGAACCTTGATTCTTTTCCTGACAGGCGCAGTTATTCTTCAGCTCTTTCATCATAATGAGCACCAAACAAAAGCTTATGAGTGAGAAAATAAATGCAAGTGCTACCAAAGCGCGTATAATACATGGCTCTTTCGGGTAACGACTGCGACGATGCAAAAGTTCATTTTGGGAATCTGTTATCGATCCCCGTTTAATTTCTGACAATTTCATTTCAGTCTTGTTTACTTCTAAGACGCTGTCTTCAACATTCATCCCCAGTGGGGTACCCACTTTTCTCATATCTGTTAAAGAGGGTACTTCATTCTCAATTCTTGTATTTGGATCTACTTTCTCCATCATCGTGATGTCTAGTGGAGGATTTGGATGTACCTTTACTCTAGTTATTGATTTTCCCCGCTTTCCTTTTTTAAAACGATCAATCCATGGGTTCCTGTCTTTTTGTCCTTGCCTACTCTTCAAGCTTTGGCTGGACATGTCTGATGTCTTGTCGGCTTATATGATGCAGCAATTCTCTTCTTTTCGCTTTAAAAGTAATGGAAGAAACTCAAAGCCTCTCGAGTTCGGCGGGAAGAGACGATGATATATTTTCACTGGTGCTACCTCTGTGTATGTTTAGATGATCCAATTTGTAGTTGTATCTGAGAAACTCCGCAGAGTGGGATTACTAGGTAAATTAAATACTTGAAGAAGATCACGAACTTGCTTTTGTGGGAGAAACTCAAACGTTCAGAAACAAAAAAGTCCCAACGAATAAGCAACAATATTATGCTTCTCTCTCCCAGCCAAATTATTACGACCTGAAGTTTTCCAATACGTCGCGACGCTCCGTCTTTGTGGAGAGCAGTTTTGTCTTGTTCCGATTACTATATGAACATGTCAAATCACAAAGCCAATGACAGATGGCATTGTTCTATATAATGATATTTTTAGGGTCATCAAACCCCGGGTCACGAGAGATCAGTTACTCTGCTTTGCAAGTTTTTCTTTAGCATATTACGGTAACACCTCAGAATACACAAAGTGACACTGGAAGTTACAGTAACCGAGCAGAGGGGATTCTGTTTACCAAATATTTGTTGTTCTACTGGTAAGCACAAAATTCCGTAATGCAAGTTTCTAGATGCTAGAGCGGTTTTCACTTGACTGTCGAATTGGGATTGGTTTTGGTTTTGGTTTTACTACGTCCTCTGGTTGGCTAGTGTATTTACTTTGGTTTTGGTTTTACGACAGTCAAGTGAAAACCGCTCTAATTCTCTCTCCCTTCTAAGCTGGCTAGACCCGTCAATTAAATTGTTTCATTACAAATATTTAACTGACACCAATCAGGCAAATAACTCACATGTGGTCGAAGATAGAACGGTACTGCATGCGTTTTGGGTATGTCAGCATAGCACTGAATCACTTACAACTGTATCATCGGATTTTAGTCTCCGTTGTTCCGACGACCGGGAGCCGAGAAACGTCCTGAGTAACATAGACCTGTGTCAAAGGACAACTCGGCAGAAAAGGCCAGAACATTTTTGTTGGGTTGTTAATAAAAATATAAAAAGTTCGAATACACACTTGAATTCAGTTTCTCTATTTAAAAAAAAGGGAAGAAAATAAGAGAAAGAAGACAATTAACAGGTGGTCTTAAAAAACTGGGAAATTCCACCAAATGCTTTGCATCGTAGTACAACTGTGACTGAATAAGTTTAGCAGGGGTTTAGGTCTATTTTTTTTAAAACTGTAATGACACTTAAAAAGTGGATTACTTTGTCGGCTGCGCTGTTGTGTAATTTAATGAACCTTAACAAATGAGCTAACTCTTAAACCTTGGGTCTTTTAATCAGTGCTTATATCTATATGTAGAGAAAAAACATTCAACGCTGCTCAAGTTTAAATCGAATAACCAACGTCATCACTTAAGTTTCGTTTGCTAAACGTAAGATATCTTTTACATCCCTGAAGAAACTTGATTAGCGAAAAGAACTGGTAAACAGCATTTTATGTAATGATGGTTCTGTTATTACATATTGAATAATCCGAAAATGTGCCACTGGTGCGAAGATTAGTAAAACTCCCTATCTGATATGCATTGTTTATTTACTCTTATTACGTAAACATTAATTCACGGACACTCGGGTAAAAGTGAATTTTTGGAGAAAATAATTCCTTTTTTTTTTCACTCCAGAACATGAAGCTTTCAAGATCAGAACTTCAGATTTTGCAATAGAACCGAGTCGGTAAGGTTATTTCCCATGTTTTCATTTTCATAATTATATGTCAATCCTGAATGCAGCCTTAGTCGCCTTTTTGCCAAATTTTACAAGATCAAAGGTCTATAAAATTTCCTTCGGATTCCTCGTTGAAGCTTTTTTTTTACCATAAAACATCTTCTTATAAAACGACATTTCAATCAGCTCACCGCAAAAAGCGACCCGAAAATACTGCAAAATAACTCCATGCAGCATTTTTGGTTTATATTCATGACCGCCAGGGTCCTGAATATGAAATTAAAAACCGGTATAACATGTTAAACGCGATAACAAAGTTCGCTAAAGGCAAAAAATGCATGACACAATCTCCAATCATCGAGGATTTGAACCCCTAATACGTCGACTAGACTGGAAAAAAATCAACGATTCTTTTTTTATATTTGTAATCTCACAAACATGAAATATAATGCAATGACTCCTGGGTTCAGAAACCGTTCACAGATGAAATATAGTGTTGTAAAGATGTCCTTTTTAAAGGAGATCTTTAATTAAAATGAATGAACTCTTGTCCTGGTTTAATATCATCGGTGGTTTTTGCAAATTTATAGCCTATCGCAGAGTACCTGGAGCTCTTTGTATGACTGCAGTAACAATGAAAGTAGAAAGAAGAGACTTGCTTTGAGTTTTGTTTAGTACTCTTTTGAGGTTGGATTTTTGAGGCTTGCAGTTTCACAATCTCTTGCTTGTATGACCTGCATAACATGGATGACGTCCAAATACTGAAACAAAAACAAACAAGAAAAAGACAATAGTATTTAACCTTGCTTGTCTTTTAACCCCGTAGTCGAGTCATGTTACTCTACTCGATCAGCACGACGATACCGCAGTATGCAGCGCTGGAATTTTTTTTGGCAGCCAGCCGCAATTATGGTCTTGCAAACCGGAAGGGGTGGGAAGAACGAAAGTGGGAGGGGAGGGGAGGGGGAAGGTAGAGGGTAGGGGTCAGTTACCCCCCTCCGCTCCATGCCGCCTCTTTTAACTGAGTCAATTTAGATCACAATATTATCTCCGGCTATGATTTACTTATCCATAGCTGCTGATCAGCCTTGCCCTCGATTTACAAATTTATTCTATATTGCTGATCCTGATCTACACCAAAATCCGGCTTTTCTGATCTTCCCTGCTGATTGTCCAAGTGGTCCTTGTAAGACTTCACAGTTCGCTGCTACCTTAACGCGCAAATTGCGCCACTCTGACGTCATTTTCATGGCCTTTATACTCTCATCGACCTTAGCTCTTGACCAATCAGCGGTCGAAAAATCTCTCAGTTATTGTTAAGGTAGTATTTCCTGCGTAGCAGGTAGCAGGCGTTTGAAACGGAAGGGATCTACGGAGCGGCGCGCGAGAACACGAAGGGCGCCCGAAAAAGGGAGAAGCTTCAGAAGGGAAACTGTTTTCCTCCAGCTGGGGCAATAAAAGCTAAGTGAAAATGGAATACAGTAGAAATCCGCGATTAAGAAGGGGTCTAAAAACCTGTGAGGCTTAAGTTAGCCATTTAGGCCCTCTCTATACAAGAACCTGTTAAGCCTTAAGTTTGAAACAGGTTCTCATTGTCACTTCTAAAATGCATTAAAAACTGGTGCACTTGGGCAAATATCCTATTGTGCAAACGAGCATAAAAGAAACGAAAGGTATAGTCGAGTGACAAAAGAAAAATAGACAACGTTGTTTACTTGTTTAACATTATACTTTTAAGGACCTATAAACATACAGCTAAGAGCTTGATCTACAAACAGTGAAAAAACGTCAGTGGACTCACGTAGAACTGCATTAAAGTTGGATTATCAATAATCGGAAATAATCGCAAGGGCCAGCCGAAAAAGGACTTGTTAAAACAAGTTAATCTTTTAGCAGATTATTCAATTAACATTGGATTAGAGCTAAAGCACCGTCCTTCCCTTTTGATTTCACACTGCTCATCACTGTAAAGTGGCCGATTTTTAATTTGGTTAGTGATAGGTAATTCAAAAAAGACCATGGAGAAATCCTTCATTTTTAAGGTGTGTTTTTATCCATGTAAGTCACGTACTTATTGAGTTCCGCTCTCCACGGATGGGCATATTAGTGTGAACAGTCCAGTATATCAGAAGCACCTCTTAAGCGATGCGTCAAGAGGCCATCCGTAACACTTCTAACGCACGTTTATCCTTTGCGTTTGTGTTATGGGTGTGAGAGTCTGAAAACCTCATCCTGGACGAAAATTGCTCTCCAACAAACATGTGTGCTCTACCAATATACCCGGTTAAATGCCCGGGCAAAAGATATTCATGTCGCCGTAGTTGTTAACAACCTACGGTTTAGGCGCAGGTTTCACAAAGCGTGTAATAATGTTGCAANCGGATGGGCATATTAGTGTGAACAGTCCAGTATATCAGAAGCACCTCTTAAGCGATGCGTCAAGAGGCCATCCGTAACACTTCTAACGCACGTTTATCCTTTGCGTTTGTGTTATGGGTGTGAGAGTCTGAAAACCTCATCCTGGACGAAAATTGCTCTCCAACAAACATGTGTGCTCTACCAATATACCCGGTTAAATGCCCGGGCAAAAGATATTCATGTCGCCGTAGTTGTTAACAACCTACGGTTTAGGCGCAGGTTTCACAAAGCGTGTAATAATGTTGCAATCAATTTTTTTTATTTTAATTAATTTTCCATTTCTTTGTTTCGAATTCATTAGCATACATCACCATAACCCAAAAGCGTGGATGAACAAAATTAAGGGGTACACTTAAAGGCGGCCATTTGTCAGAGTTAAAACTCACTACTCCGTTGCATTTCTGATTCGTTGAACTTGGCTTCATTTCGAGTCATTGTTAATCTTTAGCTTTCACTCTATCTTGTTTAGGCACACATTCCTCTTAAATTTTAGTCCGGGTTTCTTTTCCTTTAGTGTTCGAAAGAATTTTCTCGAATAATTTTCTCTATCCTTTTAAGATCATCCAATAGTTACATTGTAGACAAAAAGAATTAAACTGAATTTGGTTTTTTCAGCTTTCATCTCTGAAGTCAAATGCCGCGCTAAACGTGGGTTATCTTAACCCAGCTTTGAACAACCCGACCTTGTAGCATCAGTCATAACTGTTTATCAGAGAGAAGAAAAAAAAAGAAAGCAAAGTACCCGCCTGTATACAGGAACATTTTTTTAAAAATTAAACAACTGGAAAAAGGACACAAAATTCAGCAAAACACTTAATTCTTTGAATTCTTTTATGACCTGCATAAGACACGCATATTTTAAATTTTAAATTCCTTTGCAGATATTACAAGTGTCGCGTGATGGATGCTGATATTTTCGCTTTTATATTAGAGATTATGCAATCACGTTTCAGTTCTAAATAGAATGCTGACATATTCTCTCGCTCTATCGAGTCTTTTGTTTCGCCCAACAAAGCAATGTCAATGGAACGCACTCAAATACAAAAGCAAACAAGCAAGCATCCTGAAAAATGGCCAATCGAAACGTCATATTAGAGCCAGTTACGTAAATACAAAAGGTTTTGCCCTTCTGATTAACATACGGCTTACCGATTCATTCATTCGTGAAGTAGTCTTCGCAATATACACATATATGTTACTGAGGTGAAAGTTTTTTAAAGTTCGACGACAAAACAGCAATTTGTTTTTTCATCCGCTGCTCCTGTTTGGTTTTTATAAATGGCGCAAAACGGTCACCCTCAGAATCGCGCCTATAGTCCCTACGCAGTGGACAGCCCGGTAGTTCCACCGAGAGATTCCAGTTCTTTTAAACCGGGAGTTTATCAGAATAATGCTTACTCAAACTTAGGATACACGCAAAGCCAAGAAGATGTCTCCAAACTGAGGCCCAGCTCTACAAAAGGGAACTATCTAAACCCTACGTACGAAAATTCCGAACTTTCACATCAATATGAAGACCCTACGCACTTGGTCGCAAGGAGTGCTGCAAGCACAGGACCTCGAAGGAAACGAAATGAATTGTACGAACCTACCGAAATTAACAAAGGCCAAGAAACAAACGATGATGTGGTTAGTGAAAGCGTCGCGGGTGGGGACTCGTGGTTAAGTAGACTGATCTTGTTTTTAATTCTGATGGTTTCTTTGACCTCGCTTATTCTGGTCGCGTTGATAATCATTGGCAAAGTTGGGCCAGTCTGTTCCTCTTGTAACGAAGAAGAAGGTGAGACGATTTTCCTACTCTTACTAAAGTTCACTTACTTTCTTTCATGTTAATTTTTGAAGGCATTTCAATCCTGCATCTTCGCACAAAAAGACACCGCTGTTATAGTTTTAATTAATGTTTGTGCATTAGTCGGATAATTCTATATTGTATCAGTATGCGGCATGTCTCGCAATAAATCCGTTAAGAAATAAGTGAATTATATTTGCGATAGATCGAAAAACAAAATTGTGATTTATATTCACTTATTTCGGCTACTTCAGTCAAAAGTATCCAGACCACTGGTAAAAGTGCTTTTCTGTTAGTTTTCCAAGTCACTGCCGAGTGCCGACACACAGAAATTGAAAGTAGTTGCCAACAACAACCACAGGTGCCTTCCCTAATAGGAAAATATTTTCACTCTTTGGAGATTATAAGACTTTTTAAGTACCTTTCACAGACATATTTAGTAATTGTATTCGGCACTGATGAAAACATCGGAAACTTTCGAAATTTGAAAACTGCGCCATACGTGTCCAAACTCAGTCATTCTCTCTGTCTTTGTGAGCTTAATTGAGGCTGTTTGTTCCGATCCCGCATATTATTTGCCGATTGTTTGTTTACTTGTGGCATAACTTATTAGCTAGGTAATGGGCAACTCATCAGAATCTATAATCTCAGATGATCACCCGGTAATATTTCGCGAGTCCGTTATAGCTAAAAATACTTTTTTCTTCTGGATCAAAGTAATCTTTGGTAAGAATAATTTTCCGTTTTACCCCATTCATTTATTATGCATACGTTATTGTTTCGACTATTTGAGAGAAAAAGTATGAAATTGAGGCATGCATATAAATGTATGTGGTTATATAGAAATCTTACCGTTTTTCTAATAACTCATTCAACTCTCTTCCAATACATGCATGTAGCTTCTAAAATGGTGGTTTTATGACACCTGGAACCGCTTACTCATTTTAATTTTCGGGCAGATAAAGCAAAAGATTCCGTTTACTAAAAATGGAAGGATCCTAATAATTGTAAAAATCGCTTTTATCCCATTTTAAGCTTACGATAAACAAAAATGCCTGTCTGATTGGGAGTATGAGGACGGGTGTGAATTATGGCTTTCAGTTCTAACTATTTAAGGAACGTTTGCAGTTTCTAGAAGTCAGTGTCATCCATCTTTTTTTCCGCAACAGCATTGATTGATCTTAAATTAATTCATCTGGAACTAATTGAAAAATGTTTTCTCATGTTATGGATAACTAAGAGTATGCCACCCTACACGCAATTTTCGTTATTGTGTTTAAATAGTTTTTTTCTTGATCGGTAAATTTCCAGGGCCAGTTGGCTTGCAACAGACTTACAGGATTCTCCTGGTCTACATGTATATTATAACCAAGAGAGGATAAAGCTTTATTCTCTCTAGTTATAACTCAAATTTTTTAAAAGAAATAAAAACTTTAAAAAAATACTCGGAAAAATAATCCCCAGTTGAACGAGATTGATGTTTGAAAAAGAATGCCTTATGAAAAAATGCTGAAAATAGCGTTTTCGAGTTTCTGGGATTTCAGATTTTTCCCTCGCGACTTCGGCGGTCTCGTCTGAGAGACAAAAGTTTGTCTACGGACCTGGCAGTCATCAACTCATCAGAATTTACAACATCTTCATTTGAAGTTAAATTTTTGTTGTACTAGTTTATTATTACATTTAGGGCTTTTGTTTGGTTATAAACTTTCACCAGGTTATATCGTTATGATACACGGAATCCTTCCATAACAATACATGTATACCATTAAAAGACATGAAAATCACTAAATTCATACACAGGTACCTGTCACACTGTATCACGGCGAATATGTCATTTTAGACGTTGGGTTTTATGTCGTATGCAGAATGCGCAAATGATAATATGGAACCTTCTGAATTTTCTTCGAAGATTTATTTGAGGTTTAGCCAGTCGGGTCACTATAATATGTGCTAGCTCTGTCGCATTCAGTGAGTACAGTTTTTCAGTCATTCATAACTGTTTATGATTGTTTTAAGATTCTCAACTTAACCGCTGACCATTTATCTGCGTCCATCATAACAAACTTTCTCGAAAAGATAAATTAAATACAAGACAAACAAACAAAAAAGACGGAACGATATTGCCTTATTTTAACTATTTTTTTTTTCATCGCCAGCAACTTCCGGATGTTTCATCTTTGAACATGTAGAAGCTAAGTCCATACCCACACACAAGCAGAAGCTAAACTCTTTATTTTAGTGACTAAGGGAGACAAAGTATAAACTGGGTTTCAACTCAGGCACAGACTATCTTAGAGGAGTCAGTACTATATACTATTTATATCATAACATTAGCCGATGTATGTTAGAGGCCGAATGCATGTTGCTAAACCGTGTTTCAAGTAGTCAGGAAAAGGATGAGAAATCCGAGGTCTTGAGAATGACACGAGAGCCACAAAAATGTCACTATGAGAACGCCTGCTTAAGGCGGATTAGGAACGTAGCCCAACAAAAGGGAAAAATTGTTTTTGATAAGCCTCACTGGTACTTCTTTAGTGCAAAAGCGGCAACAAACAAGAAGTAACTACAACTCTAGCGGCACGTGCACGCTTTAGTTCTGTGAAATGTACTCGCCCTCCCTGTACAATCTGTCGACCATGGATGATGACGTATTACTCAATTGTGTTGTGTACATGTAGAGTCCCCGCCAGCCTCTCTCGCGGGAAAACAGTGATTAGATCAAGCCAATCAGCGACTACTGTTTCGGCCGGTAATAGTCTGACATCTCCAATTCATTCAGTTATAGGCATAAGAAATTCATGTATTTTCAGTCGCGCGTAGTAAGTGTCGTATTGTTTGGGTCGGTATCCAACTATCGAAGATCGCTTACGAAACTTTCACGTGGTGAAAGGATTTGCCGTGAATTTCTCAGAAGAGAGATACGTGAAACATAAAGACTGGTGATGTCAAGTTTCGGACAATTTCCTCAGCGGGATTTTAGTCCCGTTGATACGTGTGATGTTCGTTTCGAGTCACCGCGTTCATCGCATACGCGTTTGTTGGCAAAGCCTCAGCGGGAAGTTGATGAAGAAAAAGGCCATCAGTACGAGGATCCTTCGGGTCTCACTGATCAGGTTCGAGCACTACAGGCAGGAGAAAAAAACCGGCGAAAACGCTTTAATGACCTTTATGAACCTCATGTTCCACTTAAAGAATTGCGTGTTACAAGGAAAAGAGACATGTCAGACTCGTCTGATTATTGTGACTCCTACTCGAGGGAATGGTGTTTAAATCGATGCGTTTTATTTTTCGTTCTTCTAACTTCGGTCACAGCTTTGATATTAGTGGTTCTTATGATGTTGGGCAAGGTTGGGCCGGCTGTTGAAAGATGTGCGTGTGTGAACACGGAACAAGAAAGCTATAATAAAAAAGGTATTATAATCTTTTATTTACGAAAAGCCACGCGGTCGGCGTTTTACAAAGTACGATATACATGAATATTTCAGCTTCGTAATCCTCAAAAAAATTTCACTATATTATCGATTGGTTCGAGTTTTAAACAACGTCTTTCGCGAGTCCGATCACACCACACCATGGTTCGACTATGAATAATTAATACAACGCGTGGACTAGACACTTTGAATTACATTGAGCCCTCAGGGTAACCATAGAAATTTAAAAATCAAATGATCAGGCATTCTATAAGGATGCTAAACATTTCACATTATTTTATTTAAGAAACTGTCGATGAATATCAATAATTGATTCCTTAAATTCTCTATTATAACATACTATTCTACCTATAAATATCCTAGCCACTAGCATGTGCACGGCCATAATAGAAAGAACGTCAAAAATGCTTTAAAATTTTATTTGAACGTAAACAAAAGACGACATTTGCAGTTCAAATATTTAGACACATATTCTTCATTTAGCGTTTTGTTAGATTTTCTAACGTACAATATGTGACTGAAGTGAAATCGTATATAGGTTCGGATTTTTAAAACTTTAAACTCTGTTGTCTCGTTTCCTGCTATATTAGACTTGCGTATTGAGGGCCGCGTTATATTATAAAAAGTGCCTGCGTTGTTAGTACCCAAACTGTGCTACCAAGTGAGCACGTTCTATATGAAAAAATAGCATTTGCGGCGCGGCAAAAATGCGCCTTGTATCCTTCCTTTTTGTTAATGCAAAGAGAGTTTCGTCCACCCTAATATAATGTTTGAACAGTTTATGCGTAGGTGCTTTAAGAAAGTGGGTGAATTAATTAAAGATCAAATGGAAAATTTTAACGAGGAAGCAAGGGATACTTTGTCTATACCTATCCCGGGAGAGTTGCAATTCTTTATGCGCATTTGATAATAATTGTATGATAATTTGCACAATATAAATGATAAGTATTATTACTATTATTATTATTATTATTATTATTATTATTATTATTATTATTAAATTATTATTCTACTTTAGCGTACAAAAAATAGACTTGGTCATGCATATGCGTTGCGAAATATTGGGCTAAAGTTCATTGTGTTTGTCAGTCTTGTCACTGCTGTTTTGTCTGATCCTGGGCTTCCAAATCCCAGTTCCTATGCCCGGATTGGTGTTTACAAAGACATTACGATCTGTCAACTGCGGCTACGTGATCAACGAAATCGTCCCTGAAAAACTGTTTAAAAACTTGTTTCGCAGTTAGTCCAAGAAGCCCTGTTTATAAAAATCGGGGAATTAATTAGGCTAGAGTTGTAGAGGACGTAGGACGTAGGATCGTGGGAATTCTTGGTGGAGTGTGTCACCCGGTTTTCCTGTAAAATCCATACCCGTTTTCAGACCTGGCATCTAAGTAATTATGTCATCATTACTTAGATTAGAACAGCAACATAAACGATTTCTTAGATTCTATTTCGAATTCGCATATTTCTCTTTTTTTCTTACTCATTTGGAATTGAAACGATAAATACGTTCATTCACTATTATTTCAGTAGCCACAGCTCCTTCTGGGCAACAATTAAGTGGTTCTCAGACTACAGTTAAACCAGGTAGCGTAGTGGTTTCACCGCCTGACGTCTCATCACTCGAGAACAAAATCAATGAACTGAAGGCGAACCTTTCGTGGATCAAAGCAATTATGGTAAGTGTCAAGTTCGTTCACTCTTAGTTTAAAGTATCTTACGAACCTGTCGACCAATTACCTTTCTGAAAATTCCCGAGTTACTTGTTCATGATTACCACCACCACCCCCATCGTCATCATCATCATCATCATCATCATCATCATCATCATCATCATCAACACCATCATCAACACTATCAATCATCATCATCATCATCATCATCATCATCATCATCATCATCGGGTCATGTAGCAGCTGCTCGGAAGAGAAGTCACCAATGATGCGTTTCCCTGACCCCAACCGATACTAAAACAATTGGAAGAATGACATGTCATTGTTTCCTGTGACCAATTAGGAGAGACCTTACGAGCAGCTCCTACACTACTCTCATCATCATCATCGTCACCATCATCAATGGGTTCCGGTAAGCTCCTACTCACGAGGCTATTGGGAAGGAGTCTAAACTCAAAAACGACCATCTTCGAGATGATGCCAATATTTTTTGGAACCACTCAATTTATCCTTGCATATTCTAGTTGCAGACTACTTGTGAAATGCCGTTCAATGACTTTAGTAATCAATGGAATTACTTATGATTTAAATCCTACAGAACAACCTGCAGCAAGACATACAAGGAACCAAAGGGGATCTAACTAACACAAACAGAGACATAAATGGCACAAACGATAAACTATTACAAATACAGAGTGGAACACAGGACTCCATTGAAAAGGTAAGCGAGTTATCTTTGACTACATCCAAATACGGTGGGTTAAGCTTAAAAATTATGACTTATTTTTATGAAGTCTTTTGTTAAGATATACCTGTACAGATCTCTTTTTGTTTTAGATGTATTGTATTTAAAAAAATTAAGTACAAAAACATCGACACTAAATGAACTACATGTTTTCGTTCCACGAAAATTAGCTTAAGATCTTTAGACCCCTTCCAGGGATTCAAGTGCCTATAACGGTGCTGTGTAACTGTTGTTTTGGAAATAATTTTGAGTTTAGCTGTTTTAAGTGTTAAAAACTAGCTGTAAGTAGCGGCAAAGCGCAGTTCATTTCTGTTGCATTTGACGTTCTCATTTTCGTCTCTATCGTGGCCGCACAGTAATTGTCACACCTTATTTTGTAGATTCAGAATATCAGTCAGAGGCTCGATGCATCTGTGAGTGCTCTTAATATCAGTTTCTTTGGAGAGTTGAGTAAAGTGAAGACAAGTTTTGACTCAAAGGCAAGTGCTTGTAAAATTATTTTGGTTTATCCTGGTCTCCGATTCCATGACATGTAATCCTGTCTGAATATAGTGCACTATATTAACTAAAGACAGTCTAAAAAAACCCAGAAGGTTATTTTACTTTACGTCTACATTCACATCTTCATTAATTTTCGTCGGTAAGGTAGTTAGACATCACACCATATTTTATATTAATATAACCGTCATATAGGCTTAATTCATTAGTAATTATTTCGCTGATACGTCGTTTCGGTTCTAAGCGTATACGGTATCCCACATGCTAAAGCGTGCTAATGGAATGTGTTATTTCATAATTCTTCATAACTTGGAAGTTGAATTTCAATAGTTTACCTTATCTAATTGAAAAAGAACTACAACGAAGTAGTAGTGTAAACGACAACTTTTATCCGATCTTCAGCAGAATTCATCCTCTATTTTCGTTCTCCTGTGGGTAGATACCAACACTTTGTTGATTGACTAACTTTGCCGTTACATATTTTATTTTACAGTTAAACAGCACTGCTCAAAACCTCTTAAAAGCTGACAATTCGCTTCAAACACTTCTTAACACAATCAACAGTTCTCTGAGCGCTCAGGTAATTTTTTTGTTGCTTATTCAATGTTCACATTAATCGTAAACCTTTTGGTAGACAAGAAATTTCACACTAATGTTATGTTAAATGTTAGCAGAATATTTTGCTTTACTGGTGGTATCTGATTAAAATAAAAAAATGCATAATGCATTTATCATGAATTAATTTTGTAGGTCCAAAGTATAAGCAAGTCGCAGGGCCCCACAGGGCCACCAGGCTTTAATGGATCAAAAGGTGTCACAGGTCCTCAAGGACCTTTGGGGCTACAGGGAGACCAAGGAAATCAAGGGGTCAAAGGAGATCCTGGGGTCAAAGGCGATCGGGGATTTAATGGTACCGACGGTGCTGCCGGGCTAAAAGGTGATACAGGCCCTCAGGGTGACAAAGGAGATCTTGGGCCTCCAGGACCGAAAGGAAGTAAAGGAGAAACAGGACCACGGGGAGCACAAGGAGCAGGAAACTTCAGCCAATGTAGTTATAAAGAGTATCAAGGAACTACCGTAACGGTTTCACCTGATGCAACTGCTGATGCTGACGTTTCTGAGACAGCGGTTAGTCATTTTATTTCTTTTACCATTTCAAGTACATTTACCATTTGCAAATTGTGTGGCGTTGAAGACTATGAGTAGTTCCTTATTTCATCGGGAATAATAGAGCGATTAATGATTTGCAAGCGCGCATGAAAAATGACTGTGAAGGCAACAGGCAGAGGGAAGCGCCTCTCTCCTCTCTCGTGCGACGTCTCTCTTTTGTGGGTGGGGATTTTCACGGGCTGTCGCGTGTTTCGCTTGCTATTCTATGCTATAGGAAATAAGAAACTACCCTCGCATACCCTAGTGCTATGGTGATTTGCAATGCTTCCCTCTTGTAGGTCTGAAAAAATTCCCTTAGCATAGTTGTTACATATATCCCAATAACGAATACTCAAATGTGAATGTCAGCAAACAAACTAAATGACGTAATCTGACTACAAAATAAAGCAAGAAAGCATTTGATGTTGTCTTAAGTAATTAATTTCGGCGCATGTGTATCGAATAATACCTGACAGTAAGGTTATATATTATAGTTATTTGCTCAATTATGAATCCATTGAAAATGTTAAAAGTTTGAGGTCACAGCTTAAGTTTTAGTTGTAGTAACATTCTAATATGTAAATGTGAAAGAAAAGTGCAGACTCGCAGAGAGAGTCACAGTGTTGTACTTAAAGTGAAGTTTATATGACGAACATTAATTTATACTGTAATCAACTCTCGTAAATTTTGTTGTCATTATTATTATTATTATTATTATTATTGTTTTTGTTGTTGTTGTTGTTTGAATAATCACATTTTATCATGTAATTTTTTTTCTTGATGTGTAGGGCAAGAAAATTCTGGGCGTTTCCTGCTCTACAAACAACGCTAAAGAGTACAATCTACAAAGAGTACAAAATGGACAACAATACAAGTATCTTTGCACTTGCAGGGGTAAATCAGACTTATTTCAAGACAGTCCAATGTGGTGCAAAGTTCACTACTGGGAATGCCCTCTAACTACATAGGTACGCATGTCACATGCAGCTGTATCTTCGATGAAACAGTTTAGTTAGCATTCCAGGCGTCTTCAGGCTGCAAGTAGGCCCATGGGGAGACGCACTGGGGGAAGAGAACAAAGAAAATTACCATTATAAGTGGTGTAAGCTCTTTGTTTGTCTTGTCCCAATGCGTCCCTTGCTATCCAGCAATAAGGCGGTCTTGTACCATGTTAATGCGCCTACTTCTTTTTGAGATTGGATAAACGGACGCAGAGAGAGAGGTATGAGGGTTTGAGAGACAAAAGAGAGACTGTATCACTCAATGAACCTCTTCTTGGAAGCGGGTCAAACCTAGAAATTTCACTGTTTCGCCGCAGTTTAGAGATGCTAAGGACGTGCACCAGAAATAGCTGGCCAGACTAGTCTAGTCGTAAAGAGAATTCCACTATCAATCGGAACTTTCACGCCAGATCCTGCCTTATTCTACAATAATATGCACGACAGTCTTAAGCGAAAAACTCTTTAAAAAACCCTCTTTAATACTTGTCTGGGTGGCCAGTCCTGACCTTTGGAATGCGCCCTAAATCTGGTGCACTTGGCAACATGGTAGAACTGAAAGGGAAATTCAGAGACTATTCCCTTTACTGTACAATTATTCTCTTTGGTAGTTTCCCTGCGGCTACGGCATGTAGACACCCAAAAGGTGCCATATTTGTACATATACTAATACCTTATTTTTGCTCTATGTTACCGTTGTATATCCCCGTGGCCCTGTGAATAGATTAATAAGTGCCATTATATTACAATTAATTGACTAACCGTCCTCAGGTTAAACCAGTATACAGTCAAGGTTACCAGAGTTAGAGCCATAGCAAAAAAGGTAGCCTTAATAGGTTAAATTTTGATTTAATTTGAGAATGTACTTTTCCAACCACATGTCCCGGGGGGGGCACTTGGGTATTTTTTGGGTGGGTATGTTCCGCCCCGGACTCCAAATTGGCACCCCGTTCTAAAAACAATTTCCCCTAAAATTGATACCCCGTGCTAGAATTCGCCCTAAAACTGATACCCCGTTCTAGAAATGGGCCAATTTTTTATATTCCGTTCTAGGGTGCAAAGAGTACAACAGTTTGTTTGTTAACGCATTGAACCCTATTTTTAAAAGCCATCTGTCCTTGAATAATTTCAAATGGCTGCTTACAAAACTGGAGCTTTCGAGCGTTCGAAATATCATACCCCGTTCTAGAAAACGCTTCTAAAATGGATACCCCCTTCTAAAACAGGAGCTTCAAAATCACGACCCCGTTGGGCGGCACATACCCGTATAGGTAATGTATGGGAGTACCCCCCCCGGGCCACATGTACAGTGTATATGCATCTGATATCACAAAAGCACAAGGTAAACAAGATGTATATTTGAATATTTTTAATGAGAACACGATTAAAGGTTCTTTTATAGCTTCATAGATTCGTTAAGGGCATAGAAGCTAGTCACCAATATACTGGGCTACTTCTGGCCTCTTGTGTTATGACTAATATCCTCGCTGAAGTATTCGAAGGAAAAAATGGTTATCGCTAGGTGACCCAGGTTGCCTTTGCTAATTATATTTTATTATTATTTTTTATTGGCGACGATTGATGTTTTAAACCTCCATGCCAGAATTTTTTCTTTTTATAGATTGTATATGGATAATCCATAATATGTTTTGGAGCATGGTACTTCTACTTATTTTGAATGGTGAAAAGACGATGTTTTTTATTTATTTATTTTACCTCAATACGGAATTGACCATAGTTTACATGACTTAATTCTTATAAATCCGCTGTAATGCCTAGAAAGTCCAGGAACATATTTGTTCTTTTGCTTTTGATATGACATTACTTCAGCCTACTCAATGGTTCAAAATATCGGTAAGCGCAAACCCCTTTGAAAAGGTTTCTATGAATAAAATCACAAGTTTTAGCTATAAAAATTTGAAATTTAATAAGGGCTGACTGACAAATCTTGTGGAAACTCTTAACCTTTATCTACTGTTTACATAGCCTGTTCTTACCACGACTAGAAATAATTAAGGTAGCTCTTTGGCTGTCCTTAATAGAGTACGTAATAACTGACTTGTTCCTAAAAGGTTAAGAAATTTGTCCATTTGGTCATATGAACGCAGAAAGCAAAGGCGTGCCTTTAATTTCTGTACATATTTTTTCTTAGTTGAGAATTTTTTTATGCTGTCATTCATTCGTCATATTCAAGTGTAAAGTTAATGTGAAATTAACAAACGTTAAAACAATTGTAAGAATACGGAATATTATATAAACACAATTCTTACCCGAGGTAAGTGGACTGGTTGTTTACACTCTCCCCAGGGGGAAGGGGAGGGGGTACTTCCCTACAGTAAGGGCGGGAGTGTTCGCCATGAATTTATAATTTCAAAATATAAATTATATATATGCCATAATCTCGCTCTGTGGGCGTGGCCTAAATTCATTTTAAGCCTTTAAAGGTACCAAAAGCAGCTGAGAAACAAATAGTTTATGCGTTATTTGGAGTTAAACCTTCAACAGTAGAATTAAAAGTTAATTAGTCATTACCTGAGTTGTCATTGTCAACAATCCCTCAGCTTTATGGTATGGGCTAATCGTGTGAAATTTTGTCCTTCGGCTATCGCCCTGTCTACCTCAATCGCTCTTCCCTGTTTGAACCTGTTTAGCTGACAAGGGACTGTCTCACTCTACGAGAAAGGCAACATTACTTCATTCCTTGAAATCAAAGGTCAATTTAATAAAGCTTTTACAAGTGTATAACTTTACATTCTCAGACTATCGAACAATGGCCACACTTAAAAATTACTCTTGTAAAAGGTTTATTTAATGGGGCCCAGACCCCTACTTGATCTTTTGAGACCGTAACCAATTCTCAACCTAACGGTGTGTATATTTGGTTGGATTTTCTTGGTCGCCGCCTGTTCGACTGTAACTAGTTGAAAGGAAAAATCCCCTGTGCTTTTGTCCTCTGTGTCCTTGCCTGCCTAATTTCTCGTTCGTCACCCTTGTAGGCGGTTTATTTCCAGACGGCTTACCGTTGATAATCTTTTATAATTCACACCAGCAAGGAGTTCTCTGTGAGAGGGAACAGTTTATGATGACGATTATAATATTTCTGCCCTTATTTAATTTGTTACTGAGCGTCTCCTAAAAATGTGAGTTTATGACCATTACTACAGTGTACCGGCACACCATGAATCTCGGTACAACAAATTATACTCTACTGACATTTGTACCACATAATGTTTACAAGCTTTGAAAAGATTTTTTAGATTTAAGTAAGACGACACGCATCATTTTCGTGATTGTTTTTTAATAGTTTTTTTCTTGATCGGTGAATTGTCAGAGCCAGTTGGCTTGCAACAGCCTAAGGACTTTCCTGGTCTACATGTATATTATAACCAAGAGAGGATAAAGCTTTATTCTGTCTTGTTATAACTCAATTTTTTTTTAAAGAAATAAATACTTGAAAAAATACTCAGAAATGTAATCCCCAGTTGAACGAGATTGATTTTTGAAAAAGTATACCTTATCAAAAAAAATGCTGAAAATAGCGTTTTCGAGTTTCTGGGATTTCAAATTTTTCCGAAGTGGGTGCCACCAGATCACAAGAGCGGCTCGCGACTTCGGAAGTCTCGTCTGAGCGACAAAAGTTTGTCTACGGACCTGGCAGTCATCAACTCATCAGAATTTACAACAACTTTATTTGAAGTTAAATTTTTGTTTTACTAGTTTATTATTACATTTAGGGCTTTTGTTTGGTTATAAACTTTCACGAGGTTACATCGTTATGATTCACGGAATCCTTCCATAACAATCAGGTATACCATTAAAAGACATGAAAATCACTAAATTCATACACAGGTATACCTGTCATACTGTATCACCGCGAATAGCTCATTCTAGACGTTGGGTTTTATGTCGCTTGCAGAATGCGTAAATAATAATGTAACCTTTCGAGTTTCTGGGATTTCAGATTTTTCCCTCGCGACTTCGGCGGTCTCGTCTGAGAGACAAAAGTTTGTCTACGGACCTGGCAGTCATCAACTCATCAGAATTTACAACATCTTCATTTGAAGTTAAATTTTTGTTGTACTAGTTTATTATTACATTTAGGGCTTTTGTTTGGTTATAAACTTTCACCAGGTTATATCGTTATGATACACGGAATCCTTCCATAACAATACATGTATACCATTAAAAGACATGAAAATCACTAAATTCATACACAGGTACCTGTCACACTGTATCACGGCGAATACGTCATTTTAGACATTGGGTTTAATGTCGCATGCAGAATGCGCAAATGATAATATGGAACCTTCTGAATTTTCTTCGAAGATTTATTTGAGGTTTAGCCAGTCGGGTCACTATAATATGTGCCAGTTTTGTCGCATTCAGTGAGTACAGTTTTTCAGTCATTCATAACTGTTTATGATTGTTTTTAGAGTCTCAACTTAACCGCTGACCATTTATCTGCGTCCATCATAACAAACTTTCTCGAAAGGATAAACTAAGTACAAGACAAACAAACAAAAAAGACGGAACGATATTGTCTTATTTTAACTATTTTCTGTTCATCGCCAGCGACCTTGCTGACCTTGGGATGTTTCATCTTTGAACATGTAGAAGCTAAGTCCATACTCACACACAAGCAGAAGCTAAACTCTTTATTGTAGTGACTAAGAGAAACAAAGTATAAACTGGGTTTCAAACAAAGCCTATCTTAGAGGAGTCAGTACTATATGCTATTTATATCATAACATTATCTGATGTATGTTAGAGGCCGAATGCATGTTGCTAAACAGTGTTTCAAGTAGTCAGAAAAAGGATGAGAAATCCGAGGTCTTGAGAATGACACGAGAGCCACAAAAATGTGACTATGAGAACGCCTGCTTAAGGCGGATTAGGAACTTAGCCCAAGTTAGTTAGCCTGCCATTTGGCAGACCGGGCAAGTGGAAACGTAGTAGTATGTTAATATATAAACACTTTGTAGCTTCGTCAGTTTTAATCCTCTTTCATTCATTAGTGAATCAATGATTTCGACACACAAGACACGTCACAATCGCGCGCAAAATCGATACGAAGATAACGTTCCTCAAGTTAGTTCATTGAGAAAACCAACAAAGAAATTGGGCTTTCTCAATCTTGCGTTTGAAAGTTTAGAACTGGTAGAAATTCACAAAGGCGCATTGAGAAATTCTGAGGCGGCCGTCAGCGTGCCACCCTATACAACGATGAATCCGTTTTATGGGGATTCGGAGATTGGACGCCTACAACATCACTACGATGAGCCCTCCCCATTAGTGCCCTGTAGGAGTGCTTGGACTTCAGAAAGTGCTGGCCCACGGAAAAAAGCCAACAAGTTGTATGAAACTGCCGAAATGAAAAAGAATGCTCATGAGTCGTGGAAAAATAGACAAGATACTAGAAACTTCATTGTCGGTGATTCTTGCCTCAGCCGACTTATCTTGTTTCTGATTTTGATGGTTTCTTTGACTTCGCTTGCCCTGGTCGTGTTAGTCATTCTTGGAGAATTACCAACGGGATGTTGTAAGGAGATACAAGGTGAGAACTTTTCCACTTTAACTCGTATAGCAAAAGTCTTCACTTAGCAGCCTATTTGTGTTCGTTTGTGTTTTGCAGGAAGTTTTACTGTTTCCGTTTTCGTTAAGTGAAAAGTGAGACAGAAAGTTAAATCTGTTTGAACGTTTTCACATAATTACTGTCAAAATGACATGTTGTTTTTAGAAAGCTATAAAACGGTGCTCTATTCTCTATTTACCATGATGCTCGCCATAAGGGGTTCGAAAGGGATGATGAAAACTTTTGAAAAGTTTCCCCATTGAAGCTACACTCTATTTTGCTTTTGGTCGTTTCCCGCGCGCGGGAACAGGTTTCATTGATTCAATGGTCACGCGCGTTTCTCGTGCTAACTACGCAACCGGCTGAATGCGTGCTGTTGAGGGACAACTTAAGGCCAGAAAACAAGTAGTAACAATAATTCGACCTACTAACGTGCTTGTCAAATTTCGCCAACGCGAGACAGTCGCGTGACTTGCTAACTGGATCTACCGGCCACTCGCGTGACCTTTAAAGGCATGATGATCTTCAAAGTTTGTATATTTTTAGCCAGTGTTCTAAACTGAGGATGAATTAAAATTCAATTGTCCTTGACATCAAATGGCTTTCGAGGTATTTTCCAGAGTTTTGTTGCTAGCTAGGAGAACCAGGTATAATCTCAGAGCCTAATTTGTTGCCAGGCGGTGTAGGACTGAATGTTACTGTCGATTTGAGAGAGTAAAATATTTATATTTCGCATATTAAGTAATATTTATACTTCGCATAACTTTAAGATCGTGCAAGTCTCGTGCTCGTGGACTCTGAACATGCACGCTAATACGCGGCGCCTCCGAGACCGATCTTCAATAACCATTTAACGAGTTTTAACGTCCTTCGTCATGTGACATAATGTGAGTTTAAATTCGTGCTTATTTCTCCATATTCAGGATTACGTGTAGCCATCTGTTCTTTTAGTATATTAAAAATCCATGTTTGACAGCAGTTTATGTGACGCATGTTAAAAAAGAGGCGACTATACTAGATGAACAAAATATCATGGCTTTTTCTTAAAAGAACAATCGAAGACTAAATTCCTTGGTATTATAAATGTAACAGTTGATCGAATCATGTTATTACAATCAATATACCTACTCTTGTGTGGTTGATTGTTATAAAGTCCAGGATCATTTTAGGCTTATATCTAACTAAATTTAAAATTCTCGAAACTGCATCATTTTTACCATGAATTCGATTTCTGCGGATTAAATTTTTGCGGGATAACAATTTATATTTTCGGAAAACCGCACTGAAAAATCGCAAAAATTAGGATCCGCAAAAATGAAGGCCGCACGATATCGGAAATTCAAGACTTAAAGTTATGCGCGATAAATTAGCATCTGAATGCCATATTTTGGTACAGGCCCAAAACAAAACAAGTTTAACCCATGAGCATCCTGGCCTGTGTCGATCTGTGTCTTCTCAATAGGAAAAATTAAAGGCCAAGCCTGAATTAAAGATTTGTTTGAAAAGGAAGTAACAGCAAAATAAAACTTCGCGTGATTGTAAATCGACAATTTTATTTTTTTGTATCGTAGTTTATGTTTTTGAGTTTTTTTTGAGTTTCTTGAATCCAGATGAATTCTTTCCCGTCTTTTCAATGGCTATATATCTACGCCAGAAGTACTATAGTAAACGTTCCTTTTTACATGCATTCGAAATCCATTCATTTTCAAAGAGCATAAGGATACGTATTTCCAGTTTTACACAAGATGTAAAGCACGTGTTCTAAGATGGATAATTTATTCGGTGTTTATTCAGTACTCGTATATGCTTATCATTCTCAGAGCCGGCTAAAAGTAGAAATCCTCCGGCAGACTAATCCGTTCGCTTTCGTCTTCCGCTTTCCTGTGGTTGAATTCTTAAACTAGCAACATTTTTTTTAAGAGTTGCTTTATGTCACATTTAGAACCAAGTTTTGAAGTGTTCGCTCTTGAAGGTTCATGGATCAAAACTCTTTTCGGTCCTGCCGGACTGTACATAAAATATAATTTCACCCCACTCACTGCTGCCGACGGACTGAGCATAAAATATAATTCACACCCCACTCACTGCTGGCGATATTTTAGTCTTTCTAAAATGATAGCATTACGTGTTCATCGTTGATAGAAACTTGACAAGGTAAACTTGAATGTACAAAGACGTGAATGTGCAGATCGGCACACCACATGAAGAACGAGTTTGAATATTTACACCGCGTGACAGGTTACGTTCTTCGATCACTTACGAGAAATTTCATTTTCTTTTCAACTAAAGAAACTTTGAGCAGGGGTATTTGGGTTTATGATCGTGCAACCACTGTCTCTGTTTTCAAATATACACAAATTGATCAGTGTCTTTCTGGAAAAATCTAGTATCGATCTCTTAGGAATCACCTGTCAAGCATGGATGGTGACGTATTACTCAGTTGTGTTGGGTACACGTAGAGCCCCCGCCAGCCTCTCTCGCGGGAAAACAGTGATTAGATCAAGCCAATCAGCGACTACTGTTTTGGCGGGTAATAGTCTGACATCGCCAATTCATTCAGTTATAGGCATAAGAAATTCATGTATTTTCAGTCGCGCGTAGTAGGTGTTGTATTGTTTGGGTTAGTATCCAACTATCGAAGATCGCTTACGAAACTTTCACTTGGTGAAAGGATTTGCCGTGAATTTCTCAGAAGAGAGATACGTGAAACATAAAGACTGGTGATGTCAAGTTTCGGACGATATCCTCAGCGGGATTTTAGTCCCGTTGATACGTGTGATGTTCGTTTCGAGTCACCGCGTTCATCACATACGCGTTTGTTGGCAAAGCCTCATCGGGAAGTTGATGAAGAAAAAGGCCATCAGTATGAGGATCCTTCGGGTCTCAGTGATCAGGTTCGAGCACTACAGGCAGGAGAAAAAAACCGGCGAAAACGCTTTAATGACCTTTATGAACCTCATGTTCCACTTAAAGAATTGCGTGTTACCAGGAAAAGAGACATGTCAGACTCGTCTGATTATTCTGACTCATACTCGAGGGAATCGTGTTTGAATCGATGCGTTTTATTTTTCGTTCTTCTAACTTCGGTCACAGCTTTGATATTAGTGGTTCTTATGATGTTGGGCAAGGTTGGGCCGGCTGTGGAAAGATGTGCTTGTGTGAACACGGAACAAGGAAGCTATAATAAAAAAGGTATTATAATCTTTTATTCACGAAAAGCCACGCGGTCGGCGTTTTACAAATACATGAATATTTCAGCTTCGTAATCCTCAAAAAATTTTCACTATATTATCGATTGGTTCGAGTTTTAAACAACGTCTTTCGCGAGTCCGATCACACCACACCATGGTTCGACGATTGAATAATTGATACAACGCGTGGACTAGACACTTTGAATTACATTGAGCCCTCAGGGTAACCATAGAAATTTAAAAATCAAATGATCAGGCATTCTATAAGGATGCTAAACATTTCACATTATTTTATTTAAGAAACGGTCGTTGAATATAAATAATTGAGTCCTTAAATTCTCTATTATAACATACTATTCTACCTACTTATATCCTAGCCACTAGTATGAGCACAGCCATAATAGAAAGAACGTCAGATATGCTTTAAAATATTATTTGAACGTAAACAAAAGACGACATTTGCAGTTCAAATATTTAGACACATATTCTTCATTTGTTTTAGTATATAAAGATGTTTAATTAACTGAAGTTCTTTACTATCAAAAACGTTTACACTGGTTTCAAAAGTAGAGATGATCTTCTCATTAGCATTTTGTTTGATTTTCTTAAGTACAATATATGACTGGAATGAAATCGTACGTTCGGATTTTAAAAACTTTAAACATTGTTGTCTTGTTTCCTGCTATATTAGACTTGCGTATTGAGGGCCGCGTTATTTTATGAAAAGTGCCTGCGTTGTTAGTACGCAAACTGTGCTACCAAGTGAGCACGTTTTCCGTGAAACAGCATTTGCGGCGCGGCAAAAATGCGCAGTGTATCCTTCCTTTTTGTTAATACAAAGAGAGTTTCGTCCACCCTAATATTGTTTGATGTCAAATACGCATCCACGAAATTCTTTCACCCACTTAATTAATTTCTAGTTTACCTTTTTAAATTGCTCCTTCTTTCCCTATGAAACAGATATGGATAGGGCCCTGTCAACGTCAAGAAATACCTGTATAAAAGTTCATTGTGTTTGTCAGTCTTGTCACTGCTGTTTTGTCTGACCGTGGGCTTCCAAATCCCAGTTCCTACGTCCGTATTGGTGTTTATGAAAACCTTACGATCTACTACATGATCAACGAAATCGTCACTGAAAAACTGTTTGCGCGCCCTTGCAATCTTGTTTCGCAGTTAGTGCAAGAAGCTCTGTTTATAAAACTCGTGGAATAGGCCGTTATTTTACTTCTACAACCAGAATCCTTTTCGTTTTTGCTTTCATATTTTAATTTTGTAATCCCAGTGAGGTTTCAATAACAAAAGCCCTAATTTGCACAGGAAAGCAAAGTCCTGAAGGATTCTGGTCGTAGTAGTAAAATGACGTCATCATGCAAATGGCTTGTCAATTTGGCTAGAGTTGTAGAGGAGGTAGACAGGAGACTGCGTCTGAATTCTAGGTCGGGGTGTGCCGCCCAGTTTTCCTGTAAAATCCATATCCGTTTTCCGACCTGGCATCTAAACAAGTATGACATAATTATTTAGATTAGAACAGCAACAAAAAAAATTTCTTAGATTCCATTTCGCATATTTCTCTTTTTTTCACATTTGGAATTGAAACGATAAATACGTACATTCACTCCCGTAGTTCTCTACAAAACTATACCCGATTCCAAACCAAAATGGGCAAAGCCTAGAACCCGTTTTCAGACCAAAACGGCGCAAAGACTACACCCTTTGGCTTTGGGGCGGCACATAGGCTATATGGCTTATATAAGGGAGTACCACCCGCGGGTCTGAGCTCAGATAGATATTGTATTGAAAAATGTGTCCGTTTGCCCTTCACGTTCTCAAGAAAATTTGAAATTTGGCCGTTTCACCTCAAGATTGTACAGGGAAGGGGAATACACCTTACAGAACTAATGGGTGCACGTGCCGCTAGAGTCGATCACGGTTTACTTATTGTTTGTTGCCGCTTTTGCACTAAAGAAATACCCGTGAGGGTTACCAAAAATAACTTTTCCCTTTTGTTGTGGTAAAAATTGCTTTTTTTTTTGTCGTAACATTGTTGTCACTGTTTGACTCTACATGATCATAACATCTGAGAACATTCTCTTTACAAATTTTGACGGAACGTTGTGACTACGATAATCTCAACAAAACTTCTGTACAGTCGACTCTCTTTTAACGGAAACCGGACACCTTGTTAAATAGGACACCCAACTTTAGTCCTTGCCATTCTATAAGACACTCTTTGTTACTCTTCCAAAGGTGAGAGAGTTGATTGTTTTGTGCTTTGTTATTTCAGTAGCCACAGCTCCTTCTGGGCAACAAATAAGTGGTTCTCAGACTACGGTTCAACCAGGCAATGTAGTGTTTTCACCGCCTGATGTCTCATCACTCGAGAACAAAATCATTGAACTGAAGGCGAACCTTTCGTGGATCAAAGCATTTATGGTAAGTGTCAAGTTCGTTCACTCTTAGTTTGAAGTATCTTGACGAGCCTCTCGACCAATTACCTTTCTGAAAATTCCCGAGTCATCATAATCATGATCATCATCAATTCATCATCATCATCATCATCATCATCATCATCATCATCATCATCATCATCATCATCATCATCATCATCATCACCATCATCATCATCATCATCATCATCATCATCATCATCATCATCATCATCATCATCATCATCATCATCATCATCATCATCATCATCATCATCATCATCATCATCATCATCATCATCATCATCATCATCATCATCATCATCATCATCATCATCATCATCATCATCATCATCATCATCATCATCATCATCATCATCATCATCATCATCATCATCATCATCATCATCATCATCATCATCATCATCATCATCATCATCATCATCATCATCATCATCATCATCATCATCATCATCATCATCATCATCATCATCATCATCATCATCATCATCATCATCATCATCATCATCATCATCATCATCATCATCATCATCATCATCATCATCATCATCATCATCATCATCATCATCATCATCATCATCATCATCATCATCATCATCATCATCATCATCATCATCATCATCATCATCATCATCATCATCATCATCATCATCATCATCATCATCATCATCATCATCATCATCATCATCATCATCATCATCATCATCATCATCATCATCATCATCATCATCATCATCATCATCATCATCATCATCATCATCATCATCATCATCATCATCATCATCATCATCATCATCATCATCATCATCATCATCATCATCATCATCATCATCATCATCATCATCATCATCATCATCATCATCATCATCATCATCATCATCATCATCATCATCATCATCATCATCATCATCATCATCATCATCATCATCATCATCATCATCATCATCATCATCATCATCATCATCATCATCATCATCATCATCATCATCATCATCATCATCATCATCATCATCATCATCATCATCATCATCATCATCATCATCATCATCATCATCATCATCATCATCACCACCACCACCACCACCACCACCACCACCATCATCATCATCATCATCATCATCATCACCACCATCATCATCATCATCATCACCATCATCATCATCATCATCATCATCATCATCATCATTATCATCACCATCAGCAACACCATCAATTATGATCATCATTATGGGCTCCGGTAAGCTCCTACTCATGAGGCCATTGGGAAGGAGTCTTATCTCAAAAACGACCATCTTCGAGATGATACCAATAATTTTTTGGAACCACTCAATTTATCCTTGCATATTTTAGTTGCAGACTACTTGTGAAATGCCGTTCAATGAATATTAGTAATCCGTGGACTTACTTCTTCCTTCTAAATCTCATGATTTAAATCCAACAGAACAACCTACATCAAGACATACAAGGAACCAAAGGTGATCTAACTGACACAAACAGAGACATAAATGGCACAAACGTTAAACTATTACAAATACAAGGTGGAACACAGGACTCCATTAACATGGTAAGTAAGTTATCTTTGACTGCATCCAAATGCGGTGGGTTAAGCATAAGAATTGTGATTTATTTTTATGAAGTCTTTTGTTAAGATATACAATTGTACAGATCTCTATGTTTTAGATGTATTGCATTTTAAAAAAATTAAGTACAAAACCATCGACATTAAGTGAACTACATGTTTTCGTTCCAAGAAAATTTGCTTAAGACCTTTAGACTCTTTCCAGGGATTCAAGTGCCTATGACGGTGCTGTGTGTAACGTTGTTTCGGACATAATTTTGAGTTCAACTGTTTTAGATGTTAAAAACTAGGTGTAAGTAGCGGCAAAGGGCAGTTCATTTTCGTGGCCGCATAGTTATTGTCACACCTTATTTTATAGATTCAGAATATCAGTCAGAGGCTTGATGCATCTGTGAGTGCTCTTAATGTCAGTTTCTTTGGAGAGTTGAGTGAAGTGAAGACAAGTTTTGACTCAAAGGCAAGTGCTTGTAAAATTATTTTTTTTGTATCCTGTTGTCCGATTCCATGGCATGTAAACTATCTGAATATAGTACACGATATTAACTAAAGACAGTCTAAAAAATCCAGACGGTTATTTTACTTTATGTCTACATCCACATCTTCATTAATTTTCGTCGGTAAGGTAGTTAGACATCACACCATAGGCTTAATTTATTAGTAATTATTTCAATGATACACCGTGTCGGTTCTAAGCGTATACGGTATCGCACATGCTAAAGCGTGCTAATGGAATGTGTTATTTCATTATTCTTCATAACTTGAAAGTTGATTTTCAATAGTTTACCTTGCGCGTTTTTCGCCCTAGTGGGGGTGGGGGGGGGGGGTAGTCCCTCATAAAGGCTATGTAAAGCACCGTCCACGTAAGCTGAAGAAAACATTAAAAGGAAAAAACAATTTTCCCAAAATGAAAAAAAATGGCCAGGTTCTCCAAAAAAACAACCCAAATCCAGAAAGACAGTGCAAAACCAAAACCATGGTATAGTGTATTTATGTTATTTTTTTATTTATTTTTTTCTTTTATTTTATTTTTTATTGTGTAGTTTTATTTCAGTCGGTTGATGGGGGGGTGGTGGGGGGGGGGGGGGGAGGGGGGGGGGGGGGTAGTCCCTTATATAGGCTATGTAAAGGCACGTACACGGTAGCTGGAGTAAACATTAAAAGGGAAAAACTATCATCGCCAAATGATGAAGAAGTGGCTAGTTCTTCCAAAAAACATACCCAATTCAAGACTAGAGTGCACAAACCATACCCTATTTCAGACCAAAATGGTCGAAACTGATACCCTATTTCATACCAAAACGGCTAAAAAACTATACCTCTGGCGCGGCACATACCTAACAGCTTGTCACGCGTTCCGGTCACGCGCCGGGCTCCAGGGCTTCAGGTCTGAAATGGGTATCAAATTTTTGATCAGGTCTGAAATTGGGTAGGGGAGATCACAGATTTTGGTATGAAATAGGGTAAGGGTTTCTTGAAGCGTGCAGCACACCCGCATCTAATTTTTCTGGAAGTACGCTGGAATTTTGGGGCACAAAAGGCAGGTCATTGTGCCAGGCGTTCCTTGCGGAGACCGTGGAAACTGGGACTAAGAATCGTTGCATGATCAAAGCCACGCACGTTTTGCGAAGAAAGCTTAATAAAGCTTTCGTGTATTTATACACGCATATAGCCTGCTACTGGAGAGGTATTTCTGGTCGTTGCTAACACGCGTACTAAATAAATTCAGAAACAAATAAAAAGTATCGACGTCGATGAAGTAGGAAGTAAAAAACCTTTAGGGAGTAAATCATGTTTCTTGTGGCATTAATCGTCTCCTCGTTTCTCGATCTAATCTCCAAGCAGGCGAGACGGAATTCCACTGTAAGCGTTCTCTTGTTGAAAAAGAACGACATCTTTTATCCGATCTTCCAACCTCGTCCCCAGGGCGCTTTTCCCTGGCCCACCTCATACAAAGCCAGGGAAAAGCGCCCTGGGGACGAGGTTGCCGATCTTCAGCAGGATTCATGCTCTATTTTCGCTCTCCTGTGGGTGGATACCAACACTTTGTTGATTGACTAACTTTGTCGTTACATATTTTATTTTACAGTTAAATAGCACTGCTCAAAACCTCTTAAATGCTGACAATTCGCTTCAAACACTTCTTAACACAATCAACAGTTCTCTGAGCGCTCAGGTAATTTTTTTGTTGCTGGTTCAATGTTCACATTAATCGTAAACCTTTTAATAGACTAAAAAATTCACACTCATGTTAGGATAAATGTTACCAGAATATTTTGCTTTACTGGTTGTATCTGATTAAAATAAAAAATGCATAATGCATTTATCATGAATTAATTTTGTAGGTCCAAAGTATAAGCAAGTTGCAGGGCCCCACAGGGCCACCAGGTGTTAATGGATCAAAAGGTAACAGAGGTCCTGCAGGATCCTTAGGACCACAGGGAGACCGAGGTGTTCAAGGGGACAAAGGAGATCCAGGGGTCAAAGGCGATCGGGGATTTAATGGTACCGACGGTGCTGCCGGGCTAAAAGGTGATACAGGCCCTCAGGGTGACAAAGGAAATCCTGGGCCTCAAGGACCTCAAGGAAGTAAAGGAGAAAAAGGACCACAGGGAGCTCAAGGAGCAGGAAACTTCAGCCAGTGTAGTTATAAAGAGAAACAAGGAACTCCGGTTTCACCTGGTAGTTTGGCAAGTGCTGAAGCTGAAGCTTTTGAGACAGCGGTTAGTCATTTCATTTTTTTTACCATTTCAAGTACATTTAGCATTTGCAAATTGTGTAGCGTTGAAGACTATGAGTTGTTCCTTATTTCATCTGGAATAATAGAGCGAATAATGATTCGCAAGCGCCCATGAAAAATGACTCGGAAGGTAACAGGCATGGAGAAGTGTCTGTCTTCTCTCTAGACTGCGAGCAGTCTCTCTTTTTCTTCAGATTTAGTAAGTAGAGTGCACGCGCGCGCGAGCATTGAGCGGCAAAGCCGCGCGCCTCTCCTGTCTCGAGCCTTCAGTCACGCGCGTGGTCATTTGCGTGTCTCGGGCGTTTTGCCCGACGGACCAAGAAAAAAGAGAGACAGCTCGTAGTCTATCTTCTCTCGCGCGCGACGCCTTTCTTTTGTGGGTGGGTATTTTCACGGGCTGTCGCGTATTTCGCTCGCTATGCTACGTCTGAAAAATTCCCTAAGCATAGTTGTTACATATATCCCAATATCGAATACTCAAATGTGAATGCCAGCAAACAAAACTAAATGACGTAATCTTAATGTTGTCTTAAGTAATTAATCTCGGCGCATGTGTAACGACTATTACCTGACAAAAACAGCAAGGTTATATATTATAGCTATTTGAGTCAATTATGAATTCATTGAAAATATTAAAAGTTTGAGGTCACAGATTAAGTTTTAGTTGTAGTAGCATTCTAATGTGTATATGTGAAAGAAAAAGTGCAGACTCACAGGCGGAGTCACAATGTTGTACTTTAAGTGAAGTTTATATGACGCACATTTTATATTGTAATCAACTCTCGTAAATTTGTTGTTATTATTATTGTTGTTGTTGTTTGAATAATCACATTTTCTCATGTACTTTTCTTTCTTGATGTGTAGGGCAAGAAAATTCTGGGCGTTTCCTGCTCTACAAACAACGCTAAAGAGTACAATCTAGAAAGAGTACCAGTTGGACAACAATACAAGTATCTTTGCACTTGCAGGGGTAAATCATCCTTATTTCGGGCCAGTTCAATGTGGTGCAAAGTTCACTACTGGGAATGCCCTCCAACTACATAGGTACGCATGTCACATGCAGCTGTATCTTTGATGAAACATTTTAGTTAGCATTCCAGACGTCTTCAGGCTGCAAGTAGTGGCTTGGATAGACGCAGTGGGAGAAGAGAACAAAATAAATTACCACTATAAGTGGTGTAAGCTCTTTGTTTGTCTTGTCCCAATGCGTCTCTTGCTATCCAGCAATAAGGCGAACTTGTACCATGTTAATGGGCCTACTACGTTTTGAGAATGGATGAACGGACGCAGAGAGGGACGTATGAGGGTTTGAGAGACAAAAGAGTGACTGTATCAGTCAATGAACCTCTTCTTGGAAGCGGGTCAAACTTAGAAATGTCACTGTTTCGCCGCAGTTTAGAGATGCTAAGGACGTGCACCAGAAATGGCTGGCCAGACTAGTCTAGCCGTAAAGAAAATTCCACTATCAATCAGAACTTTCACGCCAGATCCTGCCTTATTCTATAATAATATGCACGACAGTCTTAAGCGAAAAACTCTTAAAAAAACCCTCTTTAATACTTGTCTGGGTGGCCAGTCCTGACCTTTGGAATGCGCCCTAAATCTGGCAACATTGTAGAACTGAAAGGGAAATTCAGACACTATTCCCTTTACTCTACAATTATTCACTTTGGTAGTTTCCCTATGGCTACGGCATGTAGACACTCGAAAGTTACCATATTTGTACATATACTATACCCTCTCCTTGCTCCAAGTTACCGTCGTATATCCAACATGGCCCTGTGAATAGATTAATAAGTGCCATTATTTTACAATTGATTGACTAACCGTCCTCAGGTTAAACCAGTATACAGTCAGGGTTACCAGAGTTAGAGCCATAGCAAAAAAGGTAACCTTAATAGGTTAAGTTCTGATTTAATTTGAGAACGTACTTTTCCAACCACATGTACAGTGTATATGCATCTAATATCACAAAAGCAAAAGGCAAACAAAATGTAAATTTGAATATTTTTAATGAGAATTTCGATCACGATAAAAGGTTCTTTTATAGCTTCATAGACTCATTGAAAGCGTAGAGGCTACTCGCCAATCTACTGGGCCACTTATGGCCTGTTGTGTTATGACCAATTAGTGAATATCCCAGGTTGCCTTTGCTAATTGTATTTTATTATTATTTTTTATTGGCGACGATTGATGTTTTAAATCTCCATGCCAGAATTTTTTCTTTTTATAGATTGTATATGGATAATCCATAATATTTTTTGGAGTATTTACTTCTACTTATTTTAATGATAAAAAGACGATGTTTTTTTTATTTATTACCTCAATACGGAATTGACCATAGTTTACATAACTTAATTCTTATAATTTCGCTGTAATGCCTAAAAAGCCCAGGAACATATTTACGTTCTTTTGCTTTTGACATGACATTACTTTCAGCCTATTCAATGGCTCAAAATATCGGAAAGAGCAAACCCCTATGAAAAGGTTTCTATGAATGAAATCACAAGTTTTAGCTACCGTTGTATTTTAATCTAATACAATTACGAACTGAAAAAGCAATAAAAATTTGAAATTAAACAAGGGCTGACTGACAAGTCTTGCGGAAACTCTTAACCTTATATATCTGGAGTTTACGCAGCCTGTTGTTACTACGACTAAAAATAATTAAGGTAGCTCTTTGGCTATTCTTAATAAAGTACGTAATAAATGACTTGTTGCTTTAAAGGTTTAAGAAATTTATCCATTTAGTCTTATGAACGCAGAAAGCAAAGGTGTGCCTTTTAATTACCGTACATATTTTTTCTTAGTGGAGAATATTTTGATGATGTAAATACACCGTCATATTCAAGTGTAAAGTTAATTGAAATTAACAAACGTTAAAACAATTGTAAGAATACGGAATATTATATAAAGACAATTGTTACTCAAGGTATGTGGACTGGTTGTTTACACTCTTCCCAGGGAGAAGGGAGGGGAGTAATTCTCTATAGTGCGTAAGGGCGGGAGTGTTCGCCATGAATTTACAATTTCAAAAACATCCCGAAACGATGCCATATCTCCCTCCGTGGGCGTGGCCTAAAATTCATTTTAGCCCTTTCAAGGTACCAAACACAGCTGAGAAGCAATAGAATTAAAAATTAATTAGTCATTACCCGAGTTGTCATTGTCAACAATCCCTCAGCTCTATGGTATGGGTAGCCTGCGTGCAGACGATAACTAAACTCTGATTAGTACCGTCTGCGAAACAACGCAGAGATCCTTGTTCTGGACCCCCAACGGACTCAACGAATTACCGGAAGTGCGTTTCGAATTTCCCTTCAACCTGATTGGCGATCACGACAAACAAAACAAAGGCCTTTTTTAACTGGCCAATCGTGGCGCGTACTCAAATCTGGGTACACGGCTGGAAGTCCAGAACAAGGATTTCGGCGCTGTTTCGCAGACGGAGTTAACGAGAGTTTAATTTCGTCTGCGCGCAGGCTATGGTATGGGCTAATTGTGTGAAATTTTGTCCTTCGGCTATCGCCCCGCAAACCTCAATCACTCTTCCCTGTTTGAACCTATTTCGCTGACGAGGGACTGTCTCACTGTACGAGAAAAGCAACATTACTTCTTTCCTTGAAACCAAGGGTCAAATTAATAAAGCTTTTACAAGTGTAATTTACAAGTGTTGTTCTCAGACTCTCAAACAATGGCTACACTTAAAAATTACTCTCGTAAAAGTTTTATTTAATTGGGCCCAGACCCCTGTTTTTAGATCTATTGAGACCTCAACCAATTCTCAACCTAAACAGCCGGTGTGTAATTTGGTTGGATTTTGTTGGTCGCCGCCTGTTTGGCTGTAACTACTTGAAAGGAAAAGTTTCCTCTGGGTTTGTCGTTGCCTGCACAATTTCTCGTTCGTCTCCCTTGTAGACGGTTTATTTCCAGACGGCTTACCGTTGATAATCGTTGATAATTCTCACCAGCAAGCCGTTCTCTGTGAGAGGGAACAGTTTGTGATGACGATTATAATATTTCTGCCCTTAATGGTGACTGAACGTCTCCTAAAAATGTGAATCTATGACCAATACTACAGTGTACCGGCACAAAGGGCAACAGTTGCCATGAATCTCGGTAAAACAAATTACTGACATTTGTATCAGATAATACCGTAAAATTCCGAAAAAAAGCACCTCCAAATGTAAGCCCCCTAAACCGGTAACGCAAAAAACCGTCCGTTAAATCGCCCCTCCAAATATAAGCCCCCCGGGGGCTTGTACTTGGAAAATTGTCCTCAAATACAAAGTAAAACAAAGCAAAAACGGTAAATTTCCTTCCAACTATAAGGCTAGCTCAATCGATTTGGAAACGCAAATTTCCCTCCGTAGATAAGCCCCTCCGAATATAAGCCCCTCCAAAAATAAGCCCCTCAAAAACGGCCTTTGAAAAATATAAGCCCCGGGGCTTATTTTCGAAATTTTACCGTATGTTTACAAGCTTTGAAAAGATTTTTTAGATTTAAGTAAGGCGACAGTTTGGTTTGTCCTGAAAACGTTTAACGGAAGGTCTAGAAGTTAGCGGCAGAAGTTTCTTGCCTATCCCGTACAACCAATATCTAACAGTGGCAACAATTGCAACGATCACAACAAAAACTTTATTTACATTTCCTTTAGGTAGTGACATAAATGTGTAAATTAATTCTTTTAATTGATAACTACATGTTATAATAAAAGGAATACAAAGCAGAAAAAAAAAAACAGTTAGATCCAGTCCTCAGTTTCCGTTTCCAAAGGAAAGGATTTTCCTTAATGTCTTCGTTTACTGAATTGTACCGACTGAGTTTTCATGGTTGCAAGTTAAGTGAGAGGTTTATGTTGACTTGCGAAGAAATTTTCCCTCTAAAGCTTTGCCTGAAGGAAGGATTTCTTTGCCCCAAACCTATCTACCTCTATAGTTAATTCTTCAAAGAAGAACTGGAGATGAAAGCTTGGCAGATTTGCTTTATAACTTAGTATAATACCGTGAAACCTTAGTGTGAGAAAGTGGCGTCACTAACAGAGTTTAATTTATTTTATATACTAGTTAAAATTCACCTCTTGCCTTCGTCACTTACACAACTACAAACTATCGACAACACAAACTTCCGCCCGTGTGTTTCCGGATTATTGAAACTAGCTTAAAACGTGTTTTTCACAAAATCTTTCGTCCTATTAGCATTTTTTATAAAAATTTTCAAACGGTGTAAACCTCATGATCCAAACGAAGCAGTCTCGAATTTTGTCAAGGTATCGTTGAAAGCTGGGTCGCCTCCTATAAGGAAATGAAAGACAGTCTTAGATTCTGGACTCCACGTCGTGGATTCCGGATTCGACGTACTGGATTCCAGATTCCTGGAGCTGTATTTCCGATTCCAAAGCCTAGGCAGTTCCGGGGTTCCGCAAGCAAAATTTCCCAGATTCCGGAATTCGGATTTCCTAATATGGCGCGATTGATTAGATATTATTTAATTTCGCTGTGTCAAGAAAATAGCCACTCAAATCCTTCTCACTCCAATAGATTTTTTCAGAAATGCTGGCTGATTCCTCTTGAAGACGACAAAATGTTACGTTGTTAATGGACATTCCCAGTAATGAATCTTGCACCACATCGGAATAGCAAAGAATAAGGATGACTGTCCCCTGCACGTGCAAAGATATTTATTCTGTAGTCCGCTTTGAATTGTTTGGAGATTATACTCTGCAGCATTGTTTGTAGAACAGGAAACGCCCAGAATTCTTCTGTCCTGTGTGACGGAGCAACAATAAGATATTAAAAACTTGAATTGTAACCAGTTAATCTCCAGTCGGATTGCTCTTAGCCATTAAATGTTTTAGAGGTTTAGATAATTAAAGAGAAGTCAACGCAATTGAAAATTGCCCGAATAGAACTCTGTTAACGTACGAAGTAAAACAAGTTACGTGCTAAGCTAAGCCTTTAATAGTACACTGTAACCTGCACTTTTATCATTGAGGTGAAATTTAACCTCCCTAATTCTGTAAAAAGCTGTAATAAAGCGCCATCTTACTATCTTCGTTAAAGGTACCGTTGCCGAAAATAGATCAAGTATGAAAGCCAAAACTATAAAATTTATGCACTGCTAACAATGATACCCCATGCCGACGATCTGTGGTCGTGATGGACGTTTTTATCTTTTGATGTTGTTGTTTTCTTAATCTTTGTTACAAAATTGCATTTGAGAGACAGATATTGTAGTAAATATTGCTTATGGGCTTTTTTAAACTCCACACGACACATACATGGCCACCATGCCACATACTCGGGCGGGGCTACAAATGAAATGGAAGAAAGACACAAAAAAAGCCTACTTACCAGTGCTTCTATTATTTCAGCTTCAGCAATTGCAGACGCAGTAGGTGTGGTCGTATTGCCTTGAATTTCCTTATAGGTGCACAGGCTTAAATTTCCAGCTCCTTGAGGTCCTTGTGGTCCTATTTCTCCCTTTTCTCCTTTTGGTCCTTGAGCCCCTGGTTCTCCTTTGACACCCTGAACACCTGTATCACCTTTTTGTCCAGTAGCACCATCGGTACCATTTGCGCCTGCGTTACCTTTCACTCCAGAGACTCCCTTCTCGCCTCGAGGACCCTGATCACCTTTAGATCCATTGACACCATTCGTACCGTTTATCCCAGCATCACCTTTGAGACCCGGTTCTCCTTTATTGCCAGGAATACCTTGGTCTCCCTGTGCACCTTTAGCTCCTTGTGGGCCTGTGTCACCCTTAGATCCATTAAGACCTGGAGGGCCTGGGGAGCCTGGAAGGCCCGGAGGACCTGAGGCTTTGCTAATGTTTTGGATCTGGAAAGAATCATATCGGCAAAGAATTTATTATAACAGATAATCGTCGAGCTGCAATAGTAAATATATGATAACGACGGTCCAGTTATTCTCTTCATGGACCTAGCTTGAATGAGATAAATGAGGTTTATAATTAGGTAAGTCAAAGCCCTAATGCCATAATATGACGTCGTGTAACGTTATTTTAATACTTTTTCAGCTCCAAAATACCAGCCAGAGGCTTGATGCTTCCGTACGTTTTTTGGGCGAGCTGTCTTATGTGAGAACAACTTTTGATTCAAAAGTAAGTGTTGATTTATACCTTTTATTTTCCTTTTTGTTTTCCCTGAGTTGGCACAAAGGATCCACTGGTATTGTCAAGGTGCGTTGGACTTCCGAAATCAAATGATTGGCAGTTCGAAGCCGATACTTACTTGACCAAATAATAAGGAACGTCTATTCCAGACTGCATATGCTCTTGCTTATGTAGCCTGTGAATAGGCCTTCCGGTTTGAGTGAGAAAAAAGGGAAAAGAACGGAGCTCTGACTATTTATGTTACTGCCAGCTACTTATCAGTTCCTGCTTCTAGTAGGTAGCTTTTATATGCCGAATTGCCCATAAAAGTAAGAGTATTTAATCAGCAGTAATCTCGCAAAAAAAACTCTACAAGTCCATCACTATTTAAAAAGCCTCCACAACAAGCGAAATTGTGAACAGAGAAACATTGGTAGGGTCGGCACTTACTTGTGATTCAAAAGTTCTTTCCACTGACATCAAATCTTGAAAGAAACTTGTATTAATGACATTAAGCCTCTCGCTAATATTCTCCATCTAAGAAAAAAAAACAACATGTAAAAGTATGCCCTCGAAAAAAGAAACCGACACGAACACACTTTTGCAGAATGTTGATTGCATTTTATCGTTCAAAGAACATAAAATGAATGTAATTTACAAAACTACTGAGTATGGTTAAGTTTCCTTATAGTTTCAGTGTTGATACTAGAAAATTCGACTCAACCTTGAAATAGAGCTTAACTGAACACTACTGCCGACGTAGAAAGTATTCTTTGGTGCCTAGGTGCTAAACTTTAACATGCACATCGACGGATCATAAGAATGAAACTGAAGGGCACTCGCTACGACGCTCGCTATACTTAATTGATTGCCAACGAGGCAACCGAGCTAAGAAGCGAGGTTGCCTCGGCGGCAGATTTATAGTCCCGCACGATGTAGGCAAAAACTCTCAAATTTTGCGTGACCCTCATAAAATTTGCATTTTTGACCATATTTGGGTGTAAGTAAGACCCCATATTTGCGTAGTGACGTCATGGTCTTGTTTTTATAACTCGTGGTCCGAAATTGGGTGATTCAGTGGGCAGCTGTTCGTTGTCTGTTCAAGAGGACCTAACAGGTGAGCAAGCTCTAATACGATTTCTAGTTTGAAAGGGCAATTAGTGCTCTGGTTTGCTACCCCGGGTTCGCCCCCGTCCCCCCACCACGCGCCTGCTGTGGGAGGGGGGGTTGTTTAGACCCCCCGGGGGGGGGGGGGGGGGGGGGGGGGGGGGGGAGTAATTCCCTATAGTACGTAAGGGCGGGAGTGTTCGCCATGAATTTACAATTTCAAAAACATCCCGAAACGATGCCATATCTCCCTCCGTGGACGTGGCCTAAAATTCATTTATCCCTTTCAAGGTACCAAACACAGCTGAGAAGCAATAGAATTAAAAATTAATTAGTCGTTACCCGAGTTGTCATTATCAACAATCCCTCAGCTCTATGGTATGGGCTAATTGTGTGAAATTTTGTCCTTCGGCTATCGCCCCGCAAACCTCAATCACTCTTCCCTGTTTGAACCTGTTTCGCTGACGAGGGACTGTCTCACTGTACGAGAAAGGCAATATTACTTCTTTCCTTGAAACCAAGGGTCAAATTAATAAAGCTTTTACAAGTGTAATTTACAAGTGTTGTTCTCAGACTCTCAAACAATGGCTACAATTAAAAATTACTCTCGTAAAAGTTTTATTTAATTGGGCACAGACTCCTGCATTTAGATCTATTGAAACCTCAACCAATTCTCATTTTAAACAGCCGGTGTGTATATTTGGTTGGATTTTGTTGGTCGCTGCCTGTTCGGCTGTAACTACTTGAAAGGAAAAGTTCCCTCTGTGTTTGTCGTTGCCTGCACAATTTCTCGTTCGTCTTCCTTGTAGGCGGTTTATTTCCAGACGGCTTACCGTTGATAATCGTTGATAATTCTCACCAGCAAGGAGTTCTCTGTGACAGGGAACAGTTTATAATGACGATTATAATATTTCTGCCCTTATTTGTGACTTAAGCGTCTCCTAAAAATGTGAGTTTATGACCAATACTACAGTGTACCGGCACAAAGCGCAACCGTTACCATGAATCTCGGTACAACAAATTACTGACATTTGTACCAGATAATATGTTTACAAGCTTTGAGCAGATTTTTTAGATTTAAGTAAGACGACAGTTTGGTTTGTCCTGAAAACGTTTAACGGAAGGTCTAGAGGTTAACGGAAGGAGTTTCTTGCCCATCCCGTACAACCAATATCTAACAATGTCAACAATTGCAACGATCACAACAAAAACTTTATTTACATTTCTTTTAGGTAGTGACATAATGTGTAAATTAATTCTTTTAATTGATATTTACATGTTATAATAAAAGGAATACAAAGTAGAAAAAAAAAAACAGTTAGATCCAGTCCTCTGTTTCCGTTGTCAAAGGAAAGGATTTTACTTAATGTCTTCGTTTATTGAATCGCACCGACTGAGACTGAGTTTTCATGGTTGCAAGTTAAGTGAGAGGTTTTTGTTGACCCGCGAAGAAATTTTCCCTCTGAAGCTTTGCCTGAAGGAAGGATTTCTTTGCCCGGCACTTATCTACCTCTGTAGTTAATTCTTCAAAGAAGAACTGGAGATGAGAGCTTGGCAGATTTGCTTTATAACTCAGTACAATCATAGTTAGTTGAGTGGAATGGTTATGAAACCCGTCCGACTCCTTTGTTATATGTTTTTGTGGACCTGAAAGTGCACAACGTTCAAAAGCATTCCTTTCATTTTGATTGTATTGACCAATAGAAACGTTGCATTAATTTATTCCGTAGCAATTTGCTAACCGAAAACTAAGGATTGTGCACTTTCAGGGTGCTTCCAACATAAACTGCAGTAATGTTGTTTTTATCATTGATGTTTGCCACTTTTCATAACCATTCTCCTCTAATAACTATGGTACAATACAGTGAAACCTTAGTGTGAGAAAGTGGGCGTCACTAACAGAGTTTAATTTATTTCATATACTAGTTAAAATTCATCTCTTGCCTTCGTCGCTCACACAACTACAAACTATCGACAACACAAACTCCCGCCCGTGTGTAGTGGTTTCCGGATTATTGAAACTAGCTTAAAACGTGTTTTTCACAAAATCTTTCGTCCTATTATAATTTTTTATCAAAATTTTCAAACGTTATTTGAAAGCTAGATCGCCCCATGTAAGGAAATCCAAGGCAGTCTTGGATTCTTGATTCCATGCCGTAAATTCAGGATTCCAGTTACTGGATTCTGGATTTCTGGTACTGGATTCCGGATTTCTGGAGCTGTATTTCCTTTTCCAAAGCCCAGGCAGTTGCGGGTTCCGCAAGCAAAATTTCCCAGATTCCGGAATCCGGATACCCTTACACGGCGCGATTGATTACATATTATTTACTTTCGCTGCCGTACTCCAATAGATTCTTTCAGAAATGCTGGCTGTCCTCTTGAAGACGACAAATGTGATTTACGTCGTTAATGGACATTCCCAGTAATGAATCTTGCACCACATCGGCATCGCAAAAAATAAGGATGACTGTCCCCTGCACGTGCAAAGATATTTATTCTGTAGTCCGCTTTGAATTGTTTGGAGATTATACTCTGCAGCGTTGTTTGTAGAGCAGGAAACGCCCAAAATTCTTCTGTCCTGTGTCACGGAACAACAATAAGATATTAAAAACTTGAATTGTAACCAGTTAATCTCCAATCGGATTGCTCTTAGTCATTAAATGTTTTAGAGGTTTAGATAATTAAAGAGAAGTCAACGCAATCGAAAATTACCCGAAGAGAACTCTGTTAAACGTACGAAGTAAAAACAAGTTACGTGCTAAGCTAAGCCTTTAATAGTACACTGTAACCTGCACGTTTATCATTGAGGCGAAATATAACCTCCCTAATTCTGTAAAAAGCAGAAATAGAGCGCCATCTTACTACTTCGTTAAAGGTACCGTTGCCGAAAATAGATCAAGTATGAAAGCCAAAACTATAAAATTTATGCACTGCTAGCAATGACCAAAGCAAATTGATACCCCATGCCCACGATCTGTGGTCGTGATGGACGTTTTTATCTTTTGGTGTTGTTGTTTTCTTAATCTTTGTTACAAAATTGCATTTGAGAGACAGGTATTGTGGTGAACATCGCTTATGGGCTTTTTCAAACTCTACACGACACATACCATACCGCGTACTCGGGTCGGGGTAGAAATGAAATGGAAGAAACACACAAAAAAAGCCTACTTACCAGTGCTTCTATTACTTCCGCTTCAGCAATTGCAGACGCAGTAGGTGTGGTCGTATTGCCTTGAATTTCCTTATAGGTGCACAGGCTTAAATTTCCAGCTCCTTGAGGTCCTTGTGGTCCTATTTCTCCTATTTCTCCTTTTTGTCCTTGAACCCCTGGTTCTCCTTTGTCACCCTGAACACCTGCATCACCTTTTTGTCCTGTAACACCATCGGTACCATTTGCGCCTGCGTCACCTTTCACTCCATGATCTCCCTTCTCCCCTCGAGGACCCTGATCACCTTTAGATCCGTTGACACCATTCGTACCGTTTATCCCAGTATCACCTTTGAGACCCGGTTCTCCTTTATTGCCCGGAATACCTTGGTCTCCCTGTGGACCTTTAGCTCCTTGTGGGCCTGTGTCACCTTTAGATCCATTAAGACCTGGAGGGCCTGGAGAGCCTGGAAGGCCGGGAGGACCTGGGGCTTTGCTAATGTTTTGGATCTGGAAAGAATCATATCGGCAAAGAATTTAATCACTTTATAACAGGTAATCGTCGAGCTGCAATAGTAAATATATGATAACGACGGTCCAGTTATTCTCTTCATGGACCTAGCTTGAATGAGATAAATGAGGTTTATAATAAGGTAGTTCAAAGCCCTAATGCCATAATATGTCGTCGTATAACGTTGTTTTTAATACTTTTTCAGCTTCAGAATATCAGCCAGAGGCTTGATGCTTCCGTACGTTTTTTTGGCGAGCTGTCTTATGTGAGAACAACTTCTGATTCAAAAGTAAGTGTTGATTTATACCTTTTATTTTCCTTTTTGTTTTCCCTGAGTTGGCACAAAGCCTCCACTGGTATTGTCAAGGTGCGTTGGAATTCCGAAATCAAATGATTGGCAGTTCGAAGCCGATACTTACTTGACCAAATAATACGGAACGTCTATTCCAGACTGGATATGCTCTTGCTTATGTAGCCTGTGAATAGGCCTTCGGGTTTGGGTGAGGAAAAAGGGAAAAGAACAGAGCTCTGACTATTAATGTTACAACCAGCTACTTATCAGTTCCTGCTTCTAGTAAGTAGCTTTTATATGCCAAATTGCCCATAAAAGTAAGAGTATTTAATCAGCAGTAATCTCGCAAAAAAAACTCTACAAGTCCATCACTATTTAAAAAGCCTCCACAACAAGCGAAATTGTGAACTGAGAAACATTGGTAGGGTCGGCACTTACTTGTGATTCAAAAGTTCTTTCCACTGACATCAAATCTTGAAAGAAACTTGTATTAATGACATTAAGCCTCTCGCTAATATTCTCCATCTAAGGAAAAAAACAACATGTAAAAGTATGCCCTCGAAAAAAGAAACCGACACGAACACACTTTTGCAGTATGTTGATTGCATTTTATCGTTCAAAGAACATAAAATGAATGTAATTTACAAAACTATAAATATGGCTAAGTTTCCTTATAATTTCAGTGTTGATACTAGAAATTCGACTCAATCTTGAAATAGAGCTTAACTAGACACTACTGCCGACGTAGAAAGTATTCTTTGGTGCCTAGGTGCTAAACTTTAACATGCACATCGACGGATCATAAGAATGAAACTGAAGGGAACTCGCTGCGAAATTTTGCGTAACCCTCTAAAATTTGCATTTTTGACCATATTTGGGTGTAAGTGAAACCCCATATTTGCGTAGTGACGTCATGGTCTTGTATTTACAACTCGTGGTCCGAAAGTGGGTGATTAAGTGGGCAGCTGTTCGTTGTCTGTTCAAGAGGACCTAACAGGTGAGCAAGCTCTAATACGATTTCTAGTTTGAAAGGGCAATTAGTGCTCTGGTTTGCTTTATAAATTGTGTTTAAAGCAGCAGCTGATCAAGAAATAGGGTTTTACGCTCAAATTTTTGTCAGAACCAGCTTATTCTTTGCAGCTCGATTTACAATGAGGTAGCGCGTTCGCTTCTCGACTCAGAACCAGGGTTTTGCGTGTTGTCTTTTGCTTTGTGAATTGAATTTTAAGCGTAGTTGATCAAGGTATAGGGTTATATTCTCAAAACTTAATCAGAACCAGCGTGTTCTTCGCAGATCGATTTGCATTGAGCCAGTCCTCAACGTATTTGCGGACCTTTTTTAGAATTTATTCATGTCTTTAGATTTTGTCAACCAGCATGTTTTTTTTATTTACATTGAGACAGCCCAAAACTCCCATGAGGAATGCAACGAATTTGCGAACCTTTTGTTTTGAAGACTATCATTATGCCTTTCAAGAGAACCTTTGAACTGCGACACTCGCTCATTAGATCTTTGTATTTTATTTAAGTTTATATTTTTATACCTCTGATACATTCCGCCCCATTCTTGCGCTTTTCACATATTTAATTTTACACCAACTTTTTCTTATGTATATTACCACGCGAAATATTTTTCTTATCCCTGATGACGCTGTTGCTCGGAATTTAATTATTATTTTTAATTTCAGCAGTCAAAGGCCTCATTTGAACTATATTTTTCTTTCTAACGTTTATAGTTTTGATACAATGGAATTTTCCATGAAACACAAGTGCTAACTTACTCATTACCAACAAAGCTTCAAGCTGTGTTGTTATTGTTTAATAAAAGTGACAGCCTAGAGTGTGCCAAAGTTGTTGTTTTGAAGTTTGGTGCCATCCTTTTCTATAGCGGAATCCATTGTAAACCTCTGAAATTATGGGAAAAAAATATCGCGAAGATCTGAATAGGCACATTTCACAAAGGATAAACGAATTCGCCTCGTTGGCACTTGCCGGAAGGTACCCCTAGTTTATATGTTACTTCTTGAAAGCCCTTTAGATGTAATATTTCTGTGAGGGCATTTTTATTAGTAAGCTAAGGCATGTGCAACTAGCTACCAGAGTCATCCAACGACGGTCTCCTAAATACATTGGAAAATTTGTTAGGCTGTCTCAAGATACGAATTCTACCCAATAAATAATACCCATGAAATGAAAGGCTGACTACAATAAATTGTTACTGGCAATTCGTGTACTATATGTGATGACACATTTCCTATGTAAAGAGCACCAAAAATTGACTCACAAATTTCTGCTGTAGGCTGGTCATATTTACTTCGAGGGCGTTTAGCCTGGCCAATGCCTCATTTGTGACACTTTCTTGAAGCTTTTCGAGCGAAGCTGAGGACAGATAAGCACCAGGTGAGCAATAAGCTATCAAAGCACTATGAAAGCTATGGGGCTTTCATATTGAACCGAGTGACCACTGAGACCAATTATCAGTCACTACCGTAAACGACTGATCAAAACCCAAGAACGATCGCAAGCATGCACTGCCCATGAAAATTCGGTGATCGAAGAAAAGTGTTTTTTTTTTAAATAAAAATCAGTAGAGAATCAATATGCCTCTTAAGTACTCTCATTGCTTAGTTTTCACGAATACATTGTAACACATTCTATAAACATTTGAAAACTCTTTTTGATTGTGTAACTTTTGAGACTCTCTACGCTAGTTCACTTACAGTTGTACAATGCGCACAAGTTTATGCCTTTTTAACCGTCTTGTCCGACAAGAAAAACAACGTTATTTTTGAGTTGATGAAACTTATTGACTCTGTACTGGATTGTTCACAAGTAGAACAACGGTTAGAACCGTTTTTAGTGGGACGAGGTTGCACCTACAACTTGAAAGGGCTAGTATTGACGGACACTAGCCTCACGTAAAAATGAATATCCAAAACACAACAACCACTTTAATTATTAAGCAATATACAAATCACCATAGCCTTAATCCTGGGAAACTGCTTAATGCGCAAAAAGAACTACTTGACCAGGCCAATGACTTTCAAGAAATTTGAAGTTATTTACCTTGATGGCTAATGGTTCCTGTTTCCTCCGATTCCTTACATTTGGTTTTCACAAAAATTACCACCAAGGCAACATTTGTAACTACTAGCAAGAACACCAGTGTTATTAAGGCGAACACCAGTCGTCTGAGAAAGACCTCTTTTGTATTTGCGGTAGTTTTGTGGCCAACGGCGATCCAACTCTTCCTGTGTGTTAAGACACTAGTTGATTTTTCGTCGGATTTTTTTTCGACTATGCTACCAACACCAAAAGCGGACCTTATTTCATTTCTTTCTTTTTCCAGTTCTTCGTTATCCTTGAGTTCAATCTTGTCAAGGATGTACTTTCTCGGATGGACCTTTTTAGTGTCCATTGTCCCCTCGACAAAGTCAACTCGCGGTTTAGCCGCTTGGGGAAGAGCAGATAGTCTCCTCTTTGTATAGTATATATCCATGTGATGCATGTTCCACACAGTTTAAAGCAAATGACTCATTTTCAAGGATGACGATGAACATTGCTGACTTCATCAAAATTAGCACCCAGACCATAACGTCAAGTCGATTGATTGTTTATTGTGTGACAAGAAAACCAAGCAATGAAACATTTCCTTGGATATAATGGCAAATATACCGGATTCATGCAAACATAAACTGCTTTTGCCACTTTCTTCTTTTGTATTGAAACAAAAACACTGATGACTAATTGTTAATGGAAGTAAATTTTGATCTTTTGTTCCATAAAGCTTTCACAATCTGATCCCAAATTCCAGCAAATTAAATCCGAAATTTTTGCGTTTTTATGGGAGAAAAATTGGAGCAAGCACTCGCTCGCAGCCACCCTAATTCTTTGGGGAGAAGGCCGGGTAGGTGGCACGAAAAGGAGTAGAAAAGAGTGTTTCGATCTTGTAACGTGTGAAATCTACCTAGCTGTTGCTGAAACAAGTCATTATCGCTCCTTAAAAGAAGAGTGATTAACACTGTAGCCTAACATTATGATCTGTCATCATGATATTATCACCTTGAGTCTACGTCATTAGAGCATCATGCTTTAGACAAATATGAAAAAAAGAGAAAAAATTCAGCTTACCAATTCGTTCGTTTTAACCCCCTCGACTTCTCCAACATTCTGTTGTACTCGTTAAGGCGGTGACCACGTAAAGCTAATGGCAATAAGATGTCTTGGTCTTGCACTTTTATTGAATTTTCAATCACGAAATTGTTAAATAATTTTGCCGGCAGTTTGAAAGCGTCCTCATGCTAAAAAAACCCTTCAATGAGATTTTAGCACAAGGTCTCGCCAAAAATGATAGGGTTAAAAAAACTTAAAAGCTTATCCCATTTTGCATACCTACAATATAAAATTTTGCATACCTAAATGTAAAATTTATCGTCTACTCCATTTTACGGATCCTTAACTTCAATTTGATACTTTGGAGTGCAATTGAATCCAACGTAGCTTCCAAATGTTTTGCCCGTCTTGGTGAGGAGAATTTACTTTAAACATGTTAAAATCAGGACATTTCACACATCCTTGTTTTTCCGTATTTCTAGAGGTCAAACGCCAATTTCTAGAGGCTGCTGTCTTTAAAAAAAAAAGAAAAGAGAAAAAAGGACACACTAGGGATGGGGTCGTGAGGTGATGTGTTCTGCCCCTTCCCATGCACGAACTATTAGTACCTTTCTCCAGGTTAGGCGGATTGACAAGAAATCAAAACAGCAGCCTTTAGAACTCGGCATTTGCTTTCAATGATCATACAGAAAAAAGGCATACTAACAGTTTATTGATTTTTATCTTTGGTTGTTGTCTTTCATTTTACGTCGATCCATTTTATTTCAAAATGAAAATGTACTTCCAATTCCTTGACGACAGCTGTAGATACAGTCAAGAGAGTTTTTTAAAAAAATGCAACGCCTTTTAAATTTTCAACTGCAAAAGTAAGAGAAACGTCTTGGACAATAAGAAATAAAGGTTTAAGCATTATTTACAATTTCGTTATTTTATAGCCTTGGGTTCTAAAATAAATTTACCGTTCAATTCCGTTGAATCACCTTTTTCATGACTCATGCAGCCTTAGAGGTTCGCATACGTAGAGATTATGAAGGGTTAAGGACACATTAGATCAGTGACCAACGTCAGTTTTCTCCATATAATATCAAGACATCATAAAGAGAAAAGGTTTTGAGAATTAATCAATGATCACTAAAGAGAAAAATGTTACGATCTTTTAATAAAATTCTTCAAGGAGATGTATGGAGATCAGTATGGAGAATTTGCACAAGGACTTGTAGGGTCTTACCATCAGTGCTTAATGGATAATTCTACTGTTTTTTGTTAACCATGAGCTTATAAGCGGGTCTCAATGGGGTTAACCGATAGGCGTAAAACGGCCTAAAATTTAGTCGACAGCCGTAAAAATTAAAAATTTTAACCGTTAACCGTAAATAGGGTAAAAAGAGGTTAACTGTAAAAGAAATTGTTCCCTAACTAGGTTTGTTAATTTAAGGAAGGTGCTAAACTCACTTATGGTTACGTTTTCTATTTCCCGGCTACTTTGACTGCGTACGCACGTTAGGCCAAGCGCCTAGCTTTTATGTGTTGACCTAGACCTAAACTCCATTTTCGCTGCTATCTCGGAGAACTAATGTTTTCCATAGCGAAAATCTTTCTACTTGCTGGGAATTAATATTTGCGATTTTCAGGAGGTCGTGCCCTCGAAATACCAGTGAAACAACACGCAAAGATATGTCACTGTTTGTAAAACACGTTACCGATAAACAACAATTCCCTGTTTTTCCCTGACGCTGCAGTAGACATTGCCATGCCTAGTCCCTGTAAGGCTTCTTCCCACGCAATCTTGTTCAAGATAGTTTCGGTGGCATATGTGAGAAAAAATCTCGCTCGGACCACCTGACCCGAAACGCATTAACCGCGCGGAATAATGAGGCCTACGGACAAGGTAACAGGAGACAGTCGTTCTGTACAGTCTTTCGCTTTTATTAAAAACACTGGACACGGGAATTTTGTTAATGGCTGTTTTCACACTAGAGCTAGAAATGGATCATCCGCGCGTCTGAGAATAGCCGGTGAACAGACGCCCCCTCCCCCACAGACACCCCTTCTCTGATTTTTTCTTAGGGGAGGGGGCGACTATACACAGACTATCTGAAATGGATAATCCATATCCAAACTGTCCGCCAAAATTGACGGATAAAGTCAGGAGGATTGTTCATTCAAAACGCGAATTACCAAACGGATAACCCGTCTCACGCAAATCATCCGTCTCTAGTGTGAAAAAGGCCATTTCTGTTATAAATGAATGTCACATCCCCGGTCTTGAGTTTGGCGTTCGCGCCAGTTTTAAATTGACTATTGGCATTTCTTTGCGTAAAATAATATTAGAAGTGGAATACTTTATACAAAGTATGCTCTATCAAACGTTGAGATTTTTCAAAAGAATAGCATTTCATAACGAGATGATCCTAAGACCTTTATTTTGCTTTAAAGATACAAAAAATACAGGATTAATATTTAATTCTTTGAAACAGAAGAAATTAATCTTTGACTTTTTTGTTAATCGTAACTGAAAAAAATTAACCGATAGCCGTAAAAGAGCTAAAAGTTTAGCCGATAACCGTAAAAGCCACCACCCCACTGAGACCCTCTTTTGACCCTAAAGCCTCGGAGTCATGTTCGAATTTTTAAAATATATCGGATGTGGGCTATTCTGACTAATGGTGTGCGTCCTAAAAATCTGTAAACTGCGGCAAAACTGTGACATTTCAAATTCCGGACCACTTTCAGGAAGAGGCTCATTGAGTGATACACTCACCCTTTTGTCTCTCAAAATCTCATACGTCTCTCCCTGTGTCCATTAATCCTTTCTCAAAAACGATAATAGAGGCTGTAGTAGGCCTATTAACATGGTACAGAACCGTCTTATTGCTGGATAGCAAGGGACGTATTGGGACAAACAAAGAGCTTACACCACTAAAAATGGTAGTTTACTTTGCCCTCTTTTCCCAGTGCGTCTCTATTTGGACCGACTTGCAGCCTGAAGACGTCTGGAATGCTAACTAAAATGTTTCATCAAAGATACAGCTGCATGTGACATGCGTACCTATGTAGTTAGAGGGCATTCCCAGTAGTGAACTTTGCACCATATTTGACTGTCTACAAATAAGGATGATTGACCCCTGCAAGTGCAAAGATACTTGTATTGTTGTCCAACTGGTACTCTTTGTAGATTGTACTCTTTAGCGTTGTTTGTAGAGCAGGAAACGCCCAGAATTTTCTTGCCCTTACATCAAGAAAAATATTACAGGAGAAAATGTGAGTATTCAAACAACAGACAACAATAATACCAACAACAACAACAACAATAATAATAACTATAATCATAATAACAAAATTTACGAGAGTTGATTACAGTGTAAAATGTGCGTCATACAAACATTACTTAAACATGTTAAAGTACAACATTGCAAATATACATGAGTGAGTCCGCCTGTGAGTCTGCACTTTTTCTTTCATATATACATATTAGAATGCTGCGACAACTAAATCTTAAGCTGTGAGCTCAAACCTAAATATTTTAATGGGTTTATAATTGAGTAAATAGCTGTAATATATAACCTTACTGTTGTCGTTACACATACGCCGAAAAGACAAAATTACTTTCTTGTATTGTTTGGTAGCCAGATGACGTCATTAAGTTTTGTTTGTTGGCATTCAATATTGGGATGAAATATATGTAATAACTATACTTACGAAAGTTTGTAGACTTTCTAAGAAAAACAAGGAAGCATTGCGAATCACCATACCACTAGAATAGGGGAGGGAAGACCCTTACGGTCTCGCTTGCCTTTACAGTGCAGGCGTTTCTTTTCTTCCGTGACAAAAAAGAAACTGGGGTAAGAATCGGGGCTTGACGAAAGCCATGCATAGAATAGAAAGCTGTGAAGGTGTCGAGATTTTCCGGAACGGGTCGGTCCACAAATTCTATCGCTTGAAAGCGTTGATTACTTTGGAACAAGTGATTACTTCAATGGTCGAAAAAAAGAACAATCATAATGAGCAAAACTTCGATGGTGAGGATAACTGGTCGGTTGTTATAAGCTTTTGTTGTATGCAAGTGAGTCTTCTGATGAGCATGCGGCTTATTTTCGGCGATGATTGGAATGACGCAAAGTGTTCACCACGTTTCCTTGATTTTCGTGTATAGTAGAACCCTGGTAACTTGACCTCTGAATGGAAACGAAATCCAGTCTGAGTTAGCGGGGAATTCGAGTTATCGGGGTAAATTTCAGTGAAATTTTGATCAAGGAAAAGGAAATTTAGTTCGAGTTAGCGGGGTATTTGTGTTATCCGAGTTCCAGTAATCGAGATTCTACTGTATTGACACACGCGTTCTAATCAATTCAGAAACAAATCGTCGAATCAGATATAAAAAGTAAATATCCTGAAAAATACTCGACCGTCGATAAAGGAGGAAGTGAAAAACGTTTGGCGAGGAAATCCCCTTTCTTGTAGAATTAATCGCCCTCCAGACTGTGAGCAGTCTCTTATTTACGTTTTACGTCACATTAGGTCGAGAACATAATTTTACTTGTTCGCTTGCCGCACGTGGCTCGATCTGAGGAAACAAGGACGACCGCTCGCGTTCTAATCGCCTCCTCATTTCTATCTTATCTCCAAACAAGCCAGACTCAATGCTATTAAGAGCGTTCTTGTTTCCTCTGGCATAGCAAAGAGAGCGAAATACGCGACCACCCGTGAAAATCCCCACCCACAAGAAAAGGCGTCGCGCGAGAGAGGAGAGACACACTTCCCCTCGCCTGTTAACTTACCTGTCTCATTTGATGCATGCATGCGTATCCTTAACCGCTCTATTATTCCCCATGAAAAAAGGAACTACTCATAGTTTACAACGCCACAAGATTTGCAAATGTTAAATGTACTTGAAATGGCAAAAGAAATGAAATGACTAACCGCTGTCTCAGAAACTTCAGCGTCAGCTCTTGCTGCACTACCAGCTGAAACCGTAGTTCCTTGTTTCTCTTTATAACTACACTGGCTGAAGTTTCCTGCTCCTTGTGCTCCCTGTGGTCCTCTTTCTCCTTTACTTCCTTGGGGTCCTTGAGGCCCAGAATCTCCTTTGTCACCCTGAGGGCCTGTATCACCTTTTAGCCCGGCAGCACCGTCGGTACCATTAAATCCCCGATCGCCTTTGATCCCAGGATCTCCTTTGCCCCCTTGAATACCTTGGTTGCCCTGTGGTCCTAAGGATCCTGGAGGACCTGTGTCACCTTTTGATCCATTAAACCCTGGTGGCCCTGTGGGGCCCTGCAACTTGCTTATACTTTGGACCTATAAAATTAATTCATGATAAATGCATTATGCATTTTTCTATTTTAATCAGATACAACCAGTAAAGCAAAATATTCTGGTAACCTTTAACATAACATGAGTGTGAATTTTTTAGTCTACCAAAAGTGCCATTTGCTCCTCTATCACCTTTGACTCCAGGTTCTCCTTTATCGCCCTGAAGACCCTGCTTTCTTATTGGTCCTTGGGCTCCTTGTTGACCTGTGTCATCTTTAGATCCATTTAAACCTAGAGGGCCTGGAAGGCCCGGAGGACCTTGAACCTTACTGATGTTTTGGATCTAGGAAGAATGCGCCAATAGAAAACTTAAGCCTTTTGGACAATTATTTACCGCCATTGCGTTTGGACGTACATCTAGAGTATAGGTTTTTTTCCATGTAAAGTTGTCGCAACACAAGCTCAGAGCCTGTGAACATGTACTTTTGCGTATCTTTACAAAACGCACCTCGTTAAGACTGACAATATCGCAGGCTACTTTTTTTTTTCTCTAATACCACTGTAAACACACGAGTTATATGATATTGTCTCTTTTAGAGGTGAGTGACTACTGTGTTTTTACACCGTCATATCTTTGCACATTCTATTTCCAACACTGAACATCCTATGCTATGCTAAAAGTGTGCCGCAGTTTTACTTTGCGCAAGCTCAATGACAGTAATCTGCTTCGGTTAAATGAAGCAACTGCGACTGAATTTATGTTCATAAATTCATTCAGGAGCCCATAACCCGGAGCGAGCAACTGTCACGGCGTACTGATTCGTACATCGTGGATGGAGACTGCGCTGGTACACACTATATAAAAAGACATAGGGAACCTCAACTCGACGTTTCTTCTTTAGAATATAATATAACAAATGCAACCAGTCGTGCAATTCAAGAAGCGCTATAATTGATTCTTGAACCTAAAAATATATGTTATGTAGACAAATCTCTCTACTTTCGAAAGCAAGTTTAATTCAAAGAATTCTGTCGCCAGAGGCAATTATTCGTAACGAGCTTTTGTTTGACTATTTAAATAGGACTTAAACCAACTTCAAAACGTACTCTATGTGTTAAGAAAATAGCATCTTTAAACCTTTAAAGGAAAAATGGAAGAAAAAAGAAAGAAAATGGTGCCAGCAGGTTTATGTACCTGAAGTGGTGTGTATGCAAATAGATAAATCAAAGACGTGCTTGGTTGACGAAGAAATATAATCATTTATACAATAAAAACCAGCAACTAAGAACCTAGTTTTTAAGAACTCGTTCTGCTAAACTTTTCAGTTAGGCCCCCTCTATAGAAGAACCACACCTGTTTAGCCTTAAATTTGAAACAGGTTTTTTAAAAAAAACTAGAGGAAATTCTATACAGTTAGGCAAATAAGGAAAGTAAACATTCAGGATCTTCATTGGAGACATAGGTTCCTTATTACTTCAGCTGCAATTGTAATAGTATGCAGTGTACAGGTTTTACCTGAGGGATGATTAGAAGCTGAATACCACTAAGTACTCTTAGCTACAGTGTGTTTTTTCTTCACATAATAAGAACCTATTTAAAAGCCTAAATAACCTAAATTTGTGCTAATTACCATTTATGTAATAACGTGGGAAAATGCAGGATCGTAGTTGTGTGTTTTTACTTAATTCCTACCACACCAATCTCCTATTGTGTGACTTATCACTACAAAATACCAACCCCCCTTGTGTACCTTGGACGGCAGCATTACTAACACAATCTGCAGAGCATCTCAAGGAGTCCGTAGTATTTTGGGAATTCATCACACTTAATACTAAAGCTAAAGATGCGGCAGCAGTCAGGAGCGAAATGATCGTCACGGCAGTAACAATGTACAACATTCGCTGGAGTTTAAGAAAATTCTCTTGGCAGAACTTAGCAGGTTCTGTCGATGGCGTCCCTCCTTTGTCAGGAACCACGTCGTCATATGTTTCCGCGTCATCCGACGTTTGTTTGGATTCTATGATTTCGATGTAAGGGTTTTCTTCTCCCATCGTTGTTTCCTCCATGGCCATATTATCCATGGTGAAATCGAATTTCGGACACCAACTCTGCTGAGAATTTTGATAATTGATCTGCGCAGCGCGAGTTACAGATTAGATGATGTACCAAAGAGTTCGTCAGTATCTTCATGTGATTGGTATTCATTGGTCGACCTGTGCCAAATATCCATACTGATTCACCATTTTCACATAGACCATCATCATGATCATGCGTCTTGTTTACCTCCCAAAGTTTTGCATAACCATTGTTTTCAATTTCTCCTGGGTATTACAGTCGTCCCAAGAGAATACAAAGAAAATAGCTATGCAAAAATTTGGGGGGTGAAGAAGGTTACGGTCTATGTGAATTTACTCCTTTATTTTGAACGGTGTTGTCGCCATGATCGAAAGTGAGCCTGAATTTAAAAAGAACTGTTTGTTTTGTCGTATGCAGAAAAAAGTTTAATGAGAATTCATCTAGATTTGTTGTTCCACTGATGTAAGCACAAGGAATCTCTTGCTTTTGTCTATAGTGTTCTTTTGGTGTTCGCGGCGTAATAGAACAATTGCACGATGACGATATTTGACTACAACTACCAGAATTCATTTCGATTTGGCTTTGTTATTTAAATTTGTCAATCCCGCTGAGTATTAAAGAACAATAGCCTTAATTTGCACAAGAAAACAACAAACTCAAGGATTCTGGTAGTTGTAGTAAAATGACGTCATCGTGCAATTGTCCTATTAGTGTAGTGTTTTTGGTTCATTGGTCGTTCATCGATCGCGTAGCTTTGTTCTTTTTTTGCATATAGTATATTTAGCTTCGATTGTTATTTTCGCGTCTGTTCTTCGGTGTGCTTGGTCCAGTTTGCAGTTTACAGTTTAGTCTTTTAGCGTTTGTTCGTCCTAGCTCTTCGTCCTGATTTCGCTATCGTCTTGTAAGTATCTTGCGTGTTTCATTCGCATTGTCATTTTGCTTCATTGCTTCCGTTCAGTTTGCAGGTTATTTTATCTTGACCTTGTGTTTGTTTAATTGTTGTTTATCAGTAGCGCTACATATCGGTTCGCTTTGTTTTGCTTTACTTCGCTTCGGTTCGCCTTGTTCCTATTGATTATAGAAAGTCTAGAAATAAAGTTTTCTGTGTTGAAACTTAAATCACGTAAAGGCTGCGACTACAGCTTATGCGGTAGTGATACAGATTGCGCAATGTTATTGTCATTGAAAAAAGCGAAATTCATACGTCATTCTGCAGCTCGGCCGTTTTTTCACTGGTTTGGTCTGTCGCGTGCATGGATAACCAGGTTTTCTTTATTCAAAAGGCGAGATACCGGCAATGACTTGGAAAACCAAAATTATTAAAAACTGAATCATTGGATAATGCAGTTCTAGACCTCAGACTTGCTTAGCCATCATGGTATATGAGCCATTATAGCATGCTTTCTAATTAAAGATTTGGTAACTGTAGGCGTCAGCTCAAAATTAAAAACAAGCTGAAAATCGGTTGTTTTTACAAATAAAGTTGGAAGGATTTCTCGATATTTTGTGGGCGTTTTTAATAAAACAATTATTCCACTCGCACTTGTTGGATATGAGATGATTACAGCTAATTCATATCCAACGCGCACTCGTTGAATAATTATTAAATACAAGTAGTGTGCGTGACTTTCTGCGAGTCTCCTATCTCGACAGCTTTTTAAATATGGATGGCGTAACACACCCAATGACAGAATAGTAGCCAGTGTTCTTGTTAACAAAAGCATAGGGTTACTTGAAATAGCAGACATACTGACTAAAGGTCACGTGACACCCGACTTTGAATTTCCCTCGTCCGGCAGTAATGGGCAGACACGCCCGACTTTCGGGTCCAAATGCGTCCTAATAAGGAAAAAACAGCTGTGTAGACCCTGACTGCCAGTACATGGAGAATATGGCTTTGCGCATGCGTAAGTTGTTTGGCCAGGCCGTGAGTTGGTACTGGAGTGTGTCACTCGTTCTCTCTCGTATACATTATTTAGCAGGTGTATATAAAACTGTGCATAAGGTCGAACGAACTCTTTTTACGATAATGATGAGTGACGTCCGGTAACTAGGATCCGTTGAGATTCAAATTTAGCGTTTACCCTTAACGTTTTAAAGAATTGTTGATTGAATGTGGCGTGACGCAAATAAAGTTAAACTTTTTAGATTGCCATAGATCCATCCTTTCTTTTAGCAGTAAATTATGTCTTAGCTGGGTGAACTGTAACAAATAAAATAGAACGAACAAATCAAATCATTGTGTACCACGTAATTTTATTGTATAGTTTATAAGTATGTACAGGTTTCCTGCCAGGAGAATTAATTTAAAATTGCAGAAGAGCTAAATCACTGTTAAATGCAATTTTCGTGATATGTTGGTGCTTAGTGCTACCCTGTCTTCAGAGGTCCGTTCCCTAGAATGATATAAACCCTGCTCAAAAGTTTGAGACGGATAAGGCAAGAAAAAACCTATAGCACCCATGGTAGGTTAAATCAACGCCTAAACTAAGGCGTGCTTAGGCCAAAACCTCGAACATAACCCCTGTAAGACTGGGTTCAGACGCCGCACTTGGCAGGATCGCAGGGGCGAATCAACGACTCAAATTTAATGACTTAGGCCGGCTGAATTGATTCTATCTGAACCCGCGGGGTCTAAGAGTCCCAATGAGCATCAGGTGCCTACCTGAGGCAGCGGCTTTTAACAGTTATTCCTGGAACTCGAAGGCCTCATGAGCTATTGACTCAGAGGCCATGAGGGCGAGAGGAATAATTGTTTAAGTAAAATCCAGCTACGTAGTTGGTCAAAAATATCGAGACAGAACAACTTTAGCTAGCAAAACGCGATTCAGCCGCCATTGTTTTGGTTTTCAAAGCCGGCGCTTTTTGCTCCTAGTGGGCTATAATATATATATAGCCTAGTAGTAGCTCAAAAAAATCAGAACGTAGCATTGATAATAGACCACTCGCTGGATTTTACGAAAAAGGAATATCGTAAACTCTAGCACTTATGGTTCGGTAAAGGATGGTGCGAAATGTAAGATCATTCCTCGATGCATAACTTCTGTGATGGCTAGTATGCGAGTTCATGCCGACAACTTGTTAAAAAATAGCTGGAGTATGAAGACCTTTGCATGGAGTCCAATATCTACTTGACATTTACCTTGTTGATTATCAGTCCCTGTTTCTGCTTCCGATTCTTTACATTTGGATTTTACGAGAGCTATCACCGAGGGTACCAGTATTATTAAGGCGATTACAAGCCGTTTAAGAAAGAATTCTTTTGCATTGGCAGTTTGAAGCCCAGCTTCAACTCTCTTTCTGTGTGTCGCGATACCTGCTGCTTCTTCGTCGGATTCATCTTAGGCCAAACTTTTACCAACTCTAGAAGAGGATCTTTCATTTGCTTCAGTTTGAAGTTCTTCGTCTTCTTGTCATACGCGTTCTCAAGCACGTAGCTTGTTGGATATACCTTTCTAGTCGCCATTTTGGTCTAGCTGAGACGTATTAAGGCTAAGACCCTTCAACCTTGAAATGCATCTAGACATTCCAGCTGTGCGATGCAAATAATGAACAATTATTGGACGAGGTTGAGCAATTTTTTGAGCAATTTGTCTGTGGCGAGCAGATCAACTATTTGCTGAGGCAAATAATTGATCTGCGAGACACTAACAAATCACGATATTTTGCGATAACCGAGTTCAATAATTGTTTTATCATTCGATCACCGAGTTTGTTTTTTTAATGAATATCCTCGGGAAGCGAAGCGATCTGCCATTTTCACGCAAGAGCGATCGCAAGAAGGAGAAAAGCACGGTTTCCTTTACGCATGTGCAGAATATTATTTGCAAACCGAGTTCAATAATTGTTTTATCATTCGATCACCGAGTTTGTTTTTTTAATGAATATCCTCGGGAAGCGAAGCGATCTGCCATTTTCACGCAAGAGCGATCGCAAGAAGGAGAAAAGCACGGTTTCCTTCACGCATGTGCAGAATATTATTTGCAGCCAAACACAGTTGGACGGCTCTCTTTGTGGACGTGGTGGGCTTCCGGCCAATGGAAAGAAAGAAAAATTTGCTTCGAATGATAATTTGTATTATACACCTTACCGAATGGAGGAAATGAAAGATCTTTAGCCTGATTATTCATTTTGACTCAGTCATTTGTCACGAAATGGCCTTATTGGTCTAATCAGATCTAAGACGTAATGAACCATTGAGCGAAAACCGGGTCGTTCGATTGTCTATTATGTAAAATCATGGCTAGGCAAAATCTTTCCGCGTACTTGCTGGCATACAAACTTTCTATTAAAATTAAAATTCCACTTTTGCAAAGCTAACTAACTGATTTTGAGTACAAAATCATTCTGATCTTCACTACGTCAGGCAGACATTGCCTGCGAGCAATCTTGCAAGTAAGTTGTCCATTTGGGGAATATCCTCGGAAGTAGCCTGTGTACAGCCGTTCCCTCTAATCAAGCAAAATTGGGCAGAGATTTATATTTGAGGGGAGGGGGTGCCTGTACACAGGCTAACCAGCTAACTGACAAGTTTCGCGACGTATTTTTCGTGTCTCTCCCCAGTCTCACTCTTCGTTTTCACTCTCACTCCAGACTGTTGGCGCCTTATTTACCTAATTCTCATTAGCATAATATTACATTAGTCATCCAGTTCCATGTTTCTACTCAGGTTGAAATAAAATCCCTTCCTCTTATCTTTTGGTTAGATGAATCATATGGTATAAAGGTCCTTGCACTTCAGTGATCAAATCCGAGTATTCAACTGGACAATATTGCTACTGAATTTTAAATTAGGAGTACAAAGTTGTAAAACATTGTTACTACCACTGATATTGTTTTAAGCGAGATAGAATGATTCCCTTGTGTGACTACAGGGATGGATGAAAGTCCCCCCCTTTTTCCGATCTACACAACACCACCACCCAAGGTAAAAACCACTTCTGACTGAAAGAATTGCATGATGTTTTACTAAGGAGCTCGCTCCTTGTAATAATTATATATAGATTTAGCCAGGGCTAAAAGCGAAGCCCTCTTTAATATTTACAGATTCCTCAAAGAAAATATAGAGCGGTTTTCACTTGACTGTCGAAAGTACTTGAGGAATTGGTTTGGTTTTGGTTTTACTACGCCCTTTGGTTGGCTAGTGTATTTACTTTGGTTTTGGTTTTACGACAGTCAAGTGAAAACCGCCCTAAAATCGAGTAATACTAAAGACAAGTTGAAAGCAACGTGAACGGTAAAAACAACAACAATAGATCCAGTTAGCAAAAAAATAAATTTGCACGTCCAGCACACTTTTTTTTCTAATTAGCCACAAAAACACAACTCTGCACGTGCAGCAGTTTTTCGTTTTGTTCATTTCCTTACCGTTGTTTACACGACTAAAACGTGAAACTTCTTTTAGCTTCCTATTTACGCGTTTTATGGAGGAAATGTTTGGGTTCCTGTTCACTCTGTTTTTTCACTGCCGCTCCTTTTTCACATTAGCAGCCGCTAGCATTTTTCATTTTTTAACCGCCGCTATATAATTTTCATGTTTTTCTTCCAACGAAATTAGTCTCCGTTGTTATTTATTTCTCGCTCCTGAACAAGTGTGACACTTAATATCGGCTTACATGTAGTGAGTGTACGGACGGTCGGCGTTCGTACGCTATGTCATAAACAGATCTTCTCGGATGGATAGTTTACCAAATTTTCTTACCTATGGTGCTCCGCTGGCGTGCTTCGAGCTCGAGAGCTCCGCTAATAACACTATACATAGCAAAATGTTTAGCGTATACCTTGAAATTATTTAATTTTGTAACGTATGGTCCATTACTATTAAAAAATGTGTTGTGTTGCATAAACCCCTGAAGCCCTAATATCAACATCTCCGTATAAGTGACGAGAATTTGCTAGAAAAAGTCAGAACATTTCACACGTCTCCATTTTCTGTGCGATACTGGAACTCGAACGCAGATTTCGAGAGGCAGGTGCCCTTAAGGGAAAAAATGTTCGCGAGGACAAGGGGTGGGAAGTGGGTGGGAAGCCCCTTCCCTTCCGGGGCTTCCTACCCATGGCGGGGCCATTTGCATCCTCCTCCGGATCGGCCAGAAGTCAAAACAGCAGCCTTTAGAACTCGACATTCCCTCTCAACGATTGTCAAAAACAGATAAATGAGGAATACTATCAGTCTAGACGCTTTTACCTTTGATCATTATTGTATTAATTTGACTGCCATTTTATTCCAATTAACTTCCAATCAACTTGCAGACCTAGCTGTAGATACGGTCTTAGTACCTAATACAAGATTATTTTAATTAATTTTAATCAAGTTAATTATTTTCTTATATTAAAAAATAAGGAAATGTAAAAAATGCGAAGTTTAAATTCATTGACCTCAAAACAGCTACTGACAGCGACTGTACACTAGGTAAAAATTCTATAAAAGCTTGTTTAGTGAAGGTATTTTTTAATAGATGTTGACTGTAATTAAGACTAATTCAAAGAGAAACGAAACATGCCAGTTCAGGTAAAGATTATGCCTATGAAGCATGAATCAGGCATTCCCAGTAATGCAGTGCACAGGGTGGATTAAGACTTGAGTTTTCTTACACCTGCATGAATATACATTGTGATTTGGCGGCGATTGTATTCGTACTTACAAAGTTAGATTCTGCACCAGCAGCAGTTGTTGTTCAATATGATCCAATGACCTTTGACGGGAGGTATCGGGCCGCAGTTTTTTGTTGTGTGTTTCTAGGTATTTTTCAGAAGAGGTTGATTTAAGTTAAGACTTGAAACGTGCCACCGTTAAGGTAAATAATTATGGCTATGGAGCATAAATGGGACACGCCCAGTAATGCAGTGCACAGTGTGGGCTCCCTCCAGAGATCCTACAAACGCATGAATATGTGTTGTGATTTGGCGGCGATTGTATTAGTACTTGCAAGTTAGATTCTGCATCAGCAGTAGTTGTTGTGCAATATGCTCCAATGACCTTTGTATTCTGTGAAAATTAAAAAAATGAAAAATATACTGTTAAAGATAATTCAGCTGTAAGGCATGCACATATAGCATCTCTGCTTTTGGTATCAGGGTCTGGGGTCTGGGGTCTGGAGTCCCCTCTTTCTCCCCGGAACCACCAGAGAGCTTGCAAGCAGCCTATGTAGTAGGAGCTTGGACTGACCAACATCGATTAGAAAAATTGAAACTAAAATTTAACGAGCAAGTCTTGCTTAAGAATACAGATATTACACGCTCGTAACATATTACCTGAGTATCAGCAATGCTAACAGCTGGTGTTTGCTCAATTATTGTAGGCTGGCACCAGCTGAAGTTACCGATCCCTCTTGGTCCTGGATCACCGGTTTCTCCTTGCATTCCTTGAGGACCCGTGTCGCCCTGAGGTCCCTTGATTCCCTTATCCCCGGTCGCTCCCTTGCTGCCGTTTTTGCCTGGAAAGCCTTGATCTCCTTTAATTCCTTTGTCCCCTTGTGCTCCAGTAATGCCTTGTATCCCCATGGGGCCCTTTGGCCCGGGTGGTCCCTTATCCCCGGTTGGACCTCTGAAACCGTTTTGTCCTCTCTCGCCAGCTGGCCCAGGTTCAGCAATTCTAATTGATACCTAGAAAAACAATGTTTTTAAAAAATCGTGATTGATATGAAACAAGCCTTCAAATGTTGTTTGGTCGAGTAAAATTCTCTATCACCTCTAACACCTTTGACTCCAGGTTCTCCTTTATCGCCCGGAGGACCTTGCACCTTACTGATGTTTTGAATGTAGGAAGAATGCGCCAATAGAAAACTTAAGACTTTTGGACAATTATTTACCGCCATTGCGTTTGGAGGTACATCTAGAGCATAGGTTTTTTCCATGTAAAGTTGTCGCAACACAAGCTCAGAGCCTGTGAACATGTATATTTGCGTATATTTACAAAACGCACCTCGTTAAGACTGACAATATCGCCACTGTAAACACACGAGTTATTTGATATTGTCTCTTTTAAAGGTGAACTACTCCGCTTTTACACCGTCATAATTTTGCACATTCCATTTCCAACACTGAACATCCTATGCTATGCTAAAAGTGTGCCGCAGTTTTACTTTGCTTAAGCTTAATGACAGAAATCTGCTTCGGTTAAATGAAGCAACTGCGACTGAATTTATGTTCATAAATTCATTCAGGAGCCCATAACCCGAAGCGAGCAACTGTCACGGCGTACTGATTCGTACATCGTGGATGGAGACTGCGCTGGTACACACTATATAAAAAGACATAGGGAACCTCAACTCGACGTTTCTTCTTTAGAATATAATATAACAAATGCAACCAGTCGTGCAATTCAAGAAGCGCTATAATTGCTTCTTGAACCTAAAAATATATGTTATGTAGACAAATCTCTCTACTTTCGAAAGTAAGTTTAATTCAGACAATTCTGTCGCCAGAGGCAATTATTCGTAACGAGCTTTTGACAATGTAAATAGGACTTAAACCAACTTCAAAACGTTTTCTATGTGTTGTGAAAATAGCATCTTTAAACCTTTAAAGGAAAAATGGAAAAAAAAAGAAAGAAAATGGTGCCAACAGGTTTATGTACCTGAAGTGGTGTGTATGCAAATAGATAAATCAAAGACGTGCTTGGTTGACGAAGAAATATAATCAATTAAGACAATAAAAACCAGCGACCAAGAACCTAGTTTTTAAGAACTCGTTCGGCTAAAATTTTCCAGTTAAGCCCCCTCTATAGAAGAACCGCACCTGTTTAGTCTTAAATTTGAAACAGGTTTTTTTTCCTTTCTAAAAACTAGCAAAAATTCTGTACACTTGGGCAAATAAGGAAGTAAACATTCAGGATTCTGTTTGGAGACATAGGTTCCTTATTACTTCAGCTGCAATTGTAATAGTATACAGTCTACAGGTTTTACCTGAGGGATGATTATAAGCTGAACACCACTAAATACTCTTAGCTACAATGTATTTTTTTCTTCACATAATAAGAACCTATTTAAAAGCCTAGATAACAAAAATTTGGGCTAATTACCATTTACGTAGTAACCTTTTTAGGTTAAATTGGGAAAATGCAGGATACTAGTTGTGTGTTTTTACTTCCTACCACACCAATCTCCTTTTGTGTGAGTTATAACTACAAAATGCGAACCAACCTTGTGTAACTTGGACGGCAGCATTACTAACACAATCTGCAGAGCATCTCAAGGAGTTCGTAGTATTTTGGGAATTCATCACACTTAATACTAAAGCTAAAGATGCAGCAGCTGTCAAGAGAGAAATGATCGCTACGGCAGTAACAATGGACAACATTCGCTGGAGATTAGGAAAATTCTCTTGGCAGGACTGAGCAGGTTCTGTCGATGGCGTCCCTCCTTTGTCAGGGGCCACGTCGTCATATGTTTCTGCGTCATCCGTTTGTTTGGATTCTATGATTTCGATGTAAGGGTTTTCTTCTCCCATCGTTGTTTCCTCCATGGCTATATCCATGGTCAAATCGAATTTCGGACACCAACTCTACTGGGAATTTTGATAATTGATCTGCGCAGCGCGAGTTACAGATTAGATGAAGTACCAAAACGTACGTTAGTATCTTCATGTGATTGGTATTCATTGGTTGACCTGTGCCAAATATCCATACTGATTCACCATTTTCACATAGACCATCATGCATCTTGTTTACCTCTAAAAGTTTTGCATAACCATTGTTTTCAATTTCTCCTGGGTATTACAGTCGTCCCTAGAGGATACAAAGAAAATAGTTACGCAAAAATTTGGAGGGTGAACAAGGTGTATTACGGTCTATGTGAATTTACTCCTTTATTTTGAACGGTGTCGTCGCCTTGATCGAAAGTGAAACCTGAATTTAAAAAGAACTGTTCGTTTTGTGGTATGCAGAAAAAGGTTAAATGAGAATTTATCGAGACATTATTTAGTAGTTTGTTGTGCCACTGATTTAAGCGCCAAGAATCTCTTGCTTTTATCTGTAGTGTTCTTTTGGTGTTCGCGGCGTAATTAGTGTAGTTTTTTTTTGGTTCATTGGTCGTTCATCGTTCGCGTAGCTTTGTTCTTTTTTTGCATATTTAACAATTAGTTCATGCGTCAGGGTGCGTATGTCGAGATATTGACGATATTGATATTGACGCAGGAAGTTTGGAGAGCACGAAAGAGGCGTTCTGCACTCAGTTCCAGAAGTTAATAGAAAAACAAGAAACAACATAAGCAACAAATCATGGAGAATATTGGATATGGCCTAAGAGTAACGACATATGTCCGCCGAAGGTGCGTATAACTGTGTATATATAAACACTTGGAGAGTTTACCAGACACGAGTTAATAAGTCTTTCATTGGGAACCTTGCCAGACACTCTTTCTCCCTCTTTGACCGGAATAAGACTCAGCCCCAAACAAGCAAGACGAGTGAACAACGGCTAGCTTCTCATTAGCAGAACGATGGACGATTACAGAAATTCGCCGACAATCAAATTCTGTGCTGACTTATTCCCTGCTCACAGATGTCCTTCCGCTATAAAGTTTAAAATAAGACTAGATTGCGGCTCACACTTAACTAGTTTGCAGGAAAATTAAAGATTCCGAAGGAAAGGCCGTTTATTTTACTTGACTTACATTTTTCACTTTCTCTTTATCGCTTTTTAAGTTGAAGATTAATTTAGAAAAGAATAGGTTCAGAATAAACAATTCTCGAAACTGAGAATGTTTTGATCAAAGTGTAAATCGAACTGAAACTGTGCATGGAACCTTACGTTTCCAGTATTTATCTCACCAATTGTATGGAATATGTGTGAAAATCTTCATTATGAATCGGTATATTTCAAAGAGCTAGCAAGAATACTATAAATGCCTGGGCCATTTAGGCTCCTGCCAATGCTAATTCTACTTTCGTATATAACGAAAGACCTACTGACACTTCCGGGCTAATCTAACCGTGTCATTTATCTGTTACAATCCCTTTTTGCACCTCTGACTCTGGTGAATTTATAACTATTGCTATGCTATACTGTCCACTTAAGAAAACGTCCATTCACGAGATCACGTCCACTTATTAGACATGTCTTCCTTTGGCTGAAGAATACTTCGGGGACAGCATTTTTTTGATACGTTTAGGGGAGGTATTTTTCAGTTGAGGTTGACTGTAGTTAAGACTAATTTGAACAGAAACGTGCCAGTTCAAGTAAAGACATTTCGGCGAGACCATGGCTATGAAGCATGAATTGGGCATGCCCAGTAATGCAGTGCACAGGGTGGATTAAGACTTGAGTTTTTACACTTGCATGAATATACGTTGTGATTTGGCGGCGATTATATTCGTACTTGCAAAGTTAGATTCTGTGCCAGCATCAGTTGATGTGCAATGCTCCTAAAATGACATTTGTATTCTGTGAAAATAAAAAAGATCTAATATACTGTTAAAGATCCTTCAGCCGTGATAAGGCACCTAGTGTCTCTGCTTTGGTATTTCTAAATACTCTTCCATCCCGGTATAGTTTTAAACTGGCAAAACTAAAACAACTTCGTATATGTACAGATATGGCACCTTTCGGATGTCTACAGTGCCGTAGCAACAGGGAAACTACCAAAGAGAATAATTGCACGGCAAAGCGAATAGTCATAGTCACTTTCAGTTCTACCACTTGCCAGGTCCACCAGATTTAGGGCGCGTTCCAACATCAGAACTGGCCACCCGGACGAGTATTGAACTGGGCTTTTGAAAGAGTTTTCGCTTAAGATTGTCGTGCATATTATTGTAGAGTAAAGTGATCTGGCGTGAAATTTTTGATTGATTGTGAAATTCGCATATGATTGGATCGGACTAGTCTGGCCAGCCGATAGCCCACGTTCGATAGATTAAAATTCTAGCATAACTCCGAGGCTTTCTGGTCATATTTCCACATTTGGTTCGGTATTCTTTGTGCTCAAGGCTCTTCAGGGAATTGCGACACTATTGAGTCGTAAAAATTTTTTTTAATTTTGACCTTAAAGCCTCGGAGTCATGTTCGATTTTTTAAAATATATCGAATGTGGGCTATTCTGACTTATGGTGCACGTCCTAAAAATCTCTAGAATGCGGCAAAACAGTGACATTTCAAAATCCGGACCGCTTCCAGGAAGAGGCTCATTGAGTGATACAATCACCATTTTGTCTCTCAAAATCTGATACGTCTCTCTCGGTGTCCATTAATCCTTTCTCAAAAAGGATAATGGAGACTGTAGTAGGCCCATTAACATGGTACAAAACCGTCTTATTGCTGGATAGCAAGGGACGCATTGGGACAAGACAAACAAAGAGCTAATACCGCTAATTATGGTAATTTACTTTGTCCTCTTCCCCCAGTGCGTCTCCCCAAGGGCCTACTCGCAGCCTGAAGACGTCTGGAATGCTAACTAAAATGTTTCATCGAAGATACAGCTGCATGTGACATGCGTACCTATGTAGTTAGAGGGCATTCCCAGTAGTGAACTTTGCACCACATTGTACTGCCCGAAAATAAGGATGATTGACCCTTGCAGGTACAAAGATACTTGTATTGTTGTCCAACTTGTACCCTTTGTAGATTGTACTCTTTAGCGTTGTTTGTAGAGCAGGAAACGCCCAGAATTTTCTTGCCCTACACACCAAGAAAAAAATTACAGGAGAAAATGTGATTATTCAAACAACAACAACAACAACAATAATGATAATAATAATAACAACAAAATTTACAAGAGTTGAATACAGTATAAAATGTGCGTCATATAAACAACACTTAAAGTCCAACATTGTAACCGTACATGAGCGAGTCCGCCTGTGAGTCTGCAATTTTTATTTCACAATTACATATTAGAATATTACTACAACTAAAACTAAAATAAGCTGTGACCTCAAACTTTTAATATTTTCAATGGATTCATAATTGAGTAAATAGCTAAAATATATAACCTTACTGTTTTTGTCAGGTATATTGTTCGTTACACAGACGCCGAAAAGGTTGACTTAGTTACCTTCCCTGTATTGTTTGGTAGTCAGATTGCGTCATTAAGTTTTGTTTGTTGGTATTCACATTTGAGTATTCGATATTGGGATGGAATATATGTAACAACTACGCTTAGAGAACTGGCTTCTAAGAAAAACAAGGAAGCATTGCGAATCACCATACCACCAGAGTAGGCGAAGGGAGTTCCTTATTAGTCTCGCTTGCTTTAGCAAGGCGTTTCTTTTCTCTTTTTCTTTATCGTGTGTGCGTGCCAAAAGGGGTCACGGTCCCAGGCGTTTTTAGCGAAGACCGTGGAAACTGAGGATAAGAATCGTGGCTTGAGGAATTAGCAATGCATGGAATAGAACGTTTCGAAGCCTTTCCGCAATGGGTCGGTCCACGAATTCTATTGCTTGAAAGCGTTGATAATTACTTTGAAACAAGTGATTACTCCAGTGGTCGAAAAAAAAAAAGAAGAAAATCTTAATGAGCAAAACTTCTATATGGTGAGGCTAACTGGGCGGGTGTTGTAAGCTTTCATTGTATGCCAATGCGTCTTGTGATGAGCATTTTCGGCGACAATTCGCGCCATGTTTATCACGTTTCCTTGATTTTCGTGTACAGTAGAACCCTGATAACTCAAACTCTGAAATGAAACGAAAACCAGTTCGAGTTAGTGGGGAACTCGAGTTATCGAGGTTCTACTGTATTTACACACGCTTTCTAATCAATTCAGAAACAAATCGTCGAATACGCTATTAAAAGTAAATATCCGGTCCTGAAGAATGACTCGACCGTCAGCGAGGAAATCCTGTTTCGTGTAGAATTAATCACTTCCTAAACTGCCAGCAGTCTCTTATTTTTCCTTGAGTCACAGTAGGTTGAGAACATAATTTTACTTTTCCGTTCGCCGCGGGTGGCACTGGGAAAGAAGGACTACCGCTCGCGGTCTAATCGCCTCATTATTTCTTATCTTGTCTCCAAGCAAGCGAGACTCAACGTTATTAAGAGCGTTATTGTTTCCTCTGGCATAGCATAGCGAGCGAAATACGCGACCGCCCGTAAAAATCCCCGCCCACAAAAGAAAGGCGTTGCGCGGGAGAGGAGAGAGACACTTCCCCTGCCCGTTACCTTCCCTGTCATTTTTCATGCGCGCATGCGTATCATTAGTCGTTCTATTATTCCCGATGAAATAAGGAACTACTCATAGTCTTCAACGCTACACACGTTGCAAATGTTAAATGTATTTGAAAAGGTTAAAGAAATGAAATGACTAACCGCTGTCTCAAGAACTTCGGCTTCAGCAGTTGCAACACTACCAGGCGAAACCGTAATTCCTTGGTACTCTTTATAACTACACTGGCTGAAGTTTCCCGCTCCTTGAGCTCCCTGTGGTCCTGTTTCTCCTTTAATTCCTTGTGGTCCTTGAGGCCCAGAATCTCCTTTGTCACCCTGAGGGCCTGTATCACCCATTTGTCCAACAGCACCATCGGTTCCATTTACGCCTGCCTCACCTTTCACACCAGAATCTCCCTTCTCCCCTCGAACACCCTGATCTCCCTTTATTCCACTGGCACCATCGGTACCATTTATCCCGGTATCACCTTTGACACCAGTCTCTCCTTTGCTCCCGGGAAGACCTTTATCACCTTCTGTCCAGTAACACCATCAGTCCCATTAGCTCCTCTATCACCTTTGACTCCAGGTTCTCCCCTAGTCCCCGGAGGACCTATGTCACCCTTTTGTCCAGCAGAACCATCAGTGCCGTTAGCTCCTCTATCACCTTTGTCCCCAGGTTCTCCTTTATCGCCCTGAAGACCCTGCTCTCCCATTGGTCCTTGGGCTCCATGTTGACCTGTGTCACCTTTAGATCCATTTAAACCTGGAGAGCCTGGAAGGCCCGGAGGACCTTGCACCTCACTGATGTCTTGGATCTAGGAAGAATGCGCCAACAGAAAACTTAAGCCTTTTCAAAAATTAATTTACCGCCATTGAGTTTCGAGTGCATCTAGAGCGTATAAGGATTTCAACGTAAAGTTGTCGCGACACATGCTCAGAGCCCGTGCACATGTATACATGTATTTTATTATGTAACCTCAAAAAACTGGACAAAACGACTCTTGCCGATATTTCGTCTTTATTATGCGTATATTTACAAAACGCACCTCGTTAAGACTGACAATATCGCCGGCTACTCTTTTTAATTCTAATATACTGTAAACAGACGAGTTATATGATATTTTCTCTTTTAAAGATGACTACTGTGTTTTCACCCCGTCTTATTTTTACACTCTCAAACCAGTCCTTTCCAAAACTGAACATCCTGTGCTATGCTGAAAGTGTGCCACAGTTTTAGTTTGCACGATATTAATGACAGAAATCTGCCTCGGTTAAGAAAAGCAACTGCAATTGTACAGTCATTAAAACTCATCTATTAGATGTTGCTCAGCCATCCCTCTCTCACATTTTAAGGCTATCATCCTACTGCACTATTAGCTGCAGCTATAGCTATATCGCCGTTCATGCACCTGGACCAGTAGATTTATAAACAGCGCTGAATTTGAAATATTCCTTCCTGTAGAACTAGCATATTGTAAAGAACAGGCTTTCAACTACCTATCGGTGGAGCTTTTTGAATAAGTCCGACAAGTTCAACTCGACCATAATTCTTGCCACAAAAAAGTAACTCATAGTAAACAGCAAAACTTACCTTTGAGCTAAAAGTTGTTCTCAAAGAAGACAACTCTTGAAAGAAACTTGTATTGATAGCAATAACAGCCGCTTCAAGTCTTTGACTGATGTTCTGTGTCTACATACGTGATATATTTGTAAGTAACTGAATCAGAAAAGCAACAACATTGTACGGTAACATTATATGGCCATGTGATGATGATGATGATAATAATAATAATATGTATATGTTGTGGTTAATTTTTTATCTCAGGTAATTTTCGTTTTTCTTTTGTTTTTGGGTATGGTAATCTAAAAATGCTAATGAAGTTAAAACAAAATTAAATAAAAATAAAAATAAAAATTACCTGACATAAAAAATTAAGTACAACATAATTATGTTTATTTACTTTATACTTGTACAGTGCATAATGGCAGTCCCGTGTTGGAGTCCAGTGCGCTCTAAACGGGAGCTGAGGTTCCTTCTTGATCATCACGAGTTCACCTCCCTTGTCCCTTTTCTAAAAGAGCCAAATGGTTCGCCTCCCGAACAGGTTTTTTTTTTTCATTAAAAACTTGTTTGTTTCCAGTCATGCGTAGTGCTTCATTATTCCCGGAAAGTCAGTTCCACTGAGAAGATAGTTAACCATTTTTCAACGTGAATAAGGAAAGTCAGACAGATTGTTCTTTATACCAACACTTACCTTTGATTCAAAATCTGTTCCGACTGAGATCAACTCTTGGAAGAGAGTTGAATTTATAGTACTTAAAGATGCGTTGACGCTTTTGAGGATATTCTCCATCTGAAATATACCATATTAAGGACATTAATGACCCTTGCACAATCCTTCATGAAATACTTTAGCAGTATGACAGGTGGCAATTTGAAAAAACTGTTAACGTTCAGACCTACTACGGGAAGAGATTTGGAAGCCCGATCAGTGGATTTTTTCCCCGAGGTTTTAAAATGATTTTGAGCCAGAATTGCTGTCCTTCAGTATCTGTTCATTAATTTCTAAGGTACATTCTTGCAAATTTGGGTGGCAGCCGGTTCCTATAGTTACGAAAAATGAGTCACATTTATTATAACCAGCCCCAGTGTCAAAAGTAAATTCCTCATCATTTGTTCCTGTACATTTCCCTTAGAATCAGTGGGGAGAAGATGGTAAAGTATCTGTTAAACTCATCTGTGTAGACATGTCCTTAATTCACGTGTGGCTACTCTAATCACTCTTAGGGCTTAAAGTAGTAAGTGACTGGTTGTCGGCATTCTTAAGTAATAATCTCTGTCAGTGGTTTGCAGTAGTTGTGCTAAAACTTATGGAAGAGACCTAAATTCAGAGCTAAATCTATCTTGTAGAGGCAAAAAACAGGCTATATATTTTGCGTTTATCTTTCGGAAAGGCCTCCCAGGTGGCACAAAAAGCAAGCAAACAAGGTGGGGGTATGAATTTGCTTGCTTTTTCAAGAGTAAAAAATCCTTTTTTTACGTATAAATAAAAAGTAGTTAGGTTCATTTTCAGACTTCGTGCAGTAAATAGATATGGGCGTGAGTCGACAAAAGCATGGAATGGTTACTTAGTGCGCAGAACGTAGTGTGGAAAGTAACGGGATAAAGCTGTGCAGTTTAATTCTGAACCTTCCAATGCGAACTTATAACATCGAAAGTAGAAGTTAATTTTAAAGGCCCATGTTCACCCTAGATGCATTGCGCGCCCTGTACTCCAGAAAAAACATTTCGCGTAGTTGAAAATCGCTGCCTTTAGTGTGTAAAGTCAATCTTTGTTAATCTCCTACAGTTCGCTAAATCTGGTTTAAAAGAAAGTCTCAACAAGTTCTTTTGGTATTTTTCTTTACATCTTTTTGGATATTTTGGAATGGTATCGAGCCTTTATGTTTCTGTGAGTGTTTGTTTCACTGCAGCACTTTCGATGGCGGCTCCATCGAAACGAACGGTTGGAAGCATGGTTGGAAGACCGCGTCGACGGGGGTCGCCGAAGTACATTCGTCTCCGTGAATCCGCTTTTTTAATCCCTGGAGAGATGGGAAAGAAACTCTTGGCTGTAAATTCTACAGACAGCGTGTTTGCCGAGTTCCTTCTACATCGAATGTTCAATTGTAAACAAAGGTCCCGTTGAAATCAGTTGAAAGCAAAACAAGCGAGTCAATCTAACATGAACAATGCTTTATTTAATTTAACCTATGAAGCGAGTGATATCCTTAACGTAAACTTATCGTCTGGCGTATCACGATTAAAGCCGGCTCTAAAGTAGCGAGAACTCTTATTAGCAAACCAATCCTTAGCAAAACCTAAAGAAAGTGTAATACAGCGATTACAGCGATTACAGACTGTATGCAGTGCTGATTCGGCGCTTTGCAAACACAACTTCTCGCTTATTCTTTCGAGAACACATACCTAAAAGCTTCCTAAGAATTAACACAAAATAATAGATTGAGGAA